TCATGGTGGATGCTAGCCATGCATCAAACAAGATTGATATGTCCAGTGTGGCCTCCTACATTGCTTTCTTTGCCCACCAAGTCCTACTCCAAGAGGTTGGCCACCATTGAGTGCTCCACCTATGGGGCTGAGTTGGTCACAGCAAGGATTGGAGTTGAGGCTGCCCTTGCCATGAGGTACAAGGCCAGAATGTTGGGAGTTGAAGTGAAGAACCCAACCTCCATCTTGGTTGACAACATGTCAGTTGTCAACAACCTACAGTTGCCGTCCTCCTCCCTCAAGAAGAAGCACCATGCCTGCGCCTACCACAAGTGCAGGGAAGCTGTTGCCATAGGTGTTGCCAGGGTTGGGAAGATCGCATCAGGATGGAACCTCGCGGATATGGGGACCAAGCCTCTTGGACCCCACAAGATGTACCGGCTCTGCAAGCAGGTACTTTACGGGCGATTTGATGATTGAAGAGCCCACCTTACCCCTGTATGTTTGTCTCTGTGTTTGTGCCACCAACCCAAGGGGAGTGACAGGAGTTGGATTGGAGCCACATGATGTGAAAACATTACTGCTGGCTTCCCACTGTGTCTGTCTTTGGTGTGTTTACACAGTAGTGCTGGTTTCTCAGCTTGTCTGTCCCTGGAACAAGTGTGCTGCCTGGAAGTGTTTCACTCTGGGATATTGTATGGTTGGCCTGTGCTCTAAGTCTTTAGGCATGACTCATAAGTATCTTTGGGCATGACTCATAAGTATCTTTGGGCAAGACTCCTAGATGATGGAAGATACTATGAGGTCTTGGGACAAGCATGATTACTATATGTTTGATGACATTATGAAGTCCTGGACTATGAATGTCCCTATATATCAATGTTTGGTGGTCAGGTGAAGTCCTGGATGAAGGTTTATATGCAAAGAGTGGCTGGAAGTCCCGTTTACGGCCTATAGGAAGTCCCATTTCGCGGCCATTCGAAATGTGCCACTGTATTTGACTTTAGGAGCCATGTGTGCTCACAATTCTTAGTTTAGGATAACAAATAAGTGTACCTGTTGACCAGGACAAAGGATTGTACCTATTGCACCTGATAGCACCTGCTATTTGCACCCAAACTACCTTGAAACCCGTCTTGAGTTGACCTCAAGACTTTGCCACGAGCATGCACGCACAGTGCAGAGCAATGACGCAGGGTAACTACGCACAGAGGGGGTCTTACCGTAGAAATAGATGGCAATCCAGCCAAGGGTAGCTAGTTAGTCGTACAGCACCCTCCGGAGTTTTGTTAAAAATTTCTCCGGTGGGGGGCTTACACTAGGCCCATCCTAAGTGGGCGCACTCGTGCGCCTGAGGTATATGGGTTCGTCACGGCACCGTTCAGCGGATCGTCTGACGAGGTGTAGCCTTTAAAATAAAATTTCGTTATTTTTTTGACTAACTATCTACTCTAGGCTAAATCGCCCGCTATTGCTATGGGAATCCCACATCGGCGCATAGTTACCCTAATTGGGAAGGCTGCTCGCGTGCATGCTCATCCCTCATTGCTTTGTCCACAACTGGAAGCCAATTGGCCACCCATGCTTTGATATCCCCCGGCCCTTTGGCCATCTGTTCCTCCAGGGGTCGTTTGAAGATGGTATCAAGGAGATGCTCTGGGAGCAGGTCCGCTTTGTCATACAGGAGCTCAACCTCTCATTGGAGCTGTTCGTGTTTCTTGCGCCATTTCTGTTCCTGATCCCGGCTGGTCTTTGCTTGTGTAGCCAACAGAATGGTACACGGCAAGCAACAGACAGTCTGCTGGCATGTAGACGACTGTAAGCTTAGCCACAAGGACTCGAAGGTTAACGACCAGCTGATCCAAGTGCTTCGTGATGAATACAAAAGCATATTCGAGGACGGCACTGGAGAGATGACGGTGAGCCGCGGAAAGGTCGACACGTATCTCGGAATGACCATAGACTTCACGACGAAGGGTCAATGCAATGTATCAATGTACAAGTACGTTGATGAAATCCTGGAAGCCTTTGAGAAGGCATCGCCAGAGGAAGGGGGCACGAAGACTAGAAGTAGTGCAGCCCCGAAAGACCTATTCACAGTAGACGAATCCTGCAAGAAGCTCCCAACGAGCAAGGCAGACACCTTTCACAGCCTGGTGGCTAAGGTGTTGTTCGCTACGAAGAGAGCCCGACCAGACACAGGTACGGCGATATCGTTCCTCACGACTCGAGTCAAGGAACCGGATAGGCAGGATTGGGATAAACTAGTCCACCTCATGCAGTACATTAGGCGTACTAGAAAACTACCGTTAGTTCTCAAAGCCAATGGAAGTGGCATATTGAAATGGTATGTTGATGGTTCTTTCGCAGTCCATCCAAACATGAGGGGTCATACCGGAGGTGGTTACCCATTATCGACTTCGACGAAACAGAAGTTGAACACGAGAAGCTCGACTGAGAGCGAACTCGTAGCAGTTGATGACCTGATGCCGTCGATCCTTTGGACGAGGCAGTTCCTATGGGAGCAAGGCTATGTAGTTAAAGAAACTATAGTCTATCAGGACAACAAGAGTGCCATACTTCTAGAGAAGAACGGCAAAGCTTCTAGTAGTAAACGAACGAAGCACATCAACATTAGGTACTTCTTTGTGAGCGACAGAGTCGCAAAGAAGGAGATCAGTGTGGACTGGTGTTCAACTGATGATATTGTTACGGACTTCTGGACGAAGCCGAACCAAGGTCGACTGTTCAAACAGAATGTGGACAAGTTGATGGGTGTTGTGGAACACTCAGAGCCAGGGCACTCAGTAGGAGGGTCACGGCCCGACAAGAAGGTCCGTTCAAAGAAGGAGCGCTAAGCGGAGTAAGTAAGTAAGCATGGTCGACGACTAGGACAAGCTCGACGACCACAGGAGTGTGTTGGGGATTCGCGATTAGGGATTCAACCTGTACCTCTGTACTAGAATTTCACACCAGTAGAAATACAGAGCCCACCCACTTTTTCAGTAGTATCTCAATAGCAACAGTAACAACTAGAAGAGAGCTTAGAGCACCTAACAGCGTGATTGAAGGCATTTCCACTTTGAGGGAATACCTCGACAGTGTCCAACAGTCTGGGATCTCTCGAAAGTGCCGTGACGCCCGGAGCATGAACAAAGGAGCTGCAGTTTCCAAAAAACGCCCAGAATTGGGTCTGGTTCAACACTTTGAGGGCTTTAAGGATGCCATCACAAATGGGGGTAGACTTGCAAAATATGTCACCTTTCGTCCATGCGGTTCCAAGTGCAACTGCAAGACAAATGTCCTATGTGTCGCAAACGGTTTGCACAATCGCCAGTTCCTTATCAAGAAACAGGAAATACCTTCATCACTTTCCTGTTACACCCTGCAGCCCATTCTGGAACGTTGGAACCCTATACGAAACCTACTCAAACACGTCAGATTCTATCGTCACCACAAGAGCCCATTTGACCCATTTAGCACTCCCGCTGAAAAGATACAGCGATTGGGCGAAAGAGATGATTTGAAGAAAACATATCGGACCTGCCCCAGATACGACAAGCATATGTGCGCAATGATGGCTCAACTCCTCTGTCGCGGATACATGAGGACTGAACAGGACAGGTACTATTTGATTGGTTATCCATCACAGGGGACTCTTTCCTACCAGTGTTTCGGCTACCTTGGTGGCGTGGGGCCAGTCTGTCTAGAATTTGGTTAACTTCCTGTTGTCTAAGTACCCCATGCGTCATGGGATGTCCGCCCGTGCACACTGTATGATGAACACATCCGTTTTCGCAAAGAACCAAAGCAATGGAGAGATTTTGAAGAACCCACGCCCCGGCAACCTTTACTCAGTGGCATCATACCACCATGCATGCGTGCGCCAAACCTCCATTCGCAACCTCATTTTCAGAATGATTGTGGAGCTCGACGAAAAGGAACAGGTGACCACAAAGATTGGATATGCCTCCAAAATGGGACATGATATATCCACCCTGTACCGGCACTGGGTCGTTGGCGACTTGGTCACAGACACTTCTTCCTTTACCCTCACCGAGAAAACATTCCAAAAAATGCTGGCACCCATCTTGCAGTTCTATGGAATGCGAACCTATAAAGGAAGTGTGACTCCTGGATACCCTTCCTCCTTCTTGATTCTCTCATCGAAACTGAAGTACTTGGATGACAGCGATGAGCCCACCGGCAGCAAAGTGGTGAGCTGCAAAGGCCAGGAGGCGGCAGTTACTGGATTGGATAATGTTACAGGAGCCCCCCAGTTTTTGGAACACGAGATGGACATGCACATTGTGGAGGTCCCAAAAGATATGTTGTCTGTAATTCAGATTCTTGCCAAGAACCAGATCTATTCAGTCCCATACGACTATCGCGACGATACAAGTGTTTTCAACGGAATCAAGATGCTGCCTTACAGTCCCGCTGCGAAGTCGCTCCGTGTTGCAAGATCATACCAAGAGGGGTTTCGGACGGAGGAGTCAGCTCTATGTACTCTCCTTGGGTATAAGAAGCTCACCAATGATCAAGGCAGAAAAAACATTTTGAAACTTCGTAGCTCGTGCCTCCAGACAGCCCTCCACAAGGCAGTCGGGAAGAAGGCGCTTATCGAGGACTACCATGCTTTCGATCAAGCAGATTACCGCCACAGTACCTTTGACACAGACTTGAAGGAGGTCAATGCGAGTCACATTGAGCTTACTCCAAATATCCTAGCGGATATTCAGGTACTCAAAGGCAAGTTAGTGTTCATAGAGATCCCTCTGGACCAAAACGGGATATTTGGGAGGCACCACAAAAATGCTCGAGATTTGGATGGTCAGCTAACTTACACCAAATACGGCAATGCAGTTGTCAGTCCCATGTCACTCTCGCGTGAGGCCGGATACATCACCCATGTTGAGGGGAACCGACACCTCCGAGTGATGATCATACTGGTACCAAAAGACACTGACTCTTTTGATCCCAGTGAGATGCTCGGGGAGTCTGGTCTTTTGCAAAGCAGAATGGCACATATCTACCCCCACTTCCACTATGATTCCTTCTTCAATTCACAGGATAAGGACCTCCCCCAGAACATTGAACGATACCTCTGGCTCATCCACCCCCATGATTACACCAAACTGCAAGAAAAGGAAGAAGGGGCTGATGACAAGGAAGAAAAAGACAATGAGGATAAGGTGGAGGAGGTGGGAAAGAAGGAGTCCGAGGATTCCAATTTCGATGACACTGACGGGAGCCACGATGGTCTTGGTGATAAGAAGAAGCCCGCCAAGAAAAGGGTTGATGCAGAGGAGACTGACGCAAGCAAAAATGGTCTTGGTGATGAGAAGGAGCCCACAGAGAAAAAGTTTGAAGCAAAGACTGTGGAACTGGGTACCATAACGATGGAGATGCCACTGCGACGGTTTTACACACCAGACTTCCAGAATATCTGTAAGTGCCTCCCCTGATGAGACTCCAAAACCTAAAATGAGAAAAGAGAGAGATAGAGACGAGAGAGAGAGTTCGAAAGAGAGAGAGAGAGAGAGAGAGAGAGAGCCAAAGAGAGAGAGAGGGAGAGAGAGAGAGAAAGAGAGAGGGAGATACTAAGTGGACCTCGTGCAGCTCTAGCTCCAAACCAAAAGAAAAAAGAAAGAGAACTAACATGGTTTTTGTCTACTTATACTACTATGAACTCTTCTACTCATTGTTAGGTCTCCCTTCACGTAAACTTCATGGTGAACTCCATTTCATCGTCATCAGATGAGCAGGACGACAGACTTTCTACTTTGTTGCCTTCCTTAGCCTCCAGTTTGTTATTGACACTTCCAATAGAGACCCTGTTTGCTTTTGTGGCAGGAGGAGCATCAGTTTGTTTTCTGACCACCTTTACCGTCTCAGATTGTTTTGGGAATACAGGACGGTACAGCTCTTCATCGCCCTCCTCATCGGAGGAGTCCAAGACAATTTCATATACTTGGTCCTCTCTCTGCATTCTCCCTCCTCTCTCATCTGATTCTGACTCATCGTCGCTGCTATCGTTGCTGCTGTCATCCTTGCACGACAGTTTCACATTACCATACAAGTCAACTTTCAACTCCTCCAGGTCCCCATCAACCGTTTCATCTTCATCGCTTGATTCCATGTTAGCTTCATCGTCAAGCATCCTCTTCCCATACACATCTACTTTCAGTTCCGAGGTTGAAACAATGCAAACTGGGATGGGATCCTTGATGCGGTACCTTTTCATGAAAAGCCTGCAGTGTTCCTTCTGAAGCATCTTTTCCACAGCCTTCTTTGTGAAATTGATAGTTCTCTTGTCAGCTATCAAGTGCTTGTGGCAGCTATCACGAATCTTCTGGTCCCAAGCAGTGGCAAGGCATGGTTTGAGGTGACAGATGTCACAGTGGCGAGCTATGATGCCATCATCCTTGTCCTCCTTGCTCTGTCCATAGCCCGGCGGCCTGTACACTATCTTGCCCTCACTAGGCTCGTACTCAGATGACTCTCTTGGGTATCCTTCTACTGTGAAGTTCAGCCTTGATTGTTTGCTCTCGGCTGCTCCGCTGCTAGACTCCTTCCTCTTCCCTTGTCTGTGCTTGGCAGTCCTTGATCTTTGACCACCTGCTGCAGTCCTCTTCTCACCAGTCTTCTTCCCTTGACAGGTTCCTTTCTTGTCATTGGTCGTCTTGCTTCTCTTCTTCTTACTATTAGCACCCAATCCACTATCAAAAACATGGCCCATCTTCTCCATGAAGAGGATTCGACTTGCTGACAGTGTTTCTGGAGGTGAAATTGGAGCGTGGTCTTTTGGGTTTCTGGTGGCCCACCTATCACCTGGAGCCCTCGACTTGTTGAGCTTGAACTCAAAGCAAAGGTTGCAGGTATCTTCTTCTAGACACAGAGGGCACCCACTATACAAGATCCTGGTAGCATTGGCATACGCTTCTGCATCTGCACACTCACTATCCAACCAAGAACCAGGAAGTGGCATATTATTCCTTGTTTTTCGTTTTCGTTTGTCCGGACAGGATTTTTTGTGAGACTAACACATTTTCAAAATCCCTCCCCCCTTCCCCCCATCCACTTTTTCAAAAAATAGTTCATGCCAACGAGATTGCTTGAATTTCATGCCAACGAACCCAAATGTATATAGAAAAAGAATGACCCCAACCAGCCCCCAGCCCCAGTACTGCAACGACTATATTGATATCATACCAGCAGGAAGTATGTAGAGAGCAAAGACGGCATGCTACTATGCATGCAGTTTAAAGACTACATCCAAAGTCCAAAAATAATGAGACATAAAATTGATTTCCTCCAGTATGGTAAGGACTAAACCAACTGCAAGCAAAGTAGTCGACGGACAACATCCCAGATTCCGGAAGGCACTAGCAAGGCGGGCCGCCAGGAAGGTCCCTCCTCCATTGAAGGTGTGTGTCAAAAAGCGACAGCGCTATTGCCCAGGAACTGTGGCTCTCAGAGAAATTCGAAGGTACCAGAAGTCAACCGATCTCCTAATCAGGAGACTGCCCTTTCAGCGTCTTGTTCGAGACATAGCTTCTGATATTAGAAAAGACATGAGGTTCCAAGGGTCTGCAATGGAAGCTCTCCAGCAAGCGTCAGAAGCCCATCTTGTGGACATGTTCCAATGTTCCAACCTTTGTGCTATCCATGCCAAGAGAATCACCATCATGCCAAAAGATATCCAGCTAGCCAGGAGGATTCGAGGTGGAAGGTTTTAGGTATTATTCTATAGTCAAGAGAGACCTGAAAAAATTACGTATAAGATAATATGATGTGTTCTTCTTTGTTGCCTTCTTTCGTGCATACCCATATGTCTTTTGTCAGTGCAGCCTTGACTGTTTTTTGGTTTGTGTGAGGGCGTAATTGTTTTCTTTTCGTGCACTTTGTGAATGTGACAACTCCTCTTCTAGGACCGTTAACCTGTGGTTATAAATATATATAGTTATACATATATAGATAGTAGTATACCTGGTCTGTGCAAGGATCGAATCATGCAACTGCCGTCCCTGTCATGCCAACTCTGCGGCCTGTTCGAACTCATTACTTAGCCAAAACTCTGGGAGTTCACTCTGCCCCTTCTGTAGAGTGAAACTACAGAGCAAATTCATTGTTTGGCAGAGTATTTCGTTTCCAGTGTTGTCAAACAGCCACAACTGCCACAAAGCTCGGGTCAGCTGTCCAAGCTGCGTAGGAAAGGTTCCAGTCAGGTTATTCCTTTCCAAGATCAACACATCAACTTGGTCACACATTCCAAATTCACTTGGGATTGTGCCCGACAAAGCATTCACACCAAGATACAAAATACGTATCTTTGTTAGAAGACCAAGTTATGTTGTGATCTAGAGGGACAAGAAGAAACCATGGACTTCTTGTTAGAAAAAGCAGAATTCCGAGAGGACTGCCGAGGTACCATACTTACCGTCCCAGTAAAGAAATTCTCAGACAGTGTCAAAACATCCAGGGATGTCATGTTGCCAAGCCATCTAGGGATTGTCCCTACAAGACCAGAGTTTGACAGTTGCAGACGTTTCATGTCTGTAAAAACTGCAAGCTCATCTGGGATCTACTAGAACGTGCTTGTAAGATCTCAAAATTATGCAAAGAAGGAGAATTAACCAAGGCCATTGTGTCAAAACTTACAGAGCCACTCAGAATTAGGTCATTCAGGAACAAGTCCTCCAGGAGAGTCAGTCTGCCAAGTTCTGTGTGAGTTGTCCCTGTGAACATGTTGGTTTCAAGTGCTAGACCCCGCAAATTAGTTAGCATTCCCAGTTCTGTTAGTACCTGCAAATAAGAAACAGCTACAGTCAGAAACCAAACCGGCGTCATGCAGAGACACCATATTTTTACCTACTTCTCCTGTCAGCTGATTATCAATTAGAAGAATGATTCTCATGGAATCTGTCAGCGAATAAAGGCCTGATGGAATCTAGAAAAGATGGCAATTCAAGGTGAAGCAATGATAAGGTGAGGTATAGCACTCAGATCCTCCATGTGCTATCACTTACAGTTCCCGTCAAAGAGTTCCAGCCGAAGTACATGCTTCCAAGTTTTGACAAACTTCCAAGCGATTCGGGAATGAAACCATAAAGGCTGCAAAAATTCATCGAAATGAACTCCAAACTGGAAAGGCCAAAGAGGTCCTCTGGGATAGTGCTGGCAAGGTTAAATGCATCCAATACCAAGCTCCTAAGCTCAGTAAGTAAGTAAAACTCTGGTGGAATTCCTGATCCCATCAGTCCATTGTGGAGCAGCCAAAAGTGCTTGATGATTCCATCTCCCTGATACAAGATGCCATCCTCTAGATATCCAGCTGGATCTTGCTCACAGGGAGTGATGAGATCCAGTGAAAGCACAACATTGATGAATGAGTCAGCATGTCCCCTTTTTTGTTCCTCCTTTCGAATGGATTTTGGTGGGCTGGCTGGCGCGCATGATGTTTCACATTTTCATCAGCCTACGATTCAAACATGGAACCAGATGTTTTCTATCATTTTTCGAAGCCAAACATCCCACATCAATTCGAAACATCCATTTCCAAGTCAAACATGCTACTACAACAGCAAAACATTGAACCCTACTAAAAAAGCCCGTAGGATTTTTCAGATGTGTTGTCGTGCCTTCCATTGACCCTTGTCAGGGGGCAAATGCAATACACGGCCTCTGCCCTATTCGTGACTCGGTCCTAGATGGGACCTGAGCATGACTCAGACTGAGTCTTCGCGAATAGTTATTGAGACAGGATTCTCAATGACCTCCTAGTCATACTCGGTTAGCGGCACAAGATCGCTTTAGATATTCAGCTAGCGTTACGCTTCTAGTTGATTACTAGAGCTAGAGTTTCCACATGTTCCGTTTTGGACCGTGGAGTATTACGTAGACAACAGTAGTCATCTATGCTATCCCAACTCAAAACCAGATTTCCGGGTGCCCATGGGAGTAAACACTATCCATGGCCTCAAAGATTAGTTTTTCATAGCTTTCTAATCATCTCATAACTTTCATTATCTCAAACTCAAAACACTCGAAAGATCTTTACACTAGCTTTTAACTTAGTGCACTATTCTTCACCATGAAGATCGCTCCAACCAAACCAGCCTTCACCAACTACAACAAGCAGTTGCGTGACAAACCCATCCAGAAGGAATCGAGATCGATGACTCTCGTGCCACTATACGTACAAACTACCTACTGTCCCGGCAGATGCCAACAGTGCCAAGTGGTACACCTACAAGGTTACAATTGTTGATGGTATGTATATGATTTAAATTCAATGAAAACAGCCATTCAGGTGGAAGTCTGGTTCTCCTCACCCACAAGCTGACCATCGCCATTGGTCTGATTCTCGATTTCCATCAGCACCATACTCGTTCTGGTACTGGAACAGTTGCACCAGTCACATCCACAGAGCTGGCTGCTGCAGTCAAAAGTAAGGTCGTTGGCAGAACACAAGCCTTCAGGGATAATGCCAGAAAGATCATTTCCATACAAATAGACCTGACCATAAGGTGCAGGGAAAGGAACATTGCCAAGTTCTAGGGGCACTGTTCCAGTCAAATCATTGTCATTTAGCCACAACTGCCACAAACCACGAGTGAGCTTTCCAAGCTCTGTAGGAATTGTTCCTGTCAGGTTATTGCCATGCAAGCCCAACACATCAACTTGCTTGTACATTCCAAATTCACTTGGGATTGTGCCCGACAAAGAATTAAAATAAAGATACAAAATACGCATCATGCTTAGAAGGCCAAGTTCTGTTGGGATCTAGAGGGAAAAGAAGAACAATGGACTTCATATTAGAAGAAGATGTTCTGGTTACAGGGCTGGCCTCCAAATAGACTTACAGTTCCAGTGAAGGAGTTATCCCCCATTGTCAATCCCTCGATGGATGTCATGTTGCCAAGCCACCTGGGGATTGTCCCTGTAAGACTCGAGTCATCCAATTCAAGATGTTCCATGTCTGTAAGCAAAGCAAGCTCACTTGGGATCTGCCATTGAATTTAGAGTAAAGCATTTAGTCCGATGACATGATACTCAACACACAAACCAATTTATTTCCCACAGCATCACTGCAAGAACTTACAGTACCACTCAACATTAGGCTGCGAAGGAGTATGCCCTCCAAGAGAGTCAATCTGCCAAGCTCCATGGGAATCGTCGAGGTGAACAAGTTTGTGTCAAGGGCTAAACCGACCAAGTTTGTCAACAATCCAAGTTCTGTTGGTAGCTGCAAGAGAAGAAATAGTTAGTCAGTGCCACCACACTTGTACAACAACAACAGAAACTTGCACGTACTGGTCCTGTTAGCTGATTGTCTAGAAGAACGAGGGTTGATATTGAGTTTGCAAGCGAATACAGGGATGATGGAATCTGGTAAACACCACAAGTCCAGTGATGAATTGGCAAGGTGAGATACTGCAGAACCATCTTGTCACAAACTTCAGGTTGCCACTTACAGTTCCCGTCAAAGAGTTGATTCCCAAGTAGAGAATTTCAAGATTTGACAATCGTCCTATAGCCTCGGGAATGGAGCCATAAAGGCCACAATCATTCATTGAAAGAAACTCCAAATTTGTTAGGCCAAAGAGCTCTTCTGGCATTGTGCTGATAAGTTTCAATTCATCCAATACCAAGGTTTCGAGGTCTGTGAGCAAGTTGAGCTCTGGTGGAATCCCTGATCCGATCAGGCCATTATAGGGCAGCCAAAAATGCTTCAGGATTCCATTTCTCTGATAGAGTACACCATCCTCTAGATACGCAGCTGGATCTTGCTCACATGGACTGACGTAATCCCATGGAGATCCCGATATGTTGCCCTGAGCCAAAAAGAGGACCCATTCCTCCATACCAGAATACCAAAGGCACTCGTGAACACTGTGATTCAACCAGTTATCACTCAAGAACCATCGCTCGTCGCTGTTGGCAAAATAGAATGTGCTAGTACAAAACGTTGTACAACTCTCTGTTCTGGAAGGTTGTGTAGGATGTCGATCTCTTCCACGAGCCATTCAAATGCCATCGACTGGGGTGATTCTGGGTCCTCCTGGATTGCAGCCACTGTTGATTCAGGGAAAAGAGATAGCCAGTATTCTGAATAAGTCGATGGCCCCTGAGATGGGTTGCTGCTGGGCGACTCGCTAGGTGAGGTTGTAGGGAAAAGATATGCAATGTCCTGTTTCTTTCCAGGTGTCACAATGGCAATCAAAATGAGAATGATGGCCAACAAGACAATGACTCCCAAGAAGACCTTGGTTTTGAATTGCTTCATTCTTGTTTCTCTGCTTCTGTTTTCACTTTCCAGGTCGTAATCTTGAGCCTGGGGCAGATCAGCATGAGTGGTGGTTTCATCTGCCGCTACCAAGTTTGCCACAGCCAAACCACTATTGTCAATTTCTAGTTCAACCATAGGTTGGGTAGTTGCTGGTTCCGTGTGTGTCATCTCTGCTGTTTCCACATGTTCCTCTGTTGCTTGATTTCCTCCACTTGGGAAGGCACCCGGTTGTACTTGGGCCCTTCTGTTGGCAGCAGTCCGTTCTAATCGAGGCAAAGGCATAATTCCAAAATTGTCATCATTTTGAACTGTATCCTCGGGAGCTACATTGGTGTTAGCGTCGACGAGTTCAATGCGGGTGTCATCGTGCTCTGGAGTGGTACTATTTTCACCTTGGTAGAGACCAGAATCTTGGAACCGATCATCCACTTTTGGGCCTCCTACTTCTCCAGTTTTGGGTGGGTGTGGGCTTTTCTCTCTTTCGAAAAATCCTAGTGTGTGCTGTTGGTTGCTTATTGGGATGGCATCGGAATCGTGTAGCCGAGCTTCCACAACTTTAGGAGGCTGGTCCAGAGGATCCAATTCTTCTTCATCAGTTTTGTGTGGGTGTGGGCTTTTCTCTGTTTGGAAAAAGTCTAGTGTGTGCTGTTGTTGGCTTATTGGGATGGCATCGGCATCGTGTAGCCGAGCTTCCACAATTTTTTGCAGGTCGAGAGGATCCAATCCTTCTTCATCTTCATTCAGATGCTGTTCTTCTTCTTTCTGTTCCTGTTGTCCCTCCTGGTTTTCCTGCTCTGGGTTGTTGGAAGAACCAGGGTTGCCCGGCTCGTCAGCCTCCTCTTCCGCTGTCATGGCTTCTGATGGTTGGATGGCTAGAACTTGAGTTTGCTGATTGCTGTTACAGTACTCGTTGTGTGCTTGGTTTGTGAAGACTTGTGTTAGCGAATCGACTATGGATGGATGGGGCTGCAATTGCTGCACAGTTTGGCAAATGTTTTATTCCTGCCAATGAACCAGCCTGAATAAACCGGGCCAACAAATCCTGAATAGCTTCCTGAATAAACCGACGAATTAATTTCGACTGTTCTTTGCTTTTAATAAGCCTGGCCCCGGCTGGCTTCCGTAGCTAATTTCCCTCCCCTTCATCGAGTAAAGGCTTCCTTGAATGAATTCTAACTATAAGCCAGCTCAACAGGGTGGACATTAACGATGTTTCTTTGGTCGCCGATGGATGGATGGATGGATGGTTGACTGCACGCAGATCGGATCCAACTCAGCCCATCGAGATCGCATTCCATGCCAGCCCATTGGAGTTATTTTTCTCTGGTGGGAGATCAGTTCTAGGCCCCTCCCAAGTGGACACCTTTGTGTGTCTGGGGTACTAGTATAGGGGTCCTCTATGGCTCCGTCAAGCGGAATAGTCTAGAGGGGGGCAACCTTAATAACAATTTGCTACCTTTTTTGCCTCGGATCCCAGGACGCAGTAACCACATGCGACCATGACGCCTCGGACCTCTTCCACGGAGATAGCTAGACTGAGCCTCATCAACGTAGAACAATGTTTTAATAAAAAAGAACCCTAAAAAGCTTTTGGGAAGTTTTCCACGCCGAGGTGCATCGTGGGAGTGATCCATCGGTCAGATATAGCTAGTATCTCGATGGGCACACCTAATGCGGAGAGAAATAGGACATATTCAAGTCACTCAGTTTTTTACTTTACATGAGCATCGCCTATTGCGACAAAGACGAGAGAATGAACCTTGAACACTGCCATTCTTGTTAATCGGGGAGACTCAATTACTTGTGGAACGGGCACTTGATGGGTTGCGCGACGAGTTGCTTGCTAAAGGGACACTGAAGGGGGACAGTCTTCTGCGGACCGTGAGAACGGTTTGAACGAGTTTGCTTGTTCGCATCAGCGCCACTGCGGACAACCTTCAACATGGAGCGCTCCTGCCTCGCTTCGTCAAAGAATCCCTTGAGCTTCTTAGTGACATTGTTAGTGGCTGGCCAGATGTAACTTGTCTCTGCAGTGAACTCTCGAGGCCCCGCTTCGTTAAAGCCTTGGCGAGCAAATTCGATGGCTCGCCCCTTGTGCAAGGCGAGGAATCCATTGGTGAAGTTATCCACGAGTTTGTTGAAAGCATCGGCAAGCGGATGCCCAGGGGTCTCGTTCTCGAGTGTCTGCGCGAACTCTCGAAGACTTGGACCCGCCGCTACACTGCGAATGAACTCGCGATGATTGTGTTGAATCTGTGCAAACGTCTTTGTCGTAGTGTCACCCAACTCGCTCTTGTATGAAGTCCGCCCCAGGAATGCATCAATGAGGTGGATGCACGGGGCTTGTGGACCAGACATGCCTAAATGACCTCCATATCCCGATGTGTACTTGACAATGTCCCTGTGCCAAACCACGGGATCCACAGTCTTCTTGTTGAGCAGACCGAAGCCCTCTTGAAGCCGTCGGAAGCTCTGCGTAGCTGCCTCGAGCAACCCGAGGAGCTCGGCGATGATGACCTTTTGCTCCTCAGTTTCGGTTCCATCGATCGATTCGTACTGAAATACAAGTTGCTGAGTACGAGCAACAATTTGGACCAGGTCATGCGTACGGTATTCCATCATGGTCGGCGTGTTGTGGAATCGGTTTTCGGCGTTGGCCCGTGCCCGCGCAGATTCCCGGTCATTGGCTACGATTTCCTCGAGGCGCTCAGAGTTGTTGACAGGAGAGATCAGCACAAAGTCGTCAAAGGTGCAGCTCTTTGGATCAAACTTGTCCGTAACAAGCAAAGAGGCCGTCAGGCTCATATCTGCCAGAGTGCAGTAATCGGGACACTCGCAGAGGCTGGCAAAGTCGTCCATAGCCGATTGCAGCGTCTTTGGAAGTGGGGGAGGTTCGTCCATCTCTTCGGCAATGACTCTCTCTGAGTCCACCCAAGCTTGTGCAATGCAAAAGACAATACTCTTGGTCTTCATGAAGGCCAACCCGTTCCCGCTCTGCTTTCGGATTTCCTCGACGTTGAGAGTCTCGAGACCTTCATTGCAGAAAGAACGCACGGTCTCGTGTGCATAATGGTGAGGTAGGTTCAGCCAAAGCTCCCTCCATCGTGAAGGCAGTAGGGTCGGCGCCGCAGTCATTGGCTTGGGGTCATGCATGAAGCCGAACTCCTTGGTGACAGGGCCTTTGGCAGGATCAAGGCCGGAATCCAACAGTTCCCAGGAGAATTGGGCCTCTTTGTCGGCAACGGCGCTCACGGTAGGGGAAGAGAGTTTCATAATGCGTTGGTTGTTTTTAGTTTTAGTTTTAGATTTCTTGATTTGTGAGAGGATAGAAGGGACGAGATCCTCAAATCTAAATTGGTGAAGCTTGCCTGCTGAGCGATTGCTTCCGATAATGCACGATCCATCCAACTGAGAAACATCTTCTCTACCAGGCCCTGCTGCAATGCACCTCTGGCATCCACTCCCGCCCATACACTAGTCCATTCTAACTTTAGAAGCTCATGGTACACTCTTCACGTGTACATGTACCAAGATAAGCGTACCTGGTACAGTGCTAAGCAAGGTGCGCAAAAAAGAAAAGACTTTTGCCTCTTGCCCTGGCGTTTAACCTCACTTTTTCCAAAAAAGAAAGATTGTTTTCTCGTTTTTTCATCGATCTGTTCGTGTAAAACAGGTGAAAACCTCCAAAAAGCGAAATACGGAGTGAGTCGCTTCATACAGATTCGATTCGAGCGATTCGATTCAGTTGAGCACAGACGCTGCAACCTGCAAGGAAGCTACATGTACATTGCAGGGCTCGGCCAAGGAAAGGGCTGCTTGTGAATGCATCGGCTGAGACACGGCAAGATAATGCTCGGGGAGCGCTTCGAGCATCATCTAGCTAGCTAGGAGCAATAGGTCCTAAATAAAAACAAAAGCTGATGGTTAGCTATCGCTTCGCTTCTGAACCAAAAGTTGGCGAGTTTTGCAATCTTCTTGCATGTGAGGTACATCCGAAAGCTTTGACAAGATCAATCTTCAAATCACATGGCAGCTGGGCCGGACTCGTTGCCATTTTTGTTTTTAAAAAAAGGTGGAATGCACTCGGCAAGCACCGGGAGAGGAGCCGCCAGGCCGGGCCATCACAATACTGGAACCATTAAGGAGCGAGATAGCGAGATAGCAAGAGAGGATTACCTGTAACAGCTTTGCTACGTGTAAACGGTGATCGACCTCCTGGTGGTCTCCGTGTCATGATCCATGCATTTCAGAATGCATACATTTACCGAATTTCCTGCTCCTAGCATAGCGCACGGTGGCGGTAAAGTGAAGTGATGTTCGCTCGCAACTGATTTGATTCAACTTGATGTCGTCCCAATGCGCCCATTCGAATCCGAAGCGACCCGGGGCCAGTGGCCCGCTACGGGGAAAGCTCAACCACAACAAACATTATCAAAGAGGGATTGAATGACAGAGTCGACTGCTATCTCTGGCGTTTGTCCGAGTTCTGGGTAAAACCTCGCAAATTCGTTCACCATCGCCTCGGAACGAAAGACGACCTCGACTTTGCTTTTCAAGTCTGACTTGGGAACTTCAGAGGGAGATATATATCCTTCCGTGTGGTCGAGCCCTTTTCCGGCAAGGAGCCGACAATGCTCAAGATAGACACGCGGTGCCAACATGTGAGCATGCCACATGATGTCCAGAGCCCGAAAAGGCTGACATTTTTCTTTCCACACTGCCACCTGAGGGTTTGATGGAATCTTCTCTGCATGACATTCCACGGCCTTGATGACCAAGAACATTTTGTACCAACGAATCATTTTGTCACGTTGGAGAGGTGACTGGTTGATCTCTGTCCAGACTACATCCTTTTCGCTCTTGCTCAATTCAAAAGAATGTGCGCTAATCAGTTTCTCTATTTCCTGTGTGAACTGGTCGCCCAAGAAGTCCAGATCCACATGAACCACTTGTTTCTTAATTGTGGCCAGAGTCGAGGAAGATACGACGCCAGGAATGGAGGGGCTGATACACTTCCAAGCGGCTTGATTCCATGACCTGCACACAGCCAGACTAGATTGAATAGATTTGCGTAGCCTTTTTCGTTGCAATGCCGGCAAGGCACATGGCGTACCGGTAGGCGAGGGGAGAAGGAAGGAAAGGATGTGACGAATAAGGTCTGGACTGCCTTCTTCTCCCAGAACCACGGCTATAGTCGCCTTGGCATTTTCATTGGGAGGAACCAGCGGCTCAGCACGCTGGATCGTTTCTTGGTCGGCTGTGGTGACCAGAAGGCAACAGCCAGGATCCTTAGGGGGATTATGGTGCGGTTCATCGTTGTGAGACGAAGCAGAGGAACGGCAGTTCCCCATGGCGCCTTGTCGCTCTGCGGTTGTTTTGTTCGAGGATGCGAAAGGATACGATGTACCTCCGTGCTCCAGACCCCCGCTATCTATGGAAGTCTTGTGGATCCAAAGGAGTGTCAGTCGTACTTCCAGTCCCTTTTGGGCTTTCCTCCGTTGAGACGTGGATTTTTGAGAGGTCTCTCGGACAACCGCAAAAATGCCAGAGAAAATCAATGGCTTTGCTATTACCGGTAGCTAGCTAGACTAGCTAGAGAGTTTGTGCCAGAATCGAGTCGAATCATTCGAATCCCCGCGTTTATGTTACTCCCGGTGCCCAAGAAGCCACTAGCTAGCTAGCTAGCTGGCTGTCCTCCAATGTCCAATTGCTATTAGAAATTGATCCTCCGATTGCTTCCAGCTCCTTGGTTTGAGTAGTGATCAAGCGGAATTCAGCCATATTTAGCAAGGAAGAAGACCGCAGCACTAGATAACTTCCCTACTGTGGACTCTGAACCCCATTGCTCCCCATTCACATGGCAAGAGAAGCTAAAAATGTGTCTCCTCTACTGAAAACGCAAGTCAGATTCATACGCAAGACACTTCGCCAACGAATTCAAAAACTTCGCACCTCCTTCACCATTCCGACTTAACGGCGACATTCAAAGGAACAGCATCGAAATTAGCATCCTATGGCAAGGCAACCCCATCAGCACTGTCAAGACCTTCGGGACATGACACTGCAGCCTATGCAACCGGGAGCGACTCGAGATACTGAAATGATCCAGAGAATCGCCAGAAAAGCTGATCAACTCCTGCAACGAAATATACGGAGCATGCCGACATAAACCTCGATTTCATAAGTACCACAATAGCCCAAGCACTGATGATTCCCAAGAAGGGGGATGAAAAAGTCAAACAACCGAAAAGTTACCACAGAGTGAAAGCTCGTGTTTTAGCGATTCGGCAGTTTGTGCTGATTAAAACCTACTTAATTCAGTCACTTTTTGCTAAAATCATATAAAAATAAACTACCTAGCTAGTAGAGTACTACTGGTCAAGATGTCAGGGTTTTGTACCGGTACCAGTACTATCCTGATCTGGCTGAGTTTAATTGAAGCAGTCGATCATAAACTGGCTGGGCCTTGCATCTCTTTCAGTTCAATTTTTCAGGAGCGTCCCTCAGTCGTGCAAAACGCCCCTAAATAGGGGCATGTTTGGAATCCGCCCCTAAATTCGCCCCTAAAATAGGGGCGGATTCCAAACCTGCCCCTATTTAGAAAACGCCCCCAATTTTTGGGGCAGTTTCTTAGAAAGTGCCCCTAATATTAAGGGGCGTGTTTCAAAACCAGCCTAAAAAGTAAACGGGACTGTACTCAAAATACATAGAAAACGCCCCTATTTTAGGTGTGGGTTTGAAATCTGCCCCTAAATAACAAAACGCCCCTATTTTAGGGGCGGATTTAGGGGCGGATTCTCCAAAATGCCCCTATTTTTAGGGGCAGGTTTCAAACCTGCCCCTAATGGGAATCTGCCCCTAAATCTGCCCCTAATTTGGGAACCTTTGGATTTAACCTCATCCACGATTGAGGAACGCTCCAGTTAGGCAGAGGTACACGTTGGCTTCTTGGAGTTAGTGGTTGTAGAGTTTGTGGGTATTGACACAATAAGCTACCTGTCTCAGTCTACTGGACTAGCTACTAGCTAGCTTGTTACTAGCCTAGGTAGGGACAGCTGTCAAAACTTTTGCTCTTGCATTGATCAACTTCAAACTCTACTACAAAGCCAGTGCTGTAGCTAGCTCCAAACCAACCACCGCATACGACACAGGCAGCCAATACATACACATGCACCCGTACCACGTACTCGTACCACAGAAACTGGAAAGCTTCTAGAGCTTACATCGTATGTCTATTGGAGCTCTGCATCTATCAATAATATCTCATCATTCATCAATCCAGCAACCTTCCCACCAAGGCATTTTAACTTTGGATTAGAGAGCTCAGCTGAGAGCTCCTCTTTGAAAACAGCAGGGAGACTTGTTTATCTTTACCTGATCCTTCTTCTCTTTTATAAAACAATGATGGATCCACAATCCCCTTTCCTCCACTCTCCACTGTCATACTCTTGGTACCAGTTCTCTTCCAACTTCAAAGAAAGCACTAAATAGACATCACGTTTTTAGAAAAGCCTGATATACGGGGTAACTTCACTTAAAGACAATCTTGGACGGGTGGGGTACGAACTCATTATGATTGATGTTCGGTGGTGAGAGGATCTTGCTGACACTTTAGTTTTCCTCCGACACTTTCCTTCCTATGTTCCAAGAGCAGTTAGATTGGTCAACGACCCTATAAATCGTTTGGAGACCACTATGAACACTTACACCTGACAAGCACGGCTCATAGCATATGCATGCACCTGACCACACATACAATTGGCCAGTGAGAGAAGAATAGATATATACGCTTTGAGTACCGGTGCAAAAATTTGTGTAGGTGGTACTGTATTAATATTGCCGGTAAGGTCGTAGATAGTAGATAGACAATGGAGGTGTTAAGTGTTAAATCATGAGTGAACTTGAGGAAGGCAGGCCGAATGCTCGCTGGAACGCTGGAACCATCCCGCTTGCGAACACAGGTCTACTATAATAGCTAGTAGCTAGCCCTAGCAGTAGCACCAGGTAGCGGTACAGTAGTTAGCGGTACCGTCTCAAGGTTACGGTAGGCCAGAAGCCAAAAACCTAAAAGGAGGACCAGTGGCACCACTTACTTTGGAACACATGAACACACCACCTGAATCGCGTGGCTCACAAAGACAAAACGCTGTGGCAAAACGAGTTATATTGGTCACCCACCTGACTCTGCTGAATGCATGCAAAGCACACATACTGCTACCATATTTTAGCTAGCTAGCTAGCTTGGCAACACTTATAGATACAAGATGGATTGCAAAGGACGACGAGTAGTTGGCCAACTAAAGCAGGACGAGGAGAAAGAGGAGGATGAGTTTGACTTGTTGGAGTTTGTAGCGGAGCGATGCCGCGATGCTGCGGAGGTCGAGCGCACAGTTGAAGCAGCCATGAGCAAAGACTGTGCTAGAAGTAGCGGTACCGCTAGTAGTTGTTGTACCGCTAGCCAAGACGACAAGCCAGAGCCAAACGTACCCCAAGACGAGGCTGACGAGACGGACAAGACGGACAAGACGGACAAGCCGGAGCAAGAGAAGGACCTCGAAGGACCTGCAGCAGATGAGCCGTCGCCTCCGGCAAGGACTCAGTCACTTCCGGGAGCCTACGCAGCAGTGCCGGGCACCGAGCTGCAACGACGAGCCACTACCGTGAGCTTTGCCCTGGTGGGAGCAGCTCCTTGTTCGTCCATGTCCTTGGAATGCTGGTCCACAGATGGCAATAGTATGGACGACAACGACGCATGCTATCCACGACGACGACACGACGAGCAGCTAGATGACAGTACCAGTCTCACCACACGAGTGCTAGACTTGGAAGATCCTCCTCATGATGCTGATGATGACACAAGAAAGAACCGTGGCTTGGTGGAGGCAAGGTTGGTGGTACCCGACCGCGATCTACCGCAGGCTGAAGATTGTAGTGAACTTTGGGAGCAGAGTAGTAGATCTAGAGGACACGACAGAAAGGAGCAAGAAGACACCAAGCTAGTCAAGACGGTCCTTCTCATGGGCGCCCTCGTTCTGCTGGCGGTCTCAATGGTCTTGGTAGCGGTTTTGGTGCCCACGCATGACACTGAAGAAACTTTGAGTCAGACACTGTCTCCATCAGCAGCATCCTCCATGGCTCCATCCTTCCTGTCACTCGAAGACCGTGTCAAGTCTCTGTTCGAAGAAGAAACCCTAGTGGCTCTAGAAGACCCAGACTCCCCTCAGTCCATGGCATTCCAATGGCTCCTGCAAGACACAGAACGACTCCCCTCCTACTCCGATGATCGCATCATTCAAAAGTTTGCCCTGGCCACATTCTACTATGCTACCCATGGAGACCATTGGAACACCAATACCCATTGGCTCAACCACAGTGCCCACGAATGTGACTGGTTCCACCAACCAGACTTTGGCAAAAAAGCTACAACGGCACAAATGCTTCCCGGCTATTTGGATGGATTCCTCGAACCACCACCACCAACCGTATGCAACGACAAAGGGTTGTATCAACACGTCTGGCTGGATCAAAACGAACTCGCGGGCTCTCTACCAGATGAGTTTTTTTTGTTGACATCTCTCAAGACTGTCTCCTTGAGTAGCAATGCCATCAAGGGAAGTATTCCGGCGACTCGTCTTGGAAAATTGACCGCGTTGGAAGGACTGGCATTGGGACAGCTTCCTCCCAAAGGAACCATACCGACACAACTGGGACTACTATCCAATTTGAAGGTGCTCTTTTTGGCCAAATCGCAACTGGAGGGATCCATTCCAACCGAACTCTGGACGCTCACCAATTTGATGCATGTTGTCTTGAATGACAATCCAGAGTTGACGGGAACACTGCCGGCAGAGATGGAGAAGTTTTCCCACTTGAAATGGCTCATTATCGATCAGTGCAGTCTATCTGGTAAGTAGTCAAGTGTAGTGTGGATCGGATCGATTCGACTCGATTCGTGGTGGTTCCATTGACTGGTCCAAGTATGTGTTCTCATGGCGTCTTCTTTGCTGTTTCCCTGCTCCCATCAGGCACTCTCCCCAGTGAACTGGGACAACTTCCGTCGCTGGAGTGGCTTGTACTGTCGGACAATCAGTTCTCCGGAACCATCCCGACAGAGACTGGCAGAATGGCATCCCTCAGTTGGTTTGTGCTAGACCAAAATAGATTCGCAGGGCATCTACCAAGTGAAGTGGGGATACTACCACAACTAATGGGGCTCTCCTTCTGTGACAACTCCATGGAAGGGAACCTCCCGAGTGAACTAGGGCATGCTTCTATGCTCTATGCTCTTTCAATCTGCAATAACCAAATCACTGGACCACTACCAAGCGAGCTTGGGTTGCTCACAGGATTGGGAGTTGCCTTAAATGCCAGAGGCAATCAGCTGTCACATTCCATCCCTACAGAGCTTGGGTTGCTATCAAGGCTAATTGACCTGGATCTATCCAGCAATCAGTTCACTGGCCGGATTCCCGGTGAATTGGGCGAGCTATCCTCCATTGGCCACCTGGGCCTTGCTGAAAACTACTTATCGGGAACTGTCCCCGTGGAGCTATCACTCCGGCAACAATCTCTGCATACACTGGAATTGGAGGGGAACGCACTCCTATCTGGAACTCTGCCAGTAGGCATCTGCAACATTAGTGGGACATGTGTGAACAGTCCTTTGGGCGACAACTGTGGAGAATCTCGCGGGCTGTTATTCGATTGTACCGACTTGCTGTGCGGTTGTGGCTGCTCTTGTAACAAGCAGGAAGAACACTCCAGCCAACAAAACTCGACTGCCGTCGACGGAATCCCTCACAATTAATGGAGCTATTTATGAATGGTGTGGCTATCAAATTCCCTCTAGCCTCAGTGGATGCCATGACGAGCGTGTGTCCGCATACCTGGTAACAGACCTGCTAGCAATACAGAGGAGCAACCACCGTATACGACAACAGAGAAACCTGCAAATAGACAGCTTCGTTCGAACCTGCAGCTTCTCTATAGCTAGAGCCCCCCCTGGCCTCACACCTAGACCGAGGGACCGAGAGACCGAGATCGATCACGTTTCGTATTCGTACCGGTACTACACGCGCCTCCATTTCGGCTAGACCAATTCTATTGGTTGCACTTGTCGAAAGTCAAATCGGTACGGTCGGTTCTTCTACACCAGCTAACTAGTCGAAAGTCGAGTTGAGTCGATAACGGTACCGAGGGCTCCACTTTCAGCCAATGGAAAGCGGATCGAGACGACGGGCGGAGTTCGTGGGACCAACAGCGCTCGTGCCCTCGTGAGAAAGCTCCACTGGTACCGGTAGCCAAAAGCAGTTCGAGGAGCATCCGAGTGGTGCACAAGGGATCCAGAGGAGCTCGAGCGCCCAGCAGCACAAATCCGACGTCACAGATTGCACGAATCTTGCCAATCTTGTCCTGCACGGCCCGCGAACACAACTCGTCCAAACTGGCAACTCAGACGCTTGTCGAGACTGTTTCGTCTTACGAAACGATGCAACGTCGACTCGACTCAATCTGCTTGATGTCCTGCCTATACGACGATCACCCTTCCTTCTTGCAGGACACCTACTTTACAAGAATGAGCCAGGTATGCACAGGGCAAGGACTCGTCAGCAAAATGTTTGGCATTCTTCTGATTCATTCAGTCTTGTGACTGTCGAGAGAGACGACAGAGCAGCTGTGGTTGGTAAGCAACTGTATCAACTGCATTAACTAGCAAACCCTTAGTCACAAGTGTTTGTTTGCTGGTTGCTGGACACGTGCAGTCATTGTAATTAGCGTCATTCCTCACCTTGGGACTTGTACAATAGTTGGTTGCCGGGAGTCTCAAACGCATGGATATGGAGCCTTTCAAAACTAGAGCAATAGAAACTCAAAATCCAAGTCCAGCTTCGTAAAGATATGCTCGGTTAGAGCAAAACCACAGGTCTAACAAGGGCAACCACAACCGCACAGCAAGCTGGTACAATCGAATGACAGGCCCTCTGGTCCTCCTCCTGACTTCCAAGTATTACTGATCCAGGCACCATTGATGCTGCAGAGCTCTTGTGGAATTGTCCCTGACAAGAGTGGATTTCCTTCTAGCTTCAAAGTGTACAGGGAATGCTCCAATGCAGAAAGCTGCGGTGGAAGGCTCCCAGAAAGCGAATTGGTTGCCAGTGTCAATAGACCCAATGATGTAAGAACAACCAACTCAGCAGGAACCTGCCCAGAGAGTTGATTGTTTGAAAGCTCAAACTCTACCAAGTTTGTCAGAAGCCCAAGCTCTGTTGGGATGGTTCCAGAAAGTAGTTGGTTGTTCTGCAAATCAAGAGCATTCATACTGTTGGAAAGAAGTCCAAGTTCGCTGGGCAATGGACCACTCAATTGATTGCTGCTTAGAGATAGAAATGTGGTAGATGTGAGGAGGCCAATCTCTGCAGGGAGTATTCCTTCTAGAGAGTTCTCATACAAAGCCAGCACCTTCAGCTCTGAGAGGAGGCATAACTCAGTAGGGATGGTTGAAGAGAGTAGGTTTCCACCGACCATGAAATGAGATAGGGAGAACGCTTCGCCAAGCTCTGTTGGCAGTGGACCTATGATACAGAATAAACAGAACTTTGTGAGATTTCCCATGCCTTTTTTGCGAGAATGCCAATCTGCATGAGATACACATACCAGTGAGACTGCATTCATCCAAAACAAGCCATATCAACCTGGACAAGGAACCAATCCCAGTACTGATAGTACCCCCAAGATGTTGATTGCGATGTAGCATGAGAGTATCCAGAGCTGTAAGCATCCAGATTTCCTCTGGTATGGATCCATGCAATCTGTTGTTCCCCATGGATACAAATTGTAGTTGGCTCAGCAAACCAATTTCAGAGGGTATGGTGCCAGTCAAGTCCATCCGACCCAAGAATAGCCCTTGGATTTTTGTGAGTTGGCCAATTTGGGTGGAGATGGTTCCTCCAAACTGCTTGTTCCATCCAATCGATAGTGTTTGTAGGCTTGTCAACAAATAGAGTTCTTCTGGAAGAGATCCAACCATATTGTTTTCATCTAGCCAAAGGTGTTGGTAGATGCCATCACTGTTACAAGGCATGGGCATGATTGGTTCCAAGAACCCTTCTAGGTATCCGTCGTAAATCTTGGAAACAATGGTCTTGCGAGCGAATTCTGGTTTGGTAAACCAGTCACATTCATGGACACTGTGACTGAGCCAATGGGTGTTGTTGTCCCAGGTACTGTTGCCGCTGGTGGAATAGTAGAGAGTGGCCAAAACAAATCGTTGTTTGATTCGATTGGTCAGCATGGAGTAACGGAATTCAGAGACGTCCTCCAAAAGCCATTGAAATGCTTGTGACTGGGGTGAGTCTGGGACTTTTGTAATGGCCTGAACTGTCTCCTGAGGGAACAGTGGAAGCAGATAATCCGCCACCAACATTGGGGCTTTGGTAGGGCTAAATGTCGGGGCATTGGTTCGAGTAAGAATGATTGTTGTGGGAGACTTTTTTCCGAGGAAGTAAACAATCGTCACAATAACTAGTAGGGCAATGGCCGCTGCCACGAGGACCATAGCTAGGCCACACCACCAAAGGGAATACGTACTCCTGAACAAGGGCACCGTCTCTTTCCTCTCATTGTTTCTGTGAGTTTTGGATTGATCATCCAAGCTTAGAGCACGTGGCAACGTTGAGGAGGATAAACTTTGCTTGATAACCAAGTTGGCTTCTGGTAAGGAAACGTTGCGGTTTCGTTGTCTTTCTGGATGCCCTACACGGACAGGCTCTGGTTTTCCAGATTGGACGGAATCGTCCTTATCGGACACGGCCTCGATTGCCGATTCTTCATCAGACGAATCTTCTGAGGATGGTTGTTGTGCTGGTAGGATCACGATGGAGCTCTGGCGTCGTCTTGTTGGCTCTGTCCCGGGTGCTTCGGCATACGCACCCGGTGGATCGGAAAGACCAAGAGCCGCTCGGTCACTCTCTGCGGTGGTGGAAAGTTCCAAGTGTGTGTCTTTTGTGTTGCTGCTGTTTGGGGCGGCAGAGTCATCATCCGCCTTGTGATTGGCAGCTGCCATTTTGGTCAGTATCATTGTTGCCATGACTTGCTCCGCCACTGGCACAACGACTTCGGGCTGCTGCAACATCCAATTAATGGAGTTTCTCATCCACATGATACTACCGGTAGTAGGAGGCATTCTCGTGGATGCTGTATCTTCCGGAACATCTTGTGTGGTTCCTCTATCGCCAGAGTCTTGATCGTCTTTACTATTGGATCCCATGATTGATTGCTTGGAACTTTGATGAACTTGCAAAGTTATGGTGAAGTCTCTGACAGTATTGTGTGCAGTGTTGCTTTTCAGATTGAGCTTGGTCAGATCTTAAGCGTGAGCTCTTTTATCACTGAACACTGTATTGCTGCTCCGATACCCCTTCGCGATCAATGGGAGAGCTCCGTCGGATGCATGCGTTTGTTGCTGTCAACCCGCACCGGACTTGTGGTGCACGCCGGGCATGCCAAGCAGCTTTTCACCCTTCACCCCTTTACTTTCAAGGAGCACTTATTTCCATTGTTGTCTTCCACACAATTCTTTGGTAGCCAAGAAGACAATGAGGGAGCTTCATTGCACGTGTCGGCATTAGAGCCAAAAGTACTACCAAAACGACAGTACTCTACTGATGTACAATACCTTTTACAGTACTAGCTATTCTAGCTAGTACCATACTACAGTACCTACTGTACCGGTAGCCAGCAACAGTCGCAACAGCTGTCGCAACCATACTAGCTAGTACGCAGCTTCTCCAGCTCTGCAGGTCCGAACGATGGAGCAAAAATGAACCAATGAGAAAGGGGGTTGACAACACAATATCTCAATAGCTAGCTAGCTAGCTAGCTAGCTAGAGTGGAACCACGGCACCATGCAGACTGTCACTCCTTCTAAAGAACTACCATGATTACTGGGGGTGCCGGGGATGTCTCAATCAGCTGCCTCAGGTATAGATGACCACTCTCTGTTTTTATTAATAAAACCCACCTTTAGTTAGCTGCAAAGTTAACCTAGCAGCCACGGGTCAACAAGGGCAAGAACCACAGCCACACAGATTGCCAGTACAATCGAATGACAGGCCTTCTGGTCCTCCTCCTCTCTTCCAACGGCTGCTGATCCAAGTTCCAGTGATATTGCACAAATCCTCTGGGATTGTGCCTGACAAGAGTGGATTGCCTTCCAGCTTTAAAGTGTAAAGGGAATCCTGCAGAGCAATGAACTCCCGTGGAATGCTTCCAGAAAGTGAATTGTTTGCCATTGTCAATAGACCCAATGATGATAGATTGGCCAGTTCACTTGGAACAGGCCCCAAGAGTTGATTGTGCAAGAGATCCAGCTCTACCAGGTTTGTCAAAAGCCCTAGCTCTGTTGGGATGGTTCCAGAAAGTAGCTGGTTGTGTTTCATATCCAGAGACACGATTTTGTTGGCAAGAAGTCCAAGTTCACTGGGCAAAGGACCACCAAGTTCATTGCCACTCAGAGTTACAAATGTGGTGGATGTCAGGAAGCCAATCTCTGTGGGGAGGGTGCCTTCAAGAGAGTTCTCATCCAGAGAAAGAATCTCAAGCTCAGAGAGGCGGAACAACTCAGCGGATATTGTTGAAGATAGTTGGTTTCCACCAGCAATGAAATGTTTTAGGGAGATTGCTTTGCCAAGCTCTGTTGGCAATGAACCTATCATAGATACCGAGAAATAAAACAAAACTTTGTCAGCGCTTCTTGCACCTTGTTTTTCTCAGCACGGCAAATCTCTGCCCCAAACACTAGCTAGATGATGTCATACCAGTAAGACTGCATTCATCCAAGACAAGCCATCTTAACTTGGACAAGGAACCAATCCCTGTGCTGATAGTCCCTCCAAGCTGTTGATTTCGATGCAGCATGAGAGTATCCAGAGCTGTCAGAGTCCAGATTTCCTCTGGTATGGATCCATGCAATCTGTTGTTTCCCATGGATGTGAATTTGAGGTTGCCGAGCAAGCCAATTTCAGTTGGTAGGGTACCAGTAAAATCCAGCCTTCCCAAGAATAGCCCTTCCAATCTGGTGAGTTTTCCGATTTGGGTTGAAATGGTTCCTTCCAGTTGCTTGTTCCATCCAATCGATAATGTCCTGAGAGAGGTCAACATGTAGACCTCTTCAGGGATCGTTCCAACAAGGTTGTTCTGGTCTAGCCATAAATGTTGGTACATGCTGGTGTTGGTCTCGCATGGTTTCGGCATTGCTTCCAATAACCCAGCTTGGTATCCATGGTAAATCTGGGACACGGTGGTATTGCGAGCAAAATCAGGTTGATTGAACCAGTCACATTCATGGACGCTGTGATCAAGCCAGTTGGTGTTGTTATCCCAGGTGTTGCCATGCAAGGCATAGAATAGTGTTGCCAGGGCAAACCTTTGTCGGATTCTGTCAAGAGACAGGGATGGCAACTTGTGGACGTCTTGCAGAAGCCATTGAAAGGCTTTCGACTGGGGTGACTGCGGGTCGTGTTCTATAGATGATGCCGTTGTCTCTGGCAATATGGTCACCAGAGAATCATTCTTTGATAGCGGGGCTTGAGAAGGACTGGTTGGTACTGCCGTTTCTAGAGCGCCCACATCAGAACTGGTAGAATGATCCCAAGCGGCAAGAACAACCAAGGCAATGGAAATGGAAATCACCAAGGCCATAATAAACTCAAGAAGAAGCTTGATTCGGAATTGCTGCTGCCTTGTGGTGTCTCTTGCTTTGTCTCCGTCAGATTCGTTATATCTTTGGGCTCTAGGAAAGTTACCGGTAGAGGGCAAGCCATTGGTTCCAACCAAACTTGCCTGAGGCAATGTAGTATCTGATGATGGCATTGGTCGCCCTGGCTGATTGGCAGCCCCCTCATGGGCAGACCCGTGGTTTTCCCTCGACTCGTCCATCACTGCAAGTCTAGGGCGCGAAACTGCTGTCTCGTCATCTGATACGTCTTCCATTATGGAAGCAGCCACCTCTGAGGTGGGAGCATGCAGTGCCATAGGGCTCTGGCGTCGTCTTGTTGGCTCTGTCCCGGGTGCTTCGGCATACGCACCGGGTGGATCGGAAAGACCAAGAACCGCTCGGTCAAACCCTCTGGTGGTGGAATCGTCATAGGCACCTGGAATCTTTGCCGAGTCCTGCTGTGTAGATGGCTGGTCTGTCACCTGAGGGAGAGAGTTGTGCTTATCGCGAGTCGGGAAGCTTCGAGTAGTGGGGTGAATCCCTGCCGGTGCCAGTGACACGGTTGCTGTGATGGATGATGATGCCCCCGCCTGCATGGTAATATTTTCTTGTTTTCCCTTTCCTACCAATTCTTCATGACTTGCTGGAATGGCCGCTTCCAGACGATCATCATCATCATCATATGATACAGAGTGTTTGACCGCACACTTACGATGGGCGATTCTGTCCGCCACCACCTCGAGCAGATTGAGTTCCTCATCCACTTCCATCTTGGCTTCTTGTTCCTCGGTATCACTTTTAGTGTGATTGGCCTCTTTGATCTTGTGGTGTTTCATGGTGCTGTGTGCATGCTGTGCATCCATGTATCTTCAGACGACGAGCAGTATGAGTCGAGTCTCCTTGCATCGAACGAACACCTCGTTTCGCTTGTGGGCGGGCCACGATCGAGTTCCATGCATTGACCGTCGTTGCACGATCGATGCAGCCCAGAGCCGAGTTCCTTTCGAACATCGAACGCTTGTTGTGCTTATCATCTACAGCAAGGCGCTAATCAGAAACAGAAGTTCCGAAGAATTCTCGCAGAAGTAAAGCTTTAATTAAATAAATCAGGCTTCTTAAATAGTTCCTAACTAGAAAGCGAACACGTTGAAGCAAAATTTAATCACGTTCTTTTCCTTTTACTGGGATGAGGCTGGGATACTAATACAGTCATCTTGCTGTCCGATAGAGCTCGACAGCCACACACCATACAATGTCACCACCACACCACCACACAAACCAAGCCCTGACTCATCTGTTGTTGTCGTCAGCAGCTTGTTCTCGTCGGCGGCAAGTCCGCTTGTTGTCGGCAACCGCCCATGTAGCCGGCAACCACCGAGCCTCTCAGCAACAGCTTTGCTTCCACAACGTCTCGACCATGAGGAGGCAAGAGCTATCCGATTACTTGATTAGCTGTAAAAGCCATTGATGATGATATGATATGATACTACTAGTACCAACAGCAAGTGACGAAGAAACCTCAAGAATCGAAACTCAACCAGAGTGAGTCGTTGCCTCTCTGATGGACAGTTGCGCACGCTAGGGTCTGTGACTTTTACTAGCCGCTGGATTGGATGTAGGCTCACATGGGAGGGGAATAGAAGCACTGTCCAGCCAACAGAAATACCTTCCTACATGGCTCGATTCTCAGCGTCGATGTCGTTGTCAGTGGATCAGGAGTGGTTGCTCTCTTTCGCTTCAAGGCAGATCTTGGGGGAGATTTCCTTTTCTTTTCGAGAGTGTTTGCTTGGTTGCCATGGCACACGGAAGTTCTTGTCGCCTGGGTATTTTCGATCGATTGGATTGGATTGGATTGGATTGGATTGTACTTGCACATCATCTGTTTGCCAAGCTTTTCGCGAAAGGTCCAAAAGCTAACTATCTGCTTCCGTAAGAGCCCCTTCTGACCTGACGGCATCGCACGAATCTCCTGTGTCGCTGTGATTGCTCCTGCGGGGTCTCTGAAGATGAAATGAAAAGCCGCATATTGTATGTATCTAGCCTGCTAGCAGTTTTTTCGTGCTGTCTCTTTGGAAGCAACTTGACACATACATCTGGCTCTGCGGTGATACATCATTAGGCTCTGTACACGCAGATACATTGGCAATGTGATGTTCCCATTCCGTGGCTGTTGGCCACGACGGGATCCTTTATGCGACAGAAGCAAGATCTCCCAATCGGCAAAACGTGTACAGTACCTCCAGAATCGATACGACTATCCTCAATTCGATGCACTACCGTACCTACAACCTGTTGGGACGCGTGGAACTTCAAACTGCCCTGCTGATCAGCCGCCGGTCCCTTCCACTGGATGTGCGTCCCATACCGCAGTTTTCGCCTCCGCGGCCGACAACCCCGACTGGGACAGTGATACCACCTCGTCTGCCGACGACGATATTGGCAGCCAGTGACTCGGAGGGTGACGATGGCAGTGGCGAAGAGCGGGAGGAAGGTTGATCGAATCGAATCGAATCGAATCGAATCGAATCGAATCGAATCGAATCGACAATTCGTGAAAGGTATGTCATCCAGCCAGATCCACCATACCGTAGTGGAGCGAATCTGTGTCCAGTTGCGCCAAGAAGAATGGGCGTTCTTGATGTTTCGTACTATTCAAGGGAGACCTGTTGGATGCTTGCATTCAATTGTAGGCACCCCTTGGTTTGTCCAGTTCGCCTAAACTTGGTATGCTCTTCAATGCTTCTGGAAATGATCCCGCGCCGCTGCACGTGATAAGAAAAAGCAATGCATTGGCAAAGAACACTCCAAGAGGATCGAATCAACGGCGGAAAACTTGGTTGGCAAGACGATCCTCGTCCTCACCCTTGACATCGCGAGCCATGTTGACGCGCGTCAACATGTCGTAGAGCCCGCTTACTAACCTAAACTCTTAGTTGGATTTCTTTGTGGCATCTCGAACGGAGCATGTTTGAAATCTTGCTGTACGATCTATCCTGTACCACCATCGTGGGAGCGTGGAGTGGAAACGCTGACGAAGCGTGTGCTACCCTCGCACAACCATCAATCCGGACGATTGGCTGCGGGAAATCAGGGCATCAGGTGCTTGGAGCTGGCCTCAGTTTTCTTGCGAGCCTCGTTGGCTGTACTTGGGGGCTTTCGACATGACATACGGTTCAAAGATGTATGTGTTTTCCATCCGAAAGAAACCATGAAAATTTAATGGAAATGATTGAGGATGAGCGAAGCTTTCGGAACCAGGAGGAAGCAAAGTACGCGACAAACTCAAATCATGGTCGTCTTGTCCGCTCTCTAACGTACTGCTTGTGATTTCTTCACATGGTGAAGAAAAGGGTATCCAATGCCATGATGTTTACCGCTGTGTTTCCATCATGTGGCAAATAGGAGCCTCGAACGATGACGTTGTCGACATTAGAGGTCGTATGCAATAAGCAGAGTCACAGTACATGTACCATGTACTATTACATTTACTGTTGCTTTTGTGCGTACCGGTGGGTGTGTCTGGGTTTCCTTAGATAGTCTAGTATGGGAGCATGGTAGCTGCTTTTACTTCAGTGCATGTACATGTACACATGTACTACTGGTAAGCCTGCGAAGGAAACCAACACTTAATTATGGTCACGATGAGTCACAGTGTCGCCGGTGACGTGGTTGTCGCTCCCAGACATAAATAGAGGTACTGACTATATCGCCCTCAAGAGAAAGAAATTGCCTTCACGCGATCCAAGCAACAACCCCCAATAGCCCGCTCCACTGCATGGTAACCACCACAACGTTAACCTGCTCATTCATCGATCTCTTCCCTTTGCCTCCATAAACATCACCCGATCGCGAATACTCTCTACAAAGTAATATCAGCTCTGGTACCATGAGTAGTTCCAGTTGTGTCGCCCATGATAAAGAGGAACAGTTTGACGTGCTGCTCGACGTGGTGGCTGCCAGGATTGCTGTAAGCCGTGATGAGGCAGCGCTACAAAAGATGGAGGCGGGGGAAAGGGCGGTCAATACCATCGCGGCTATCGACCAAATTTCAAAAGAAGAAAAGAAGACAGGAAATAGAAACGATGCTGTCACAGTGAGCACGGAAAAAATCACACGAGAAGATCCGAGAGACTTCAAGGTCCAAGTTCAAGGCACCCCAGAAGACAATGTGTTCCTCTTGAAGGTCTTAAGAGAACGACAGGAAGCAGAATCGCCATTAAGGCAGGCTATGAACGTGGCAGCATCCACAGATGATTTTGATCTACACAGAAATACAAATCCAACTGATAAAGCAGAAGCCCTGCCGCGGACAAGCCTGGCACGTCATCAAGAAGTGGCTAGAAGAACCAGAGCTGGTGCCTATTCTGTGGCACCTGGCTTTGAGCTTCCAACAACTGCCGCCACATACATTGCACTTGCAGGTGTAGGACATTCAGTGACTGGGTCTGAGACCCATTCCAACCTTCCATCCGATGTGGTACAGCAAGAACGGCCTCTTGGCAATAGTGTCTTGGCTGTGGCAAACCCAGTGGATGAAATTATTCCTCACGATCTTCCCCAAGCTCAAGAGTTTGAGAGCCAAGAATCAACAGGAGAGCAAGAGACCAAAAGGTACAAGGCTGGGCTTCTACTGGTGGCAATTGCTGTGCTGGCCATCATCACCATCCTAGTGACTCTGCTAGTTCCTAGCAAGAAGGACGACAAGGAGTCCTCAACTGTCACACTTCCAAGCAGTACTCCTTCAGTAGCACCATCCATGTCTCCGGAGGGAACCATCAAGGCATTGCTAGAAGATGACACCCTGTTGGCTTTGGAAGACCCAGAGTCACCTCAGTTTAGGGCATTTGAATGGTTGTTGGAAGATCCCAATCTCCATTCTCACTCGGATGCTCGCATCAAGCAAAAGTTTGCCTTGGGGTCACTTTACTATGCCACCAGTGGAGACACTTGGATGGATAATACCAGCTGGCTGAGCCACAGCATACATGAGTGTGCGTGGTACAATGCACCTGAGTTTGCTCAGAAGACCTTGATGGATTCTATATATCAAGGGTACATGTCTTGGTTTGCCCCATCCACAGAGCCACCACCAACACACTGCAGTGAAGATGGCCTGTATCACAATCTTTGGTTGGATAACAACAATCTTGTTGGGTCCCTTCCAGAAGAGCTCTACTTTCTGACAAGCCTACAAACACTGTCTCTTGGGTATAACCAGCTAGACGGCAGTCTTGGCAGCCTTATTGGGCAGCTTGCTGATTTGGAGGGGCTGGTCATTTTTAATCAGCCACCAGGTGGCATTCCTTCCGAGATCGGTCTCTTATCAAAGCTAAGAGGTCTGCTGCTTACCAACAGCAACCATCAAGGGGTCCTTCCTTCCGAGTTGTGGCAGCTTACAAATCTGGAGTACTGGGTTCTTATGGACCATGAGCACATGCAGGGAACCATTTCCACAGGGGTGGGAATGCTCTCAAAATTGAAATGGTTTGTCCTAGACACCAGTGGCATCTCTGGTAAGCTGACTGCTTCTCCGTTCTTCTCCAATATTACTGGTCAGCACAAGATCACTCATGATAATTTGTTCACAATACTCTATCTTTTGTCTATTTGAAGGCACTATTCCGACAGAGCTTGGGCAAATAGAGCCATTAGAGTGGATTGTTTTGGGGCGGAACAGGCTATCTGGATCCATCCCAAGTGAGCTAGGCTTTCACCCCAACAAGGAGCATATACACCTAAACAGCAATGACTTGGTGGGGACAATCCCTAGTGAGTTGGGTTTGCTCAGTTCCCCTTATCGTCTCTCATTTTTTGACAACCACATCACGGGCACAGTCCCAAGTGAACTCGGTCTCCTCAAGGATCTGGAACATGCATTGGATCTCGCAAGAAATCTGCTAACAGGAGTCATCCCAACAGAGCTTGGGCTGTTGACAAGCCTACATGACCTATTGCTGGACCACAACCAACTCTCAGATCCCCAGTGAATTTGGTGAACTCGCAAGTCTGCGTATCACAAGTTTAGCAAACAATAGCTTGTCAGCCTCAGTCCCAGTGGAACTATCATCCCTACAACAGACACTGCACTCATTATTGTTGGATGGAAGTCCAATGATGACGGGAACTATCCCAGAGTCCCTTTGCCACTTAAATGGAACCTGTGTCATATTACCAGGTTTTGCGCATTCATGTGATGGACCAATGGGGGTGTTCTTTGGTTGTACTGATCTCCTGTGTGGCTGTGATTGCTCCTGTGGTGGGGCCTGAGATGAAAGGCTGCATGCATAATTAAATGTATCTAACAAGCTACTCTTTTGTAGCAGCTTTTGGTTACTTTAGATTGCTTGCAGAAGTACCTCTAGCTAGAGATATGAAGATCTCTCTTCTCTTTTGGTTTGAAATTCGGAGAGTTCTCTATTGAGTTGACCGGGGCTGACCAGTGCTCTCTGGCGAGAGTGACTCATCATCACAATAATTTGTGTTCTAGCTATAGAAACTGGTCTCAAAAGCTTGGAGTGATTCCCTTATTACTCCCGAAATGGCTCTCTATCTTCGGACTTCGAACACGAACTCAGAAAGGTGATGAAGTAGTGCAGTAGTCTAAAAAGATACGTTAAGCGAGGGGGGCCAAGCTAGGGCAGATTGGTGGAATCGGTTGGGGGTAGGACCGGAGCAGGGCAAAAGGGGAAAGCATTGAGCAAAAGGAGTATTAGGGGAAGTCAAGAGGGAGTAAGAGGGGGCAAGATTAAAATAGCCGAATAGTGCAGGAAAGGTGATGAATTAGCTGAGTCGAGTCAGTCGAGTGACAGTCGTGCCGTGGCTAAAAATTGACACTCCCTCAATTCTTCCCTTTTTAGGCTCAGAAACTTCTTCCAGGTTCCAGGAACGGATTCTTCCACTCCCATTAGAAGCATCGGAGAATCGGAAATGTCTGTCCTAAATCCTCAGCTAAGTACATCACTCGAGATAGGATGCTGGAACAATGATGTTGTCGAAGAAGAATGTCATGTACACAATAAGTAAGTAAAGTCCAATTTGTAAATTAAGTCCAAGTTCTCTCAGAATGTGGCAGATGCCAGGCTTCGCATCGTGCTTTCACGCGATCTGCACAAACTGCACAGCTCCGCACTACGGTACCGGTATGCATGACTCACTCGACTACCCTTTTGGGTCCGATAATCTAATCATGCAACCAAATGACAAGAGAGCACTCGCTATTGTAGCTCTCTGAAAAGCATTCATTCCCAGTAACATGAGTACGACGAGTGGTAGTGTTGCCAACGATGAGGAGGAAGAGTTTGATGTGCTGGACGTGGTGGCTGCTAGAATTGCAAGCCGTGATGAGGCAGAGCTACAAAAGTTGGAGGCTGGGGAAATGATGGATGACCAGAGACGGACATCCCAGGCATCGGCGCAGTTCTCGCAAAATGCCACTACCAGTACAACGGTGGCCATCACCCAAACTTTGAGCGACAAACCCGAAGAACACAAGGCTGCACGAGGATATGGAAAGAACGAAGATGTTCGGACCACCAGCAACGAGCCAACCACACAAGAAGATCCGAGAGAGCAAGAAGAGTCAGTTCCTTTTTTACTAAAAATTGTACGAGAACGGCAGGAGTTTTCCAAGCTGGCCAGCGAATCAGACTTGGATTTACCGGAAGTGCTTTCGGTTCCTCAACCAACTCTCACACGCGAGCCAAATGTGGCTCCTGCTATGATGCGTCCCGGGGCCTATTTGGCAGCACCTGGTACAGAACTCCAAAGAGCTACTACGCTCTGCCGGGCATTTGTGGGTGCTCCTTCTTCGTCAGATCACTTGGAACCTTTTGGTGTTACAGAGGGAGAGCTAACATCTGCTGTCGACCGCTCCGTCAGTAGCCATGGGTAGCAGTCACGACGTCTCAATCGAGGTCCAAGAATGTTCTCTTGGTAACAGCGTCTTGGCTGTACCGGTAGCAAGCCCAGTTGAGGAAGCCACTCCAGAGGATCTACCACAGGCCCAAGACTACAGTACAGAAAGCAAAAGACAAAGAAAAAGAGAGCTAAAGGCCAAAAAGTGCAAGTCTTGGTTTCTACTGGTGGTGATTGCTGTGCTGGCCGCCGTCTCCATTCTAGTGGCTATGTTAGCTCCTACCGGTAGCAAGGAGGACAACACGGTATCCCCAGCCATGACAGTTCCAACCAATCCTGCAACAGCAGCTCCAACCACCACGTCTATTGAGGAAACCATCGAGGGGCTACTTGAACAAGACACCCTAGTGGCTCTAGAAGACCCAGGGTCACCTCAGTCTTTGGCAATGGAGTGGTTGTTGGAAGATCCCAATCTTCATTCATACTTAGATGCTCGCATCAAGCAAAAGTTTGCCTTGGCAACTCTCTACTATGCCACCAGTGGAGACACCTGGGTAGAGAATTCCAATTGGCTGAACCACAGCATCCATGAGTGCTCATGGTTCATTTCACCAAATTTTGCGCAGAAGGATACAATGGAGTTGATTTACCCAGGTTATTTGTCAGAGTTCTTCCCTCCCTCCGAGCCTCCGCCTACACCCTGCAACAGTCATGACATGTATCAAAATTTGTGGCTGGATCGAAACAATCTTGTGGGTCACCTCCCAGAAGAGCTCTACATGCTGTCACATTTGCAGACACTGTCTCTTGGATGGAATAGGCTTGCTGGCACACTCTCTAGTCGATTGGGACAGCTCACTGAATTGGAAGGTTTGGTCATCTTTGACCAACCAACGACTGGCAATATTCCCTCAGAGATTGGCCTTTTGACCCCTCTGAGGGGCCTTGTCTTGACCAACAGCAATCACCAAGGGCTCCTTCCTTCCGAGTTGTGGCAGCTTACAAATCTTGCAACTCTTGCTTTCTTGGACCATCAGCATATGCAAGGAAGCATTCCAACAGAGGTTGGCCTGTTTTCCAGCCTGAAATGGCTTGTAGCCATTAATGTTGACTTCTCTGGTAAGCAGTGGCTGTTTGCTTTGTGTCTCTCTCTAATGATTTTCATTCTCATCATGATTTATGTGCTGCTATTTGAATCAATACCCACAAGGCACCATCCCCACAGAGCTAGGAAAAATTGAATCATTAGAGTGGATTGCTCTCGAACAGAACAGGCTTTCCGGGACTATTCCAACCGAGCTAGCCTTCTTTCCCAACAAGTCATTGATCACTTTGTTTGGTTACGACTTGGTGGGGGCTATTCCGAGCGAGTTGGGCTTGCTCAGTTCGCTGTTTGAGCTGCCATTGTATGGCAATCACCTCACTGGGACAATCCCGAGCGAACTTGGTCTTCTATCAAATATGAATTTGGGTCTAGATCTCCAAGATAATCTACTCTCAGGACCACTCCCCACCGAGCTTGGTCAATTGGCAAATGTGCTTTGGCTTTTGGTGGAAGACAACCGACTGTCAGGCCAGATCCCAAGTGAATTCGGAGAACTCACAGAACTGCGGTATCTAGGTTTGGCCAACAACAGCTTGTACGGCTCAATTCCTCGGGAATTATCCAGGCTGCAGGACTCGCTGCATTCATTGTCATTGCATGGGAACCCACTGTTGACTGGAACAGTTCCAGATGGCATTTGCACAGTCCACGGTCCCCCAGTCAGGAACCAAATGGCACCAGATGCATCTCTTGGACCAGCTGGAGTGCACCTTGATTGCACAGAATTCTTGTGTGGCTGTAATTGTTTGTGTGAGTGAGGCCAACCATGGAGGCATGGTGAGCTGCTCAGGAGGGTTCGCCTTTTGGAGAGATGTACATCGGCACTTGGAGGAGCGAAGAGGTACGGTGGGACGTAGCTTGCCACTAAAGATCCAATAGGTACTGACCGGTATACGGATGGTTTGAGGGCGTCGACGTTTCTTCCCTAATAGCCAGTCCAGACTTGAATGGGTGGACACGCAATCCAAGTTCAAGAATGATGGAAGAATCAAAGTTTTTCCACTCAAAAATCTGAAACGGTGCCTGGTCTGAACCTTGGATCCAACCCCTCAGGCCACACACGAAATCCAAGTGGCCTGGGAAAAAAATCCAAGTTTGGGTCCAAGTTTGGTGAATCCCGAACTCTACATGTATTCAGAAGTTTGAATGGAAAAACTAGACTCTAGCCAATACCAGAGCCTCTGGCTAGCTAGCTAATAGATCATCTATAATTCGCATCACTTTTTGCGTTGTTGACGATGTGTGCCGACACTTGCCGCTATCGGTATCTATCCGTATCGATGCCGACGACAGATGGCTTCTAGCTAGTTAATAATATTAGTCAATAGTAGACTTAGTAGCAAATTCACTGTTACCCAGCCTTGCCTCCTTTTGCAGATAGATGCAACTCGCTCCGAGGTTGTGCAGTTGATTCGACGCCCTGTACTCTTCGGGGCATGTAGCTGCTACTGCAATAAATTGGCTTGCTGCGTCGGATTTCTTCGGTCACACCGTCGCACCCTCCCTACCGGTATCAGCACTGACTCGATGGCTTGATAGTGAGGCTGTGTAACCTCCCACAGAAGCACCTCTGTGGTATATTCGAGTCGAGTGAGTCTATAATCGTTGTGTCAGTCAATAGCTACTAGTAGCTAGCCAATTATTATTCTGTTATCTCCACAACGGAGCAGTCGACATTTGACTGCGATTGTCGCTTTTAAAAAACTCCACATCAACTTTGATTTTGCGTTCATCAGGAGCGTTCCTCAATCGTGCATGACTTTAAATCCGACCCTAATTTAGGGTCGGTTTGGGGGAATCCGTCCCTAAATATAGGGACGGTTTCGAAACCCGACCCTAAATCGAAACCCGTCCCTAAATTAGGGACGCTTTTTCAGAAACCGTCCCTATTTTTCAGAAAACGTCCCTATTTTTAGGGTCGGTTTCGAAACCCGACCCTTTCTAATATTGGTGCGTTTTCAATGCATTTACCATGCAGTCCCGTTTCTATTTAGGGACGTTTTTCAAACCGAACCCTAAAACGAAACCCGACCCTAAATTAGGGACGGGTTTTCAGAAACCGTCCCTATTTTTCAGAAAACGTCCCTATTTTTAGGGTCGGTTTCGAAACCCGACCCTAAAGGGAATCCGACCCTAAATCCGACCCTATTTTAGGGTTGGTTTCATGCACGATTGAGGAACGCTCCAGTGTGGCCGTGGATTGGGTAGGGAACGTGAATGTTAAATCCAAGTTAATAAGGGAACTTTGATCTTCGATTTTGGATGTTGCGAAAATTTAATTAATGAAGTGTGGACGTGTGGACAGACTCTAATTAACGTAGCTTCAACAAAGATCTGGAAGCTAAGATGTTTGTTAACGCACCATTTATTAGTCCTTGCTGCAGGCCCTCTGTGGAAACTCGAGTCGTGCAACCGATCGTCTCCTAAATCCTTTTGATCGTCTCCTATTTAATGGATTTCGTCTCCTAAAAATAGGAGACGAAACGGATCGTCTCTTAAATCTTTCGTCTCCTCTTAAATCGTCTCTTATTTTCAACGGATCGTCTCCTATTCTCAACGGATCGTCTCCTAAGTGCATCATGTAAACTGTATGGTATCGTCTCCTAAATCTTTCGGATCGTCTCCTATTTCGAAACGATCGTCTCCTAAATGGAACGTCTCCTAATGAATCGTCTCCTAAATATAGGAGACGAAAGCTATCGTCTCTTAAATTATTTCGATCGTCTCCTAAGCCTTGGTGTATCGTCTCCTAAGTAATTTGCCACGAATGACGTTTCCACAGAGGTCCAGTTGATCGGGTCCTTTTTTCTCTATCACCGCGACTGTCACTCTGAGCAGAACAGGAAGCACACATGCTCTTCTCTGGTCTGATAGCGTTAGGGCTCTCAGGGAGGAGAGGACCAATAGTACCGTACAAGTAGATACCACCACCGCATTTCTCCAGCGAGCTACGACTGTAGCAGTCAACCAAATGAAGAGGACAATGTTTTTTTGTTTTGTTTCGATGGTATTCGCGACAGCTACTAGCTACCGGTAGATACGGATAGTAGCTAGCCTACTGTTACCGCTAGAATCCTCCTACAATGGCGATGCTCAACGTGGTGGGCCAAGCATAGCGCAGCTCATAGCGCCAACCTCGAAGCCCCGCAAGAAGCAAACAAGAAATAGGATTTTCCAATCTCATAGATCTCAAACATTCGCTCCCAAGGAATTCCAGGATTCGGGAATTCCTCCAAGATGTACAGGACCGTCCGACGGTTTTGCTCAGGTTTAAAAACTGCTCAAATCGTGGTTCTGGTTAAGGGAATGTTAAGGGAATGTTGAAGCTTTAAGGGAATGTTAAGGGAATGTTGAGGATTTAAGGGAATGTTTTAAGAGAATGTTTATTTAAGGGAATGTTCATTTTTTTTAAGGGAATGTTCTATGGGGTTTACATGAAGGCTTAGAGGAATGTTTCGAAGCGTTAAGGGAATGTTGTTAAGGGAATGTTGATTTAAGGGAATGTTAAGGATTTAAGGGAATGTTTTAAGGGAATGTTTAAGGGAATGTTTCAACTGCAAAATTTTGAGTTTTTTTAAAACCTGAGCGAAAACCGTCGGACGGTCCAGTATTTGCCAACCGTTCCATCCGGTATCCGGTGTCGTCCTTCCTCCCTCTACTACGTAGACTACTAGTATAGCTGTATAGTACTGCGCCTCCAAAATCCGCACCCAATAACCAATAACTCTACGAATTTTGTTTTGACCAGTGGGACGATAAATAAAAGGAAGTCCAGATAGTTCACAGTCTTTTCATGACATTTTAGCATTGTGCTTGTGGCTGAGTACAGTACTGGTACCTTTATTATACCGTACTACTCCCGGTACTTTAATAACGTACCAGTAGCTATTAATACCCAGTGCCTCCCATTCACTGGAAAGTTCAACGAACGTTCACGAACAGGTTCGTGAACGGTTCACCAAGGAGGTTCATGAAGAGGCGTTCATTAGGGTTGGCCCATTTCATGAACACAGTTCATTGTTCATTGGAGTGGTGATATTAATGAGCCCCACCATGAAATCTGGTTCACAAAGTCAATTTTTTACTACTAGTTGCTTTTTAAGTACAACAACTGCAATTATAGATGTCATCATCATCCTTCCTGGGGAATTATTCCGAGTAGATTCATCAAGATCATGCATTAGTACTTTGCTGTCTGGCTTTGGACTCTCAGGAGGGCCATCTCCTGGGCCAGATTGCCCTTCCTCACATTGCTGCAATTCCAATGGGTAGTTACAACACGGGATATGGCTACAGTGTGGCTAGCTACGGTGTGATGAGCTACAGTGTGATGAGCTACCGGTACAGTGTGATGAGCCACAGTGTGGCTGTACCGGTAGTTCATTGAGGTTCATGAACGAGTGGTTCACTTTCACTGGATTTGACAGCAAAAACTGGCTTGTTCATGAAAGGCGGTTCATATACTATCCGGTTAGTGAACTATTTCAATGAACACGGTTCAAATCCAGATTCTAGTGAACGGGAGGCGCTGTTAATACCTGCTAAGAGTGCATCGTTCCATGGTACAACGTACCGTACGGTAGAAAGAAGAGAACTAGACGAAACCAGCAGTTAATTCTAATTTGTTCCTACACGTATTTCAGGTAGATCTAGACAATAATGGTCAGCGACCAACTTCATCGGTGACGTCGGTGATGGTGCTGTGGGCGAACTGGACAAAAAAAGACTAGTCTACCAGTACTGGTACGGAGTAGCTAGCTAGTATTTTAGCACCACTGCATTGTCCATTATCGCTGCCCTTCTCCCCTTTTTTTAAAAATATATATCCTCCTTGAGATTTACGACTACGGTGTACTGTTACTAGGTCTAGCTAGCTAGCTAGAATGTAGTACAGCTCTGAGAGGAACCTAGTTTAAAAGAACTCTGGAAAAATGAGAGAAGTACACAGAGCCAGCAACATGGAAGCAGGCTATCAACCACCAGACATGGGTCGGGGATTGAAGTTATCTGCCACTATTTTAAATGCAAATGCCACACGAGAGGAGTTGATCATTGAGATAGTAGAAAGAATGGAGGACTCTATAGGATGGGACAAGGAAGACAAAGAATTCTCTTTGATGGATGTGGTAGCAGCCAGAATTCGAAGCAGTAGTACGAATGTTGACTGTGTTAGTGAGAATGGGAATAAGTGCCACAAGGAGGAGGAGGAGCAAGAGATCTCGGAAGACAGTACTGAAGAAGAAGATGACGTAACATTCGTTTTGGAAATTGTGCAGAAGAGACAGCAGCAACAGCTCGATGACGATGAGATTACCGAAGAAGAACCAACCACTCCCACCGGTATTATTACAAGTACTCAAGATGACCTGGTCATTACCACGTTCGCGTCACTACCTACAGCAGGAGGTACCAATGCCATTGGAGAGAAGCTATTAGGTCAGCAGCAATCAGAACCACTGCCTAATCAAATGCAATCAGAAAGAGGATGGGACGAGGAACAAGCCATTCCACCGGTTCTACGGCGAGAACACGGACACCACCGAGCAAGCATGAGTCGTCCAGGCGCCTTTCGCTGTTCTAGCACTCGCACCATGGATACCCTCACAGAAACGCAAACACATGAAGAAAGGGTTGTGGAACCAGCACTGAATCTGGAAAACTATCATGACAGTGGTTTGGCCGTGGCCAATCCTGTGGACGAAGAAACCCTTCCCGATAATTTGCCACAGGCACAGGATTACAATGCCGAATCCCAAGATCGAAACAGAGAAGATAGAATGAAGCAATTTAAAACCAAGGTCCTCTTGGGCGTCATTGTTTTGTTGGCCATCACTCTCATTGCGGTTGCCATTGTCACACCTGGGAAGAAGAATCCGGAGGAAGATTCCGAGCCCACCGAGGGACCCACCCACAACCCATCGCAGGCACCCACTTTGTACTCCGATTATTGGCTGTCTCTGTTCCCAACAACCACCGTCACTGCCATTTTGAATTCTCTCGACTCGCCTCAGTCCAAAGCCTATGATTGGCTCTTGGAGGATATTGAAAGTTTACCCTTTCTGTCTCACGATAGGATCAAGCAAAAGTTCGCACTGGCCGTCCTCTACTTTGCCACTGGTGGAGAAAACTGGCTGACAAGCACCAGCTGGCTCAACCATACTGTCCATGAATGTGATTGGTTCACCCAGCCTACTTTTTCGAATAAGCATGGATTGTCTAAGGTTTTCCCAGGCTTCTTGGCTGGTTTTTTGGAACCTCCCCCGTCAACAAGCTGTGACAATGATGGGCAGTATCTCCATCTCTGGCTGGGCCAAAACGATCTCGGTGGCTCTTTGCCAGAAGAACTTTACATGCTGACTTCACTGCAAACACTGTCGATTGATGGAAGAAATCTAGTAGGCACCATTTCAAGGTTGCTTGGGCAGCTGACCAATTTAAATGGTCTTTCCTATGTTAACTCACTGATGTCAGGCATGATACCAAGCGAAGTTGGCTTGCTCTCAAACATGAGTATCCTCTCCTTGGCCAGCAATCGGCTAAGTGGGCCCATTCCTTCAGAGCTCTGGAGGCTAACCAAGCTTGACACCATAAACCTGGGAGGCCAAAATCAAAATCTGCACGGCAAATTGCCCACAGAGCTTGGTACCTTTTCAAAGCTAAGATGGATTATTTTGGAAGGTGGCCATCTCACAGGTACGTTGGTTGATTGATTGATTGGTTCTATGTTTTGTTCCTTTGGTATACTGCAGAATCTTGGTTAACATCCCTGGTTTTCTAGGGATAATTCCCACAGAACTTGGACAGATTGAGACGTTTGAAAAGTTTATTCTCAATCACAACCAATTTTCAGGAACCATACCAAGTGAGATTGGAATGCTTTCCAACATGTCACTGCTGTCATTCCGCAATAATAACATGGTTGGAATGTTGCCCAGCGAATTGGGCTTGCTCACTGGGCTTACTGGGCTGTTCGCCCGAAGCAACCAACTATCATCCCAAATTCCGAGTGAAATTGGACTCCTAACAAATCTGGTGGTAGGCCTAGGCTTCCAAGACAATGAGTTCCTCACTGGGACTATCCCGACAGAGCTGGGCCGCTTGACTCAGTTGCATTTTCTGGAACTCCAAGGAAACCAGCTCTCGGGAAAGGTCCCCAGTGAATTTGGTGAACTCAGTGCTCTTGGTGCTTTGAATTTGGCCAGCAACAGCTTGTCTGGTTCAGTCCCTCAAGAATTGTCAGCTTTGCAAGAAACTCTCCACACATTTGCACTGCATGGGAACCCATTGTTGGGTGGTACCATCCCTGATGCCATTTGCAGCCTGAATGGTACCTGCACAAAGTTTCGAACCAAGCTGGATTCCTGTACTGGACCTCAAGGTCTGTTCTTTGATTGTACTAATTTGCTGTGCGGCTGTGGGTGCACTTGCGGGGAGCCAAACTGAAGGGGAAAGAAGCTGAGCTGAGGTGATGCATCAAAGAAGAAGCCACTATTGTTCGCCCAGTCAAAAACAGGCATGTGTTTCAAGACCGGCTCGATGTTTGGTCATTCCTTATGAATTCAATTATGCATAGCTCCTCTACACATAGTACACATGTCCACATGCCTTTGCGGTAGACCTTTTATGATTCCTTTCAACCCTCTGCAACTTTCTATCTAGCTAAGACCTACTCTACTATACTGGCTATGGCCGCTAGCTATAACCCAAGTTCGGCCGGCTATTATTTTCACTCTCCAATGTGAGCTTCGTGGCCTCCTTGCCCCTACCGTTGGACTTTGTGAGAGGATTGAAGAGGAATAGAGAACTTCGTGGCTCAGGATTGTTGTCTGTAGGCGCTGCATGTCGTCGGCCGATCCTGCTGTTGACTTCCGCGGCAACTTTAGTAGCTCGCTCTTCAGTAGCGCCAGGGTCGTCGATCTTCGTCCTTCCAAGTAGTGCCACGTTGCAAGAAAAGCCGCTTATTGTTTTGTTCTTCCTGAGTGATGCTGCGGTCTTGTCAATAACACGGAAGTGGGCTCGAAGCTGTACTCTAGCACACTTTTTGCGGCAAGTGATAGAAGCTCGAAGAGAGCTCGAAGTGAGGAGCTGATTCAAGACTTCCGAGCCAGCTACCGTAGCTCTAGCTAGCAGCTAGCAGCTAGCAGCTAGCTGGTAATGGTTTCTTTCTTTCTCTGCGCAAGGCAATAGGACTCAGTGACAGTCGACGCCATGAGCAGTGACAAGATGTCGCTGTTTTCGTCTTGTTGGTTGAATCAACATCTTGGAGTACCGGCTGTCATCGTAGCAAGTCGTCTTGATCAGTCGACCTTCGGCTTGGCTCCGTAGTTTTTACGGTTGGTATCTCCAAGTCGGTAGTACAGTACCGGTAGCCACCAGCCACCACCCAAGTTAATTCATGGTCGTGCTGTCTGCCGATTCAAACACTGAAGAGTAGATAACCCATAGTAGCCATTCCTTAGCAGTGGAAGCCTTTGCTTCGTTGGCTTTCGTTGTCGTTGTCGTCATCATGGAAATCTTCGCTTCACTCCTCGCAAGGAACTCTTGCCCTAGCTCCTGCCGCTGGTTCATTGGTTGTTGTGCTCTGCCGTCATGGTCGCCGCTAGAACAAGAGGAGCCTGTCATGGAGTAGTAGTAGCCGCTGTAGATACCGGTTCCGTAGATAATGAAGTGTCTATCCGTCGTTGCCGCTGCTTCCAGCGTAACAAGAGGAGACTGTCATGGTAGCGCGATACGCCAAAGTGCGTACCGCTAGCTGGTACCTGGTAGCTGGTCAAGATCAAAGATGATGCCCTTTCGATCTGGCATGGTAGAACAAGGTTGTCCATGATGTATAAAGAGCTTATTAAGTCTACCATCCCAGATCGATCAGGCCACACTACAAGGATTGGCGAGCATGGAGTGTGGGCAATTTTTTAAAAGCTCACTCCCATTCGGCTCGGAAGCACGGATGGAGAAATCAGTAGAGCTGTGAAGGCCATTCGATTCGATTCGATTCGATTCGATTCATGTTTAAATGTATGCAAGCTTTGGAAACGGCACAGAGGTGCAAGTCTTTGGCTCTCCTCATTATTAGTCTAGCTAGCTACCGGTAGCTAGCTAGTGTAGTAGTCTATTTCTTCAATTGACGATCGAGAAAAGAATTACTCGAGTAGACTAGAGTCTAGTCTACTGAATCGAATCGAATCGAATCGAGTCGAGTCAAAGGGATTATCATGTATCACGGTTCCTTCTTGTGCTTCTGGATGCCATTATTGGTGGTCTGGGAATGCAATACCGGTGCTAACTAGTAGTCTAATAACTTGCTACATGCATACTAGCTAGTACTCTACCAAAATTTAATTACAATGATACATTGACGGCACTGGGTGGTACGACCGGTAACAAGAAGAGGAGGCAATTTCAAAATACTACGTGTAGCTAGCTAGCTAGCCAGGTAGCTAGTACGGTACATGGTGGGTGTGGCAGTGCTTTTTTAATATTTGCTGGATGTGCTACCAGTGACTGGAACAGTCCCAAGAAAGAACTCCACGGCCTTTCCCACCATCCTTTTTAAAATTCAAAAAATCCTCCAACACCACAACAACAAGGACAAAACTCGCACAATCGTCTCTATTAAAATACCATGATCAATGATCAACCATGAGGCGACACGAGCTAAGATGCTGTAGCCCTCCTTATGGAGAAGTATGACGGGTTGGTGCTACAGTTCAGTTAGTTGACAACACTCGCACAACGATCGGTGCACGAGGAACGGCACGAGGGATCGGCTGATACTAGCTAGTAGCAGAATCTTTGTTAACATCCTTGGTTTTCTAGGGATAATTCCCACAGAACTTGGACAGATTGAGACGTTTGAAAAGTTTGTTCTCAATCACAACCAATTTTCAGGAACCATACCAAGTGAGATTGGAATGCTTTCCAACATGTCACTGCTGTCATTCCGCAATAATAACATGGTTGGAATGTTGCCCAGCGAATTGGGCTTGCTCACTGGGCTTACTGGGCTGTTCGCCCGAAGCAACCAACTATCATCCCAAATTCCAAGTGAAATTGGACTCCTAACAAATCTGGTGGTAGGCCTAGGCTTCCAAGACAATGAGTTCCTCACTGGGACTATCCCGACAGAGCTGGGCCGCTTGACTCAGTTGCATTTTCTGGAACTCCAAGGAAACCAGCTCTCGGGAAAGGTCCCCAGTGAATTTGGTGGACTCAGTGCTCTTGGTGCTTTGAATTTGGCCAGCAACAGCTTTTCTGGTTCAGTCCCTCAAGGAGTGTCAGCTTTGCAAGAAACTCTCCACACATTTGAACTGCATGGGAACCCCTTGTTGGATGGTACTATCCCTGATGCCATTTGCAGCCTGAATGGTACCTGCACAAAGTTTCGATCCAAGCTGGATTCCTGTATTGGACCTCAAGGTTTGTTGTTTGATTGCACTGATTTGTTGTGTGGCTGTGGTTGCTCTTGCAAGGATTCAAACTGAAGGAAGAAGAAGCGGAGCAGATCGAGGTGAGGCGATGCATCAAAAGATTGCTGGCAGAAAGCTAAGATAGATTATTCAAGTTTTATTTGGGGTCTTTCTGAATCGGATTGCATCTTGTTTGCGCTTTAGAAGCCTGGCTCTCGCAGGCTTTCATAGAAAACTTCCCTGCTCCTCCCCCTTCCCCAATCGAACCAGATGCGTTAGAGGGCCACATGTTCTTCATACGGGGAGTTTGGAGTACGTGTAGGTGGATTAGCTGCATGTTCTTTGCTAAGCCTCGTCGACCTACTAGCTAGTACCCGAAACCACAGTAATCTATGGGAAAGCAGGAACGAATAAGCTTCACAATTCTCCGAGAAAGGCAAGGGCGAGGGATCTCGGGTTGCCTCCAACAAGAATAGCTAGACTAGCTACTCAAATACCTGACAAAGACGGGAGTCACGATTCATTTTTATTATTATAAGCTACGACCCATCCACGTCATCCTCGCATCGATGCAGCCATGCACATTGTTGTGTAGTACAGTAGCATTACACGAGGAACAATAACGGGGGTTTAGGAACTGGTCATTAAAAGAGATAGAACAGTAACAATGGAGGACTCTTTAGTAGGAGGAAATAAGGAAGACAAAGAATTCTCTTTGATGGATGTGGTAGCAGCCCGAATTCGAAGCCATATACATACGAATGTTGACTGTGTTAGTGAGAATGGGAATGACTGTCACAAGGAAGAAAAGGGAGAGATCTCGGAAGACAGTGCTGAAGAAGATGACACAAGGTTCCTTTTGGAACTCGTTTACAAGAGACAGCATCAACACCAACAGCACGCTGACACTGAGATTATTGCCGAAGAAGAACCAACCACTCCTATTATTAGAAGTACGCAAGAGAACCTGGTCATTTCCAAGTTGGTGCCACTACCTACAGAAGCTTTGAAGGATGTAGGATTACCCAATCGAATGAAAATGGAAGGGAGGGGGGTCGAGGAACAAGCCATTCCTCGACCCGTGGTTCTAAGAAGAGAACAGGGACTCCCAGTCAGTCTCAGTTATCCAGGTGCCTTTGCCGTTTCTATTACTGGTACTGGTACCGGTGTGATGGATACTGTTACAGGAACAGAAATGCAAACACAAGATGTAAATGCTACGGAACTGGCAGTGAATTCAACACTCCATGAAAGCGATTGTGATTCCAGCGACTTTTCTTCATCATCACAACCAGAAGAAGGCGCAAGGAATGATGGATTGGCTGTGGCCAGCTTGGTAGTGGGCGAAACCAACCCTCGGGATCTACCACAGGCTCAAAATTACAACGAGGAAACGAGAAGAGAGGAAAGGAAACAATTCAAATCCAAGGTTCTCTTATCAGTCATTGTTTTGCTGGCACTCATCATCATTTTATTGGTGCCTATCCTATTTATACTCGTACCTGGGAAACAGCAGTCCAACGATGCTCTAATTGTGCCTACCATTGCACCGACCGAGCCACCCAGCAGCACCGCCCCATCTCAGGCACCCAGCACCTTTACCAATTATGTCTTATCACTTTTTCCACTGGAAGCTGTCGATGCCATTTCCGAGTACCCTCAATCGCCCCAGTCCAGGGCATTCGAATGGCTCTTGGAGGACAGCCACAATTTACCCTCCTACGAAGACAGTCGGATCAAGCAAAAATTGGCCCTGGCAACTCTATACTTCGCTACAAACGGAGACCATTGGTACACAAACACAAATTGGCTCAACCACAGCACTCATGAATGTGAATGGTTCCTACAGCCAGAATTTGCCAGGAAATCCACTAAATCCCAATTCTATGATAGCTACCTGACTGGTGATTTTTTGGAACCACCACCAGACTCCCCCTGCAACAGCAATGGCATGTACCAACATTTGTGGTTGGATTTGAACAATTTAGTTGGCAGTCTACCAGAAGAACTGTATTTACTGACTTCTCTGCAAACTCTCTCGGTTGGAGTCAACGATCTAAGAGGGACCATTTCAACACGCATAGGACAGCTCACAAACTTGGAAGGACTCGTCTTGGGACGATTGCAATTGCGTGGAACCATTCCCTCAGAAATTGGCTTGATGAAGCACCTCTATGCTATCTCGTTGGTTGGCAATGACCGTCTGGAGGGGTTCATTCCGTCTGAAATTTGGACACTTACAACATTGGATACGATTAATCTTCGGAACAATCCTCTGCTAAAGGGCACAATTGCTACCGAAGTTGGCCTAATGTCTGCCTTGAGATGGCTGATTTTGGATGACTGCAGTATTTATGGTAAGCCATGCAAGCATCAGCCACACGCTGGCAATGAAGGGAGAAGTGCTCACAATGTATTGTTTACTGCTTTGAACTCTAGGTTCCATTCCAACAGAGCTAGGCAAAGCAGATGCCTTGGATGTACTTTACCTTGCATCCAATCAGCTTTCCTCTACCATACCCAGCGAGCTTGGGAATCTCCCAAATCTTGCCAGCATACAGTTGTTTGGCAATTCTCTGCAAGGGACTCTCCCTACAGAGCTGGGCATGGTCACCTCAACAACCATGCTAACACTTGGCCACAATCAACTCAGTGGCCCACTGCCAAGTGAGCTTGGGCTCCTTACCAAAATGAGTATTGCCCTTGAACTGCAAGGCAACCAGTTTCTCTCGGGAACCATTCCAACAGAACTGGGACGCCTGACAAATGTTTTGGAGCTGGATCTCTCTCATACACAGGTATCCGGGCAGATTCCTAGTGAGCTGGCCCAGCTCACATCCCTTGGCCATTTGAGCTTTGCCAATGATGCTATATCTGGCACTGTCCCACAAGAGCTTGCTGACCTAGAGCCATCCCTGTACGCTTTGAAGTTAGAGGGAAATCCACTCTTGTCAGGGACTATTGCACCCAGTTTATGCCAAATCAATGCAACATGCATTGGCAGCGCGTGGAAAACATCGTGTGAGGAGGCGCAAGATGGATTGTCATTTGACTGTACTGGCATACTTTGTGGTTGTGATTGTCCGTGTTTTTAAGGAGCAGTTTAGAATAGAACCATAACCTGTGTTGTAGGACAGGCCTCTATCCAATCATCGGAAACCAAAGGCATCGTTGTGACGGTGTAGAACGTTTGAAGCCCCTAACCATCTTGATTTCTTTTCGCACTCGCACCCGAATCCAAGAGGATGCCACCGGCGACGAGGCAACCAGAAGCGTGGCAGGGTGGGTTGGCTCTGTCAAATATTTAGGAATCTCGCTTTTGCTGCATGTGATAGGGCTTGCTGGAGATCAACCCATTTTGCAGTTTTTGTCTTGAGCACCCGTTCAATCTCTGTATTTTAATTTAAAAAATGGTGAAGGTCGACTTCGAGAAAGCGAACGAATACGCACCTCATGTGGCGATTATCATACCGTAGCGCAACCACAGCCACTAAACGAAGACATGCCCCATTGAGAGAGAATGTGTAATCCTATCTTACTACTAGGCTAGTAGACACAACGCTTACAAAATTGCAACCCAAGTATAGCCGGTCGCCATGGTCGTTGGTTGACAGGGTGTCGAATGAGTAATTTTGACCCGAACTAGCTAGCTAGACATCGATCAAGCCGATCACGCAAGTGCACCGGCTACTTCTCGAATGGCTGCATAATCGTTTCCTTCGGCCAACCCGCCTCCTATGATGACGCCCGTAGCACCTGCGTCTCGAAGCTCCTGCAGATATTGAGCCGTGGATGTGTTCCCATCGGCATCTACTCGTTCAATGACACCAACTCGCCCTTCCACAAGAACCGGAATATCGTCTCCGTGCTTGCCTCGAACTTCCGTGAGGGCTTCACTCTGAAGCAAGCGTAATGCTTGCTCTCCTGACATGTCAAACGAGAAATCTTCCAGCTGAAGGAAGTGTGAAGGTACGGACAAAGCAAGACGTAAGGTCATCCCAGCATTGAAATCACGGCGCACAACCAAAGTCCGCAAAATCCTACCTCCCGGTTAGAAGCGATGATTCCATCGATGCTATTCGGGGCCATGGCTGCCAGAGCTCGCAGCTGAACCTCTGATGTGACAGTGATCAAGGTTTGCAGCTGCAGGCTGGACGCAATCTTTGTCAAGTACAAGAGATCCTTGCTGGCTAGTGCTCCTCCCACCAAGTTTACGGCGTCGGCTCCAGCAAGACTGAGTTTATAGAGCTGGTATGGATACAAGACGAGATCAGAGGCAAGAATAGGCGGTACCACCACCCCGTCGTCTCCCGACGCCTTCTCGACTGCTGCAGATGATGCAGACTTTCTCGCTCGTGTAATATCATCTTGCGATCCACCAAAAAGGACCGCATCGCAGTTGACACATATGGCAGGGGCGCCGGACAGAGTGAATTGTTTTGCTAGTTTTTCGGCATCGTATCGCTTCCACAAGCTTCCCGACGTTGGCTCCATTCGTTTGCATTCAGGGATGACCACAAAACCATCCTTGGATGCTTGCCTTATCAAACCAACCCAATCGCGGGGTTTGGGTTTTGTTGGGTCGCTAGCAGCCAGACGGCACTGTGAGACCAAATTGGCCAGAGGAACTCGTTCCCGAAAACGATCTACTTCCGTTTCTTTGTCCCACATGAAACTCTCCAAGGTGGAGGATGGTGTCGCCTGCTTTTCCGCCACACTCCACTCGACAGTGGAGACCGTCAATGCTCGACCAGAATGAACCTCGCGACGTTTCAATATCAGCTCTCCATCTTCTGACCGTGGTGCTTTCCCTCCCAGCGTTTCCACCGTTTTTGTGCGGATCTTTCTCTTTTCATCTTCTTCTGCCACCGCTCGTGCCGCTTCTTCCGCAATCTTCCGATCTTCCTCTGCTTTGGCCTTTGCGGCCGCAGCGGCGGCGGGAGAATAAATGGGGCGACCCGATTCTTTTTAAAAATGTCGTGGCAAAAGCATAAACGGGTTGAGAATACACTACTTTGAACAATTCGGTCACTGCACACGATCTCCCACTTACTGCTTCCAAAGAGTACAAATCCCGAAGCACTCCCATGAGTACTCGAAGCGATTTCTGCTGGATCATCTTCGTCCAATTTCATAATGACACCATTCGAAAAGAATCCTGAAATGGCACTAATCTCCGGTACAAAAGAGGTCACGGTACCACTCTCGAATCCCGGTTTTCCCAGGAAGAACTTGCTGCCACGATCCAATGTGGGCAACACAAAGCATCCCGTGGGCCGAAAGCTTGTTGGCGTTTTGTTGTTGTCGTCGTCATCGTCATCGTTTTGTGTTTGAAACGATTCTTGCAACACTCGTTTCTTGTATCCCATCCAGAGTGCTTCCACTTCTTTTTTGGCAAAATTGGATTCGCGGACAAAGAATCGCATGCGTGTTCCCGGTTCGACATTGACACTTCCCAGTGGCAATGTGATGGATCCATCTTTCATACCCGCACTGGCGACCTGTTTGACTTCAAATCGATGTCCTTGTCCTTCGCGGAGTCGGGCCAATTCACTGGGTGTTCGTCCGACGGATCCTCCTCGTTCCAATCCGACCAAGAGTGCTTTTCGCATAAACGATTGATCGTCGTCACTGAGTGTGCGCATGAGAAAGTTGGCTTCGGCCAAACACGGTTTGGGGATGCTGGCTTTGGCATATGCGGCTGCCATTTGTGCCTTTTTGCTGTCGTCATCCGTCGCTTCTTCGTCCTCTTCTTCCTCCTCTTCGTCGTCCTCCAATTCATCATCCTCTGCTCTTGCTTCTCGTTCCAATTCCGTAGCGGTTTCATCCAGAACAATGGCATTAATGGTCGATCCCGTGGCTTTGATGACTTGATAAATGCCTCCCACGGGTTTGGCACCCTGGGCTACCATGGTGCGAATCTGAATATCGCCCTTCATGGCAATTCCGACACAACCGTCTCCCAGCGTTTGCATATTTTGCTTGTCGGTGACATCGTATCGAAAGAGTCGAGCTCGTGACAAGGACGATACCGTCGATGCCAATGCCCCAAATGTGCTGCTGTGTGGAAAATTGGCCTGAATGCCCTGCAAGAGATCGTCCAAATCATTTTGAAATCCCGGAGAAGGCAACAGCATGAATACGGGAGAGTCGTCGTCGTCGTCTTGTTCATCATCATCCGTACCACCAAATCCAGTCAACCCCACGGCCTGTTTCCACATACTGGCCGGGAATCGCGCGTAATCATCGGGGACATCGTCTCCCAGGACGTGAAAGGTTTGTAGCTCGACACCGGGCAATTGAAACAAACAGACGGAAACCCCCAGCGTTCCTTCCAATTCGGCGGGGCGACAATTGGATTTTGCTTTTTGTGCTTGAGCGGCAGTATTGGCGACACTTCCCACGACGCCACCGGCTGTGGAACCAATCACATGCTGGATCACACCACCGTACGATGACGCGGCATCGAGTAGAGACGGTACGACCAGTGAAGGAGAAAACGTCCCGTCGTAGAGGGAACTCACAAAAATGACGGCCAAATCAATCATCGTTGGCGTAGCGTCGTTATCATCGTTATCATCGTTGGATGGCAAGGACTCCATGGCCATCGCTGTAGCTTCTCGAATAGCCTTGGGTAGATCGTCATCGGACGAGTAGCCCGTGGCGACGACTTGCGGGGCAATGACGGCATCAGGTGATGAAGCAGTACTGGCACTGGCAAACAACAGGGCCCGGTTTACTACAGTATTGGTAGACCTAATAATGGGTGCCGCAGTTTGATGGACAAACGAGAAACCGCCATGCCCCAAGCACAGCAGGGATACGAGGAATACATGCAATGATGAACACCTGATCATGGTGGCTGGTTGGATGTGATACTCTACAGGTAGGTACAGCAGGAAAAACACGGGGATCTGACGTAACCTGAGACAGCTTGGCTTGGTGTATCTCTTGATACACTTACTTTGTTGGTTGGTTTGTTGGTTGGTAGAAATAAATACTTTAAGGAGAGACGTTGGTTGGTTATTAGTATGCTGTGGCTTTCTCAAAACCTGACGGCGGCTCGACTTGATCATCAGCGCCATTGTCCTTGTTTTGTTCACGTACGTCACACTGCTCATTCGTGGATACAAATTGGAATTCCACGCCTTCACGGCACGGCGTGGAAGCTTCTCCCGTCCTTTTCTTTTGCACTTCTGGAAGCCACGGCAAAGGTACTCGCACCTCTCCTACTACATGTAGCGTACCGTACTGTACATGTACATAGAGAGACACAAAAGATGTATGAAAGCGAAATCTAACATGTACAAATACGGTATACTACCTACCGGATACATACCGTACTCCAGAAACCTTTGCAAAGTCTGAGTGGCCACGAGCTTTGGCGCGGAGCCTGTTCCAAAGGGATGATCCAAAAAGTTCGTTGCCTCCCAAGTTCAGTTTGCTTGGCACTGGACCTCATCAGCGACAAAGAAAGCAATTAAAAGAGTCCCAAAAGAACATTGGTCTTGCTTTGCTTTGCTTTGCTTTGCTGCCTCTTGCGTTCTTCATTTTGACCTCCTCCAAGCAACAAGTTAGCTACAGACAAATTGTTATCAACTCTTGTTGAGACTTTGCCATTGCGAGGAAGTGCAAGCTCTTGCTTCATCTGGGGCACGCACGCACGCACGCACCAGCATTGATCCATTATAATAAAGCTCGTCACTCACTCGCCTTGATAAGCGCTGCTGCATAGCACTGGGGGGAACCTGCACTTCTGCACCCCTTTGTTGTCTACACTTCAAATCTCTTCGTAGTTCTGGCTCACGCCGCCTATGCTGGCTTCTACTCGATGTTAGAGCCAAGGTTATAAAGACATACAGGCACAGTATTCATATCCCTAATCGGGTCGTCCCGGCTACCAGTTTTCCACGGGCAGACAGTACAGTCGTACGCTGTACATGTACCAGTAACAGCTACTGAGTACCGAGCTACTCGAGTACATGTACCGGACTGGCTCTACGGTCACTACAGAATGGTTTCTTGGAACAATTCACAGTCATTATCGAGCCTCTCAGTGTGTACAGGCAGCTTCGCTTTTACTGATTCAAACGCGCGCCGAGCTTTTCTTTACACTTCTACAGGACCTTTCGTAGAAGTGTACCAGAAAGGTCGGCACGCGTTTGAATGAATAAAATCGAAGCTGCTCGTACTCTAAATCTCTTTTTGATACTATGTCAAAATTGGTCGTTGTGATCCGCGGACGACTTAGTGCAGCGGTGTGGACGCGTGCATGTACTCGAGGCCCGATGACCACCTGCAGCGTCACCCAGTGTGGGCCCTTGGCTGGCTGGACTGGCTATGCATAGCTGGTACCTGGTATCAGCCGGACTTGGTACTGGTTACCAGCGCCGTGTCCGTCCGAGTACATGTAATGAAGAATGCGAAAACTTGCTCGGAGGAGAACAACAGAGATAGAATCTGATGACCATCCTCTGGACTGACTAATACACGTTTCGGCGACCAGCAGGAAGCAGCAGGGGGGTGGAGAAGTCCAGTGCTATTCATTGTGGATCCTTGAGGTTCCATTGTAAGACACTGGTAAACAGTGGTTGACAGCGGTTGACAGTGGTGGAAGTGGTAAAGATAGCTGTAAAATAGTGGTAAACAGCAGTAAAGCTAGGGGTAAACAGTGGTAGACGGTGGTAAGCAGTGGTAAGCAATGGTTTGATGAGCAAACTTTGGGGCTATATCAATATGTCATTTATTGCATTCCAGATTGATCTTGAGAGTCTCTTCTTGATGCTGCTTTCTTGCTAAAGCTGTTATGTGACCTTCGTCTTTTACCCATTAACCAGTGGGGAACTGGCTGGGCAGATAGATAGTACTATCCTGCTCTACAGTCATTGCAGAATGGTTCCTTGGAACAAGCCCGAATCATTTAATTCTATCGAGGAGGAACACCTAAAGCCAAGGGTTGGGTGTTGCCCTACCGGTATCATACCATTGGTGGGGAAAGACTTCAGATCATTATAATATATCAGTAGCTACCGGTAGCTAGCCGTCTACTACATGTAGCCAGTCCAAGCCAGCTAGAGCTGCTCGAAGCTCTCCTCGACTGCTCGAGTAGTGCATTAGAATACGATTAGTTTCGGGAAGCTTTTCGGGAGCAGCTGTACCAAAAGCACATGGTCATTATCGACCAAGAAAGTGTGTTCCCCTGGCAGCCGGTACCGGTACTGTTAGCCTAGTAAGCTCCTAGTAGTAGGTATTAGATTTATGAATAGCGCTTACTAGTATTTTAAAGTCGACCATCCACTCGACTAGGTGAGTAGTGGGCACCAGTAGCAGGCACCAGGTGCACCTTACTACACCTCAGGGCTTTATCAATAGGTCATTATTTTTGCATTCCCGATGAGAGTCCCTTCTCAATGAAACTCCTTTCTTGCTACCGTACAGCTGTTACGTGACCTTCGTCTTTTACCACTTAACCATTGCTCTACAGTTACGTGACCATCGACCATGGTCTTTGTGACCCCTAACTTCCGGTACCAGTACTGTATTTCATACACACATTGTTCCCATTTTCATTTTCAAGCGATAGACTAGCTTTAGATGCACGTGCCGGATCATCTGTCCAACCAGTGTGGATCAATGACCTTTCTTTGGCAACTAACTGATGGTACCTGGTACCAAACATTCCTGTAAAATTTGCGTGTCGGGTCATTCAACCACCCAGTTTCGCCCAATGCACGATGACCCTTCTAAAGAATTGAACTGGTACCGGTACGCTGAACTTTTGTTGGACTTCCTGTTCCTCTCAGCTCATAACTTTCATTCGAAAACAATCGAACGACTTGTTATCCTTTCATTACGAGTGCAGTAAAAGCCAACAACAACCACAATGAACTACAAGCTCGTGATCTTTGCTACCCTCGTCTCTGGCGCTGTAGCCGCAGACCACTGCGTCATCAACCACGATACCAAGTGCGGTACTGCTGGTCATCTCGATAGGTGCGTTGAGTTCAGTGCAAGGGAAAACTAATGTCAGGGTACAATGTTAACATTGCTACCGTACCTCACACTTTTCTTTTGCTGCCTTTGCGTCTCTTCAGGCTGAACGTGGCAAGTCTGGATGCCTGCAAAGCCAAGTGTTCAAGCACGGCCAACTGTGGATTCTACAGTTACCGTTCCACCGACAAGCGTAAGTCCAATACTATACTGTACCGTGCTGTACTGTACTACTAGCTAGGTCATGGCATCAGTTCTAATTCAATTCAATTCAATGCAATGCAATCATCTTCACATGCATGCAGTGTGTGTCACCTGTATGGCCGAGGGCAACAAACAAGGATTCCCCGGTTTCACGTTCTACCCTCTCGACCCCGCAAAATGTCCGGTAGAGGAGGTCACAGCGGTTGGTGCAACTACTGCGGGAGGTGTTCCCTTGTGCGATGCGCCCGTTCACGCCAACATGAAGTGCGCATGGAAGCACGTGGACCGTCTCCACCGTTTGGTGAACCAGTCGGTCGAGCAGTGTCAGAAAGCGTGTGCCGACGACCCAGCTTGCGAATTCTACAGTTACAAATTCAAGGGATCTGGCGGGAAGCACGAGAAGGTGTGCATGGGCTGTGGGGCAGGCACTGCCAATAGTATGCAGCACCACCATAACTTTCACCTATACTCCAAGGGGTGCGTGGGAAAGCCACCACCCATGCCACAGACCAAAACGTGGAATGGGGACCTCTGTGCCCGTGGTACCGGTGATCCGCATTTCATGACATTTGACGGCAAGAAGTACGATTGCCAGGGCGATGGCGACTTTATCCTGTCCCGATCGTTGGATAGTGGATTCGAGCTACAGGGACGTTTCGGAAAGGTCCGTCGTCGACCAAGGGTTGCGACGCATCAAGGAGCCGTCATCAAGACTGGGATTAATGGAGAACCAAAGGTGGAAATTGCTTACACCAAGGAGTGTGCCATCTCGTACCGGATCGAAGACACACTCGTCGATCTGGACAACAATGGGGGTAACACTGGAACCAACATGGTCGCATTCTTTGCCAGCGGAAACACCCGCACCATTGAGTATGATTCGGGATTCAGTCTCAAGGTCCAGCTCAGATCCTGGAGTGGCGACTGCTACCTCAACGTTTATCTTTGCCTTCCTGAGACAGTCGCGGACCAGAGATTTGTTGGAATCCTCGGTACCCCTGACGGCAACAAGAACAATGACTTTACTGACCGCCAGGGAGTCTCTACCGGACTTGCCATTCGAGCTTCCAAGAAAGAGGCCCACGAACACTGTGTCAAAACTTGGTGTACCCATCCAAGCGAGAATCTTTTCAATGAGCCTACGGCAAGCCAGCAATGCAACGTTGTTATCCCCTATGACGACGACCTGGAAACCAAGGTCGCCGAAATCGCAACAACGAATCCTGAATGGTTTAGCTTGTGCGACGGTGACGAGGAATGCCTGATGGATGCCCTTGCTGCCGACGACATTGACCAGGGTGTGAGAACCCTCATTGATGGTGAGGCCGACCCTGAGCCCCCAGGCATTGACGAAATTGAGCCTGCTACGGTTCCCCAAGAGGAAAGGCCACCCGGCACACCACCACCACCACCAACCGAGCCAGCACCAACCAGCTCGACACCAGCCAACGAACGATCCGGACCAATTGACGAAACCTTCACCACAAAATCGCCTCCAGGAGCCATGGGTGATCCTCATTTCAAAACTCACGGAGGAGAGATGTACGACTTTCATGGTAAGGCTGTCCCATCGTTGCGGCTGTTTGTTTTGCTTGATAATTATGGAACTGTAGCTTACCATTCTGGGTTGTCCTTCTTGTCACTTCACAGGCGGTTGTGATCTTGTGTTGGTTGACCACCCTACCTACAAGAATAGACTGGGTTTGACGATCCACATTCGTACCAAGATCGAGACATGGTGGTCCTACATTGAGACTGCCGTCCTCAAGATTGGAGATGAAACTCTCGAGCTGACAGGCAATGCTCAAGAAGAAGGGATCTTGCTTAATGGAGCAGCTCTTGTTACCGAGACGACCACTAGTGACGAATGGCACTTTAGCAAGTTCGCCGGCAGAGTTCTCCGGTACAAATCCGTGTCGGCCAACCACCGCATTCGTCGTGAAGCTCACCTTCATTTGGGAAATGGCGAGAAGATCATGTTCAAGACCTTTGCTGACTTTGTCAAGGTGGAGTTCATGAACGAAAGCGATGACACTCTCAAGGGATCCTTGGGATTGTTGGGAACCTACCCCGACGGTCAGCGTGTTGGACGTGACGGAGCTACCATTATGGAAGATGTCAATATGTTTGGACAAGAGTGGCAAGTCAAGCCTGACGAACCCAAGTTGTTCCACAGCTACACTGCGGACTGGGTTGTTCCTGCCGGACAAGCTTGCGCAATGCCTGTTGATAGTATTGAAAAAAGCCAACTTCGCAAGCGTCGTCTTGCCAATGGCCTTGTCGAAGAAGAAGTTGAGAAGGCCTGTGCTCATCTCCAGGACCCATCCGATCACAAGGCATGTGTCTTTGATGTGATTGCGACCCAGGATCCTGCCATGGCTGGTGCTTGGTAATTGAACGGAGCTAGCGAACCGAACTTGGGATGTTGTCCTTGCGGGTGCCTTGGACTGATGGCCACGGTCTTCAATGAATAGAATAAAATATGTGAAGAGATTATAAGAAAGCTTTGAACTCTGTTGCTATTAAGGATTCTCAAATAGCATGGGCACCTTGAACTGGGATAGTAGAAGCGTAACTCCGTGGTGGGTCCAGGGGGCAGCCACTCTGTATGTCTTTCACTGAAGCCAACTCTCACCCCACGTGGAATGCTCGGGTTCTCCAAGCAGTACCGTGCATGAGCGCAAAGCCTCCTCTCGAAACTCAGCGTTGTAATGCCCTCTCGTTCGTGAATTCGCGACTGTCGCTCGTCTTTGGTTCTCGACAACAGGTTTTGCGGATACTACTAGCAAGTTTTAGAGTACGAAGAGGAGAACTACTTGGGATGTCTCCGATTCGTTCTTATCTATACCGGTAAGATCGAGGGCCTGATCGGTTTGCTTGCGGACCCATCAATTACTACTGCGTGCTTTTGCGACAATGCTAGCTGGCCACTCCGCTGCGCCATGCTTTTCACTAGGAATTAATCGTCCCCACCATGCCGTTGCCAATTAATAAAGCGCTTCATGCTGACGTGCTTCATGTGTCCAATCCTGATTTTTGGGCTCCACTTCCGTCACGACTTGATGGCTTGGCGCAACCATGAGAACATCAAAGATGGTAATACCTTCCTCCCTCATTATTATTAATAGCTCTCTGGGTTAGTTTTAGTATTGACGCCTTGGCCACCAAGCTGCGTGCACCCCTTAATCATGGTGTTCAAGTTGGTGCGGCTCTGTGCCCATGGTTAAGATACATTGTGCGGCCTTTCATCTTCCAGCCCTACCACAGGAGCAATCACAGCCACACAGGAGATCAGTACACCCAAAGAACACCCCCATTTGACCTGAACATGAATGTGCAAAACCTGCCGGTATGACACAGGTTCCATTTACATGGCAAAGGGACTCTGGGATAGTTCCAGTCAACATTGGATTTCCATCCAACAATAATGAGTGCAGTGTCTGTTGTAGAGATGATAGTTCCACAGGGATTGAGCCTGACAAGCTATTGTTTGCCAAACTCGTGATACGCAGGCTTGTGAGTTCACCAAATTCACTGGGGATATGGCCCGAGAGTTGGTTGTGGTCCAGCAAAAGATCGTGTAGGTCTGTCAACAGCCCAAGCTCAGTTGGGATGATTCCTGTTAGCAGATTTCTCGCGAGATCCAAAGCAGCTTCCAGATTTTTGAGGAGACCGAGTTCACTTGGGACTGTACCCGTGATGTGGTTGTCCCAAAATGCAAGACGATAAGGGGAACTGAGCAAACCCAACTCACTAGGAATTCGCCCCACCAAGTCATTGAAGTTTAAGTGTATATGCTCCTTGTTGGGGTGAAAGCCTAGCTCACTTGGGATGGATCCAGATAGCCTGTTCCGCCCCAGAACAATCCACTCCAATGGCTCTATTTGCCCAAGCTCTGTTGGAATAGTGCCTTCCAATGAATAGACACAAGCCAGTTAGAGAATTGGGAACACGTGTAATATTTGAAGAATATCAGAGAAGCACTCAGCTTACCTGAGATGTCACTGGTGTCTAGAACAAACCATTTCAATTTTGAGAACACTCCCACCTCAGTTGAAATGGTTCCCTGCATCAGCTCATGGTCTGCCAGAATCCAGTACTCCAGATTGGTTAGCTGCCACAACTCGGTAGGAAGGACCCCTTGATGGTTGCTGTTGGTCAAGGCAATGCCCCTCAGTGTGGTCAAAAGGCCAATCTCTGAGGGGATGTTGCCATCGGTTGGCTGGTCAAAGATGACCAGCCCCTCCAAATCAGTGAGCTGCCCCAAACGAGTAGAGAGTACGCCATCAAGTTCATTCCATCCAAGAGACATCGTCTCCAGATTTGTTAGCATGTAGAGCTCTTCTGGAAGGTAGCCCACAAGATTGTTTCGATCCAACCATAGATTCTGATACATGTCATCTTCATTGCAGTGTGGTGGTGGTGTCTCCAAGGCAGGGACAATTTCCATAAGATAGCCTGGGTATATCAACTCCATCGTCATCTTCTGGGCAAAGTCAGGTGCATTGTACCATTCACACTCATGTATGCTATGGTTAAGCCAACTGGTATTATCCCACCAAGTTTCTCCGCTGGTGGCATAGTAAAGTGACGCCAAGGCGAACTTTTGCTTGATGCGAGCATCTGAGTAAGAATGAAGATTGGGATCTTCCAACAGCCATTCAAATGCCCTAGACTGAGGTGACACTGGGTTTTCCAAAGCCACTAGGGTGTCTTCTTCTAGCAACACCTTGATGGTTCCCTCCAGAGACATGGTTGGAGCTGAGGTTGAAGGATTTGTTGGAACTGGCATGGTTGGAGACATCTTGTCATCCTTTTTGTTGCCAACTAGCAGAGTCACTAAAATGACCATGACCACCAGCCCAGCAACTCCCATCAGTAGAAGACCTATCTTCCATAGTTTTTCCAATTGTTCCGTTTTTCTTTGTGTTTCGCTTCCCATACTATAGTCTTGAGCCTGTGGTAGATCCTCGAGAGCAGCCTCGTCCACTGGCTTAGCCACAGCCAAGCCAGTAGAAGAATGTATTCCGTGCTCGTCTGGTGGAAGACTGTTATCCATTTCTGCTGATGACGGAACAGCCGTTGTCCCTTTTTGTATTCCCAGAGTCTGCGAGAAAGAAGATTTTAGTTCTCCCTCCGCACCCACAAGGCTCCAGCGGAGCATAGCGGCTCTTTCGAGTTCTGTACCAGGCGCTGCCGAATAGGCCCCGGGAATCATCACAGCAGGAGCTACATTTGGCCCACGTGCCAGCCGCGGTTGAGGAACCGAAAGATCGTCCTTTAAATCAGTCTGCTCCAAGCTTGTTGTTTCATCGACCAGCTTGGAACACTGCTGACGTTCTCGTACAACTTGCATTACGAACATATCATCGTCTTTGGTCCCAGAATCAAACAACCCTTCCTCTTCGTCTTTGGACTCTGTCGTTCTCCCAGAGGCAGTGGTGGGGGGACGGTGGTTGTTTGAAGACTGGGGTGGTCTGCTCCGAGAAGAGGGTTGCTCCAGAACCTCCTTCTTATGTCTTTTTGTGGCTTCCTGCTCAAAGGCTTCCAACTTTTGACGCTCTGCATCCGTGGGCCCTCTGCTGCGAGCTGCCACTACATCCAGCAGACTGAACTCCTCCTGTGAAGAAGTAGCTTCCATTGCTGCTCGACCGTGTTTCTATGGTGATGGTAGATACTAGTAGTCCCTCTATTGAATGGACTGAGGGGCTTTCGCGGAGCACCTCTTATCGGTCTTTGTTGGGTGGTGGTGGTGCACATGCTTGTCGCTTGTTGCTGAGTCGTGATTGAATCATTTCCTCTTCGTTGAAGTTGGGCGCAACCTGGCGTTCGTACCGCGCATAAACCCGTACTAGCTAGTACGTGGATCTGTCCAAACAGGAAATAGAACGTACTGTAAGAGCTACTAGGGATAGTGTTACCAGTACCTCTTACATAAGGCCAAGGTGAAGGGTTCTGATGCAAGCGTCCTGTTGCCTTACATGTACTGTATGCGTTGTTTTGGAGCAAGCCTAATTCTCCATTATACTATTCTGTGGTGTTGTCGCAACCAAACCTTTGCTGAAAGCATTGTATCAAGTCCCGGGTGCGTAATACCGGTAGGTATTGTTGGGCAAGCCCTTTTCTAAAAGCAAAGACTTGCTGCTGCAAAGTAGCCAACTTGTTCGGGGGGTTTTCGCAGTTACTAACAAGATCGTAACAATTTCACGCTTCACCGTCCAGGTCCTCCAGAGCAAAACATTCTTTCTTCTTACTCTGAACTTGGAGAGCCGCCTTACATCTTGTACTTGTAGTTGCAAGAGGATGCCGGCACGGCTGGTCTTGCAGTGAGCTGGCGAAGGTTCCTGGTAACACAGTAGAGCTGGTGGGTGTCAAAAAGTCGACATGTGGGTTTGGTTGGCTCGGGTGATGAGCACCAGTTTTTCGTAGTAACTTAGTGATGGAAGATGGAAGATGGAGGTCCCACGTGGGTTCACCTTTGGTGGGTTTGGAGGTCGTGGGAGTGGTTCAAGTCGTATGACCTTTCTATGTTTGGTGACTCCCACCGAACAGTGGCGACGCTTGCCGATTTTACCAGAGCTGCGAGGCAAGAAAAGCCCCAACTCTGGATAGCTCAGCCCCAACTTGACTTGCTCATCATCGGTGGTACATGTATGTAGTCAAGAGGCGATGGCTGGTGGTCCGGGAAGGACAGGAAGGCTTCAAGGTAACTTTGGCTTGGGCGGCGGATTGGCAGTGCAACTGGATAGTACCATCGATACTAGTGTTGAACCAGGCAGTTGGCTGGACAGCACCAGCTAAGGTGGCTGGTTGGCTAAATCGCTAGGGTAGCTAGTTGGTAGAAGGGGTGATGGAGTTGGATAATGGTTCTAGGTTTCTTCTATTAGTTAGTATATGTTTTTCTATGGGGTTTGAGCAAAAGGCAGTTCACAAGCAAGTCGCGACAAGGATTCATGGTTGATTTGGTTTTTTTAGACAGATGTGTGGTGATGGTGGGATGCGGCAAACTCCCGAAGCAATGCCATGGAGGATTGGGATTGCAATGGAATGGGCAAGAGAGGGAAGGGTGTGCTTCCAAAGCTATCCAATCGTTCCAGTCGCGTGGCAGATGCAGCGGCGAGATTGGTGTGCATGTTAGTCAGAGTTTGCTGCTGATGATGATGAGGTTCCTGCTCGGATTCCTTCTTCATTTGACGAAGTTCCTTGCGACGGTTCTTCTTGGCCTTGGTGCTGCTCTTGTAGGATGTGTGGAGGGCATCACGGAGGCATTGCCCAATCTTTTCGCGGCAGACCGAGTCACCCACTTCGTACCATTGGTTGCCAATCTTCTTGACAAAGCCACCATTGGGACTCATGCCTCGTACGGAATCGACAATCTCACTGACGAGGAGACTCTTTTCGACCTTGGTGGTGGCTTCGGCGTAGACGGGCTTGTATTGCTGGATGATACTGCGAAAGCGAACATTTCCAGGATGGTTGGCAGCGGCTTTTCCTCGTGCGCAGATGCAATCGTATGGTCCAGGAACAAAGTCAGGTGCAAGTGGTCGTCGTTCCGATTCAATCTTGACGGCGGATTGAGGCTTGCGGGTCTTCATGTCGTTTATCAGTTCAGACAGGGCTGCTTTATTGTTGAAGGAAGTGCGGATGGTGAACATTGGGATTTCGGATTGTTGGTTCATCTTGGTTATTAGTATACCGGTAGTGTAGTAGTAAGTAGAGGAGTTTGTTGGTGTTTGTTGTTTGATTGTTTTTGTTTTGTGTCGAGTTGATTTTGTGAGAGGAAGAGGGGATCCTGGGGTGATCATTCGGAAGGCGTTCGTGCTCACCCATCCCGCACACCACCACACACACCACATCGATCGAGGGACAAGATTGACCAAAGTTCATGGGTTTTCCCTGTGCAGTTTTTCGTTTTTTTGTTGAAAACGTAAAAACAGATCTGATGTACTCTTTCAGAATAGAGAATAGCTGAAGAACAGAGGTGAACCTGGTGAGGGCCAATTTCAAAAGCACCAATCAACTTCCAAGTGAACTTAGTTAGATCTGCACAGGCACCCATACTGCATTCATAGAGTACTCAGCCTCACTCAGGAGTACCGAGCGTCGTCTTTGTTAAATCCCATATTCATTGACTTTATCATTAAGGATTTACACCAATGTTGCAGTGATGTTGATTCTTGCACCTAGTTTACCTGCCCTGTCAGCTTACAGCTACTTTCTAGGTCAATTATTACTGTTACTTAGTAAATTTTAATCGACAAGAGAGCTCAGCTGCGAAATTGGGAACTGTGAATGAGCTGAGGTGTAAATCTTCTACTTCCATCCATTTTCACGAAAAGGCAAGTTCCCAAAAGCCCTTCCTTAGCATGCAGGATTCTCGTGGCACCACCAAGATCTCGGCCCAATGACCCAGTCAATCTCTTGAGTTGGCTATTAATACATGCAACAATTCTCCCCTCGCTCAAGATTGTCACCAAGACAGTTAGTTTCCTCGTACTGGTACTAGTAAAGCTGCCTCGATCGTCGCCTTGATGTTTCATCGCTGCTATAGACATCGAGTGGGAACGACATCCACTTTCCCCTGTTTGCCATGTCCCACTGGTTTTTATCGTCAAGTGTCTGAAGCAGCCAAGTAAGTGCGTACAACGTACACGTAGTTCAGTTGCCGAATACTGCAAGCAGCCAGAAGCTTTTGAAATAAAAGGTTCCGTCTCTCAATTTGGGTCCGTTTGGGATAAACGGTGTTGGCTGTTTTAGTACTACAGTCGTACTGTAATGTACCAAGTTCCGAAGCCTGCCAGGATTCCTTCTTCTTGTCTCCAGTTTAGTGGCCCGCCCGACAGAGTACAAACGTATCAGTGCATGAACTAGACTAATGTACGTCTACAGATCCATCTCGCCACTGTTGCAGCAAGCAGCCAAGGGTGCCAAGTACGGTATGTTCCCACTGGAGCCGTCAATATCCCGTTGGATCCGAATGGCTGTAGTGTGGGAGCCCAAACGTTTTGGCGGGGCGGCGATCGTGCAAATGCCCAGTTCACAACTGTGACTGACTGTTACTCGAACCACCCTATGCTCTTTAACAACCCCAGAGGTTTCAATCGAATCATTCGAATCGAATGATTCGATCAATCGACTGAACCTCGTCTTTTGGTCCTCCACCGTTGCTCTAGCTAGCAAGCTATGATAGCAAGCTAGCTAGTTAGCAAGCGAGAGACCACCTGATCGTTCAGCTGGTTACAATTGATGGGGAAACCGACAACTAAAGGAACTGCAGCAGAGGAGCGATGGAACAAAGTTGCGAGCCCGCATCTCGCCACCGCGGTACCGCCCATCTGATTCGCTTCGCTCAATCCTCGCTCTACCGTTTGCATCGTTTGTCGCCATCTACCTGGATGCTACCCACCGGTACGTACAGACAATCGAGTCGAGTCACAGCTACTCTGGATGAAGACAAGCGGACGATTGTTCTTTGATGGCTGATATGATGGTACGCAAGATCAGCTCGGATCGATGCATGCAAGTGCTGCCACTGCAAGCGACACGAGGCAAGAGCCGGAATGGCCGTCACTCGTCCTCAGCCAAGACCACCATTCCTCCGTGGTCCCCACCGATATGCACGAGAAAAGGAGCCAACGACAACGAAGTTGCTGTGAGGCTCATTCATACACAATGGCTTGTCTGTTGACGAAGCCTGATGCCATGGACGAAGCTCCGGTTCGGACTTTTGGCTGGCCAGGATCATTCCTGCCGCTGCCCGCCCCAAGCTCTAGAGCAAGTGCATCGGTGGTCTCTGACTTGCACCAGCAGGTGCTCCACGAGACGAAACGAGACGACTTCGTCGCTACCAGTAGCTACAATTCATCGAGGCTGTACCGTTTCCATTCGCGAAATGCCTGTCCATGATTGCACGACGATTATGTTTTCCCGTGATTTCGAAACGAAGGCAGAGAAAGAAAGCTTTCGCCAGAATTTGTACCTCACACACATGTTCTCCGATACGCGCGCGTTGGCTTTGTACAGTAGTAGCGGCTCCGGCAAAGTAGAACGATACCCTAGATACACTGCATGTATGTACGTTGATAGCTTTGGAACATACGGTACGGTCTACTACCAATTATATTGCCAAGTACTCTGTTCGGTGCCAATTCTTTCCCGAATCGCCGAGGATGATTCATTGGCATCTGCCTTGGACAGACTATCCTTGTGTAATTTGGTTTGGTCCTTGATGGACTGTAGAATGGCACCAATATTGGTCTCCAGAACCATCCCTCCCATGACAATTTCATCTGCACGGAAATAGAATAAATAGTAAGAAAGAAAGAAGTATAGGATATACATGTGTAAGTCAAAATACATGAGTTTAGATCTCTTCAATTTAAATCTTCTTACCTAAGCAATAGTGGACCCTGTCGGAATGAAAGATGAGATCCAGTTCACAGACATTTTCAAAGCATTTGTCCAAACTAAAATGGCAAATAAGCAGAACGGCAGCAACCAAAAGCAATGTCAGTCAGTCATCCAACAATTGAGCAAGGTAGAACCCATGTACCAATATCTTCCGTATCGTACCTCTCCACAAAGACTTGAATCAGATCTAGAATCCCAAGATCCGATTCTTGCGAATCAACGGCAAAGACAAAATAAAGTGTCGCGTAATGTCGATAAATGAGTTTGACATTATCTCCTAACTCTGGTACAATTCCTTCTAGATAATTGCAAAAGGTATCGTCTCGTTGTGCCACTTGTTGGTAAATGCGTCGAATGACCGTTTGTTGGAGGGCTTCACTTTCGACCGATTGATAGAATTTGGCCAATCGAGGTTTGCCGTGATTGTTGATGATACAGACTGCTTTGATCATGATGATGAATATAATATAGAATACGTGCTTGTGGGAAGGTCGAGAGGATCCTTGGATGGAGCTTTTTAGTTAGAAGTGAGTGTTTCAGTATCTCATCTTGCTTCGTCTTGAGTGGTGGTTGGTGGTGGCAGATCTTATTGCAGATTCGATTCGATTCTCAATCTCCATCCCTAATGAAAGTACTTCAAACTCTATCTCTAATAAATGTGAGAATTTGTGGGACGCCATCGTGTCATGCCGCCACGGCGCGGTGCACCGCCCAAATGCCAAGCAATTAGAGCGCCATTGGCTCTGTTTGCACCCGTTGGCAACCGTTCAACGCTCTGGCAAAGAATTTCGGATCAGGCCATCTTTCTTCTCGCTGTCCACGCCATTGGCGACATGCAGAAAGGATAGATAGAAGTACTTCTAGCTAGTTAGTTAGTAGAAGCACCACTGTCGACTGACCATGAGCACTGCGCCTGCTGATACGTCTCATTTGGAGACGATTGATTACAAGCCTCCAGCATCTTCTGCTTCTGCTGCCAATAGTAATATGATGGAAGACGAGAAGAAACTAGATGTGGATGATCGCGACAACGACGGTGAAGACGCCGACGTGGATTTGTATGATGAAGAAGCGGAATGGGACGAAGGTGGCAAATCGCATTGTGGTTACAGTGAAGCCGTCCACTCGACGTTAATGAGTGTCGGTGAAAGTGTACACAAAATGGTGGGTGAACCAACGCCTCGTGTCGAGAAGGAATTGAAAGCGGTCGGTAATTGGTTTCAGGAAGCATCCTATGCGGCCCGTGATTTGTTTGGTACGAGCAACAGTGGAATGAAGGAAGATGCCATGGACGCTGTCAAGACAGTTCTACGTGGTGGATCCAATGTCAATGACAAGAGTGGAGAAGAATCAGGAGATCACACGGCGGCTGGTGGTAGTACTATGAGTATGGACAATATGGAAAATGCGGCATATACTCCTGTACAGGCGACGGACTAGACTGGCCCAAAAAAAAGCACTGCCATGGAGGTCCAACTAGTCAAGTTCAGTCAAGTACTTTTGGACCTACCAGTCAGCCCTTTCCTCTATGTGTTTTTCTTTTTGCCATTGGTCACTTGAGGGTCAATTGCTTGGTTACTTACTTTTAGAATATGCCCTCTATCTATACACTCTTAATACTTTCAATTCATGTTTACAATAGCATACCGTAGCAACTGCCTTGCTGCTTCTATCATACATCGTGCCACTACCACTGTTTTAGATAGCTAGGTCGATAGAAAGACAGACAGATTAGATAGACACTCCATCCATTGAGCATGGTAGTTGGCGAAGTAGTGCTAAAGAGAATGAGATTCCAATGACGAAGGAAACTCTACAGTACTCATAGACTCTAGCTAGACTAGTCTCGTAGTTTACAATTATGCCTTCACGGTTAGGTTAGCAAGCCAGCTAGCTCTAGCTGCTGGACATGACAAAACGGAAACTCTAGCTAGCTAGAGGTCAAAGCTTATTGATCTGATACCGGTACAGAAGACAAGATATTGATAGACACGACAAGATAAAGGATATCTAGAAACTGACACTATTGTTGTATGTAATGAGTGACATTGTGTGTGCTAAAACCGACACTAAAGAAGGGAAAATGACAAGTGATGAATGATGCCCACAAAGATTCGCTCCAGTCAAACCAAGCATACACCTCTCACTCCTTTTTTGTTTGTTTGGTTTTGGATTTGATTGAGTGCAGAAGATGTTTAGCTGACAGCCGGGACGTTGTTTTGCGTGACCACCACCTCTGGTTCACTGTAGTCATTGTCCGTGAGCGGTTCTCGCTTGTCCTTGTTGGCACGGTGTCTCAAAAAGTACGTGTAACTCAACGTGAGGAATCCCCACAAGAATCCAACCGCCACAACGACGGCCACAATGATTTCGACCACTCGGCGGTTGCGTTTTCGATGTCCATACGTTTTTTCCTTGTATGCTTTGAGGAGTGTTTTGCAAATGGGCATTTCATCTTCGTCATCTCCTCCCGCTAGATTGCGGCCATTGGAGCAGTGCGTCGAGTCTTGATACAATTCTTGACAGACATCGTCATTGGCGCCGTCGCCGTACGGGTTGCAACTCAAACACATGGTTTGAATGCCGCTAAAAGTGCCATACTCGAATCCAAAGTCCATCGTGGCAGAACTGGATTTGACCGTACATTCATCGTCATAGTAGAATCCAATCTTAATGTCACCCTCACTGTTGCACTGAGGTCCGGCATAGATCTGAATGCCATCTTCATCCTGAAAGGCTTCTTGACATTCCAAGTACTGGGTCTCGTCGCCATAGGCAGCATCTCCACCATTATTGTTGTTGTCTTGGTTGTCATTGTCATTGTCCATGTAGTTAAAGTTCATATTGGCGCAAATGTCGACACAGTGATTACAGTCCACATTGATGTACTCGACTTCTTCTTCTTCTTCTTGCTCATCTTCGTCCAATTGTCGTTGTTTTCGCTTTTGTTGTCTTCTATTCTGACACTTGGCACTGCAGCTCTGACACATCAATGCGGCATATTCCAACGAGGTTTCCAGATAGGTCGCTAGATCCGTCACGTACTCTTGCGTCTTGTCGCAAACGCCACACACATTTTCAGACGACGAGTACTCGTTCTCGCAGAGATAGACACTGGCAAATTGCTGGTACTGCGCGTAGTATTTGCCATTGTAAAAGTACGAATTGCCTTCGTCGTCGCCATCGTCCGGCACCTTGACGCGCACGCATTTCCCAAATTCCATCTGATACGAACTCAAGTCCTCCAAGTACTGATACCCATTGTCTTCCAATGCTCTCTTTGTGAGAGGCGAGACAGCTCCTCTCTTATTAGTATGCTTTTTGGCCGCCAATGCGCATGACACACAAAGGACCAACAACAGACACAGCCGTTGTAATGATGATGATGATGATCTCCTCATGGTCAATCTATTCTATTGGGAGTGCAGTAAGTAGTAGTGCACTAACTGGTTGTAGTAGACGATGGACACCAACAACCAACCAAGAGCAACAGAGACAAGCAAGCAAAAAAGAAAAACGCTTTGGTCAACTAACTCTCAAATAAATCCAACTGTGGTCCTATCCACACGCAAATCGCTAGCGTTCCCAAAAAATGCCGCAATCCTCTAAACAGCGAGCACCTCGCGGTTCAATTGTTACGCTATTGGTCCGTTTCGAAATCAACACTTACATGCCTTGGCGATTTTGACGCCGGCATGAAAAGAGAGGTGCGCGTGACACTTTTTTCAAGTTCTCCTCATTATTCGAAATGCAACAATGGTTCATTCGAATATGTCGATTAGATTGGTGTGAATGGATCAAGATTGCATCCGCAAGACCGGATCCGGGACCGAGCCTCAAGACTTCCAACTCCCACGGATACAAAAGAAAGTTCAGTTCTCAACTGCTCGTCTGTGCAGCTTGCAGATGACTACTCGTAGGTACCAAGCCTTTGCTTGGTTGTTGGTTGTTTGGGGCTACTGTACCGAGCCTATCGACACCTTGTCTGCTCGCTAGCTAAAACAAAGATGAGCATGCATGAGGCTTGTACGAAACCTCAGTCGTCTTTATAGCCGTGTTGCAAAGGAGGAATGCCATCCATGGCTGCTCAAGAAGTTCGTTGTCTGTGTGCTTTCTTCCTCGATCAATTGATTGATTGCATCATGGGACTTGTAAAACAACACTCCTAACCGTGCTCTGTCGACCTTGCATACCGTACAGCGTGTTGCGATGGCATTCATGAAATCCACGGCTGCCAAAGCTGCTTGCTTCGTTCCTTCCCTCCTTGATTGCTCGGGTGCTTTGCTGGAGCCGTATTCCGGTCTAGACTCATCGCTTGGCTGTATCAATTGTTGTTGTCTACCCAGCTGGTTGCTATGGGCCACCAACCACCGGGTACATTGTGCTTCTGGGTTTCTGTACAGCAGCCTGACTGCTCTTGTCACCCCGAGCCATCTTGTTGAGCACCAACCCTGCCTTGTTTGGGGTGCTGCTTCTCGTCGTTTTTGCATTGATAAAGCTCATACAGAATCAGGAGTCGAGCTGCATTCGGAAGTCTCCACGGTTGACAATTGGTTGGCTGGATCATTGTTGTTGGCTGGATCATTGTTCGCTCAGGTAATAGTGAGGTTCACTGGTGTGCGTATTGGATTCTTTGTCTTCTTCGTTTTGGCATTTGGCTCAATCGCGTAGTGAATGGTTTCGCGTAGTGAGGCAGTGGTTGGGATGAAATCAGTTTCCGGCCCCGGTCCGCCCCCGGACAGATACGAGTGCAGTCAGCCTGCTTTGACGTCCCCAACCATTCAAGGTTTGTCTGGGTTGCTTCTCGGTTTTACATGGAGTATAGGTTGCTCGGCCTCCAATAGAATATTTACGCATGTACCAGTCAAGAAGGATCCTCGTCACTCGCACTCACGCGACCTTGAGGCGAGCGGCGAGACATGAGCATGCAGGTTTCGCCTTGTAGTGACGGGGGATTGAGCGGTGGAATGCGTACTACTACTACTAATGTTGTTGAGAATCCGTCGACCACAGAAGAGAATAGTCTACCATTCCTCTATAGTGATTATAGCAATAAGGATTATAGCAATGAACCGAGACGACGCATACTAAGTACCAGCGCTCGAATATGGCTGCACGTTTGCCCGTGCATGATTGAATGAAAGAAGATCAATGACCTGTAGCTTCTTCGATGGGCGTGCCCTTTAGCAGATCAAATGCCTTTAGGATGGCTTTCCACTCATCGTCCGTACGAACCCCGTCAGCTTCGATGGTCTTCTTGCGAGGAGTTGTGGATTGATTTTTACTTTTGCGTGGTTGCCACGGCAGCAGCTGCTGCTGTTGCTGTTTTCTCCTATTCCTCACTGCTTCTCTGGCATTCTTTTGATTTTTTTGTTTCTCTTCGTACCTTTTTTGCGCCTTGAACCGTCTCATCTTTTCCAAGACACCGCACATTCCATTGGAGGGGTCCGGGTTGCAGTTTCCCCAGCAAAAGTCGGGAATGCCCGTGTGCTCCTGAAGGATTCGTCCCGTATCGGGGGATTCCAATGACACTTCGAGGTACGACAGCGATGGATGTGCCTCTGCAAACATTCGTACTTGCACTGTATGTGAGATGTAAAACTGCCTCCACACTTCGGGAGAAGAACCAGGAGGTGGGAATCCTTTACACCCCCTCGACATGCGTTCGGGTAGCTTTCTCCAATTCATCGCAGAGTCATACCAAGCATCAGCATCTCGCACCACATTCAAGATTGTGCCGTTGGGATGGGACTGATAGAAATGCTCCAACCCGCCATGCATCGTTGGGAAGTAGCATCCGGGTGGCTGTTCTTGTGCATGCTTCGATGCCTCTAGTGCTGTTTCGGATAACTCTTGTTGTTGCCTTTTTCTTTTCCTTCTCTCCCGTGCATTGTGAGGTTCGTCGAAATATCCCAAGTCAGTCCAGACTCTGAAATCTCCACATTCCTCAAATATTGACCGATTGCGTTGCAGATTGTATTCCATGCACTTGCCAATTCTCAATGGCTCGTCCGTAGTGATGTTGCGTGTCCAGTGATGTCCCGCTTGGTTGTAACTGAGTCCGCATTGGAAGAAGCGCTACGTGGCAAGGAAAAGCAAGACCGTTCTCGTGAGCATACGATTAGCCACTACTTACATGCATGTCTTGGCTGTTAGACTCACCTGTGTGGACGTTGTTCCACTTTTTGGTAAACTGGCTACAAAGATTGGAAATTGCAGTGGAGGAGTCTTCTTCGAAGGAGAGGTGGATTGCAGCAGTGCTCTGGGTGGCTCTGTGATTTTTGTTTCCTCCGTCGCGGCGTGCTTTCTCCCCGATCCAACGGACTGCCAACATAGACGAGGAAGGCCAAGCTCTTTCTGCAAGATAGCATTGGTTTCGGAATCTTCAAGAGCGACTTCCACGTAGTGAATTGATGGATGTGCCGCAGCAAAGTCTCGCACGGATTGCAGATTCCATTCATAAAACGCAACCCATTCAGCTTTAGATGCACCTTTGTTTTCGGGGATGGGCACGGCACCGTCGTCTCTGTTGCAAAACGATACCAAATTGGACCGAAATCTGCGATACGATGATCTGTACCACTCTTCAGGATCTTGTGTGACTTGGAGGATTGTGGCTTCCGGGTACGCTTCGGCTAGGGCGTCCATTGCACGTCGGTCTATCGACGGAAAGAAGCACTTTTCCTCCTTGGGCGCCACGAATCCCATGGAAGACCACACTTTGGCCGTGCCACAGCCGTCTAATGGAGGCCTACCTGCATCCAGGTTATCTTGCATGCATCGTCCAATTTCTATTTGTTCGCTGCTCTCATTGCCGTTGGAAGTCCAGTAAAAGGCAAAATCGTTGGTCCCGCCGCTACCCAGGCCACATTTGAAATAGCGCGATGTCGCCAGAGTGCTGGTACCTGGCAAACTCAAGACAAAGACTGGGTTGTCATCCCACTTTTGGAGCTTTTTCAGATTCTCGTCGCGGTTTCGTTCCCAGTTTATTCTCCATTGTCGTCGAATCTTTGCAACATTTTTAATGTTCTTTTGGACAATGCGATCGGCAGCCGTCACGGCACTATCGTAGTACCTCTGTGCGGTAGAGATCACTTGGCCTGTCGTCTCTTTTGCCACTGCATCAATATGAGGCAGCAGAGCAGTATGCTTGAGATCGTCTCGAGTCTCCTTAATCCAGCTCCCGTCTTCTTGTCTACGCAGCTTTTGCTTTTCTTCCGGCGACCAATGCTCGTAATTGTGAGCGTCCTCTTCCGCTACTTGCATCCACCGCGAGACACCTGAAAAGTTGAATGTGTTCTCATGAAGTATTCCCAGCGAAAAAAACACATAGACGGCGGCAACCACCAAGAATTGGTTTCGCCGAGGGAGAACGAGGCAACGGCGTCGACGGACTGTCATCTTAATTGGTTTGCGGCTCTAACAACCGGAAATGAATAATCACTCTACAGGGACCAAGGCTGTGTCTGTCTGTCAATCAAGACATGCCTCTGTAAAGTTATTTGGTTGCTCGTTACAAGCTCTAGCTAGCTAGATAGAATTCTCGAGGCAATGACAGCTTTTTGTGAAAGGTTTGTCAAGGAGCGGTTGCAACGAAAAATTTGGGTGTTTCGAGGTGCACCAAGAGTGTCGTGCGGGCGTTCGGGACAATAATAACCAAGCTCCCATTTTCAACCACGATCGATCCATGCCGCGAAAACCATTGTCCCTGATTTTAGACTTTTTGCCCCCACCAGACTGGGGGTTCTTCCAACTTTTATCGGCAGGTGTGTGTGTGTGCTAGTTAGTGTGTACGTCTCTTTGTGTGCTGGTTAGTGTGTACGTCCGTCACATAAGGGGAAGTTTCCCTTGTATGGAGATGTGTTTAGTTTGACACAGTTAGGTAAAATTGAGAGACTGTGTTCAGTTGGACACAGTAGCTTTAAACAGTGTTCAGTTAAACACAATAGCAAAAATCGAGAGACTGTGTCCAACTGAACACAGTAGCTTGAAACCAGAACTGAGATTGAGATATAAGCCAACACATAAAATTAAGAAGCTGTGTTTTGTTGGACACAGTACCAGCTGCAGTGCTCATGGAAGCTAGGTAGAAATTAGATGTAAGCTAACAATGAAATTGATTTGATATTTAGCTCCGAACTAATAGAAAGCTATTTTCTCAGCTGTATTGATGCTGCCAGTGTTCTTGTTCTGCCCTAGAGGCGTGTGGTGCTGGTGGTAACTGGAACAACAGCTCTGAGTCTGAATTTGAGTGGAAATAATAATGAGCTGCCCGACTAGAAAGATCAGCCCAATACTTAAACCAATCAATTTGCTTTTGAGCTTCACTGCGATCATATGAGCTTAAAGAAAGTGATCTTTGAAGATGTTTTTCCTGTGCCTCAGCTTGAGCTTTCCATTGATAATAATACTCGGTGTATTTCATTGCCATTTTTGCAAATGCTTCTTTCTCATCAGTACTGTTGTTTTCATTAGTGGTTGTGGTTGTGGTTGTGCTTGTGCTTGTGCTTGCAGAAACCCTGCCAAAAAAAGCTCTGAATCCATGGTCATCTACCATAGTATCACGAGGATTGTTTTCCTTTCGATAATCATATTTTCGAGCATGTCTTCTGAACATAACTCCTGGTTGATTGCGATAATCTTCTGCAAGGCAGTCTAGTTCATCTTCTTGGGATGCCATCCATTTTTTAAAGCCAATATCAGTTTCCTTCCAATGTTTGTTTTTTGCTACTTCTTTAAATTCTTTTCTTTTTTTCAGAACAAAGGGGTGATTCTTCTCTTGTTTCTCACGTCTACTTCACATTTTTTGCATGCCTTCCTTAGCTTTCTGTTTGTCAGCCTCGTGCTGTTCATTTGTTTGCTGCACACGCTTCTCTCGCATTCTTTTCCAGTTTGCATTTAGCTCAGAGGTATCGTTTGCTTGTCGACGTCTCTCTCGAAGCTTTTGAACTCTTTCTCTAGTGGCCGCCTTTATATCATCCTTCTCTTCTTTTGACTGTTTTGCACGTATTACTCTCTTCCTGAGTCTGTCGGCCTCTCGCTTACCATCACGGAAACTCTTAGCCTGTTCCATAGATGAGTTAGTCTCTTCCATCTCTTTACTTTTGAATGTCTACATGTATTGATTTCTTTGTGAAGCGTTGAGGCGTTGAGGCCCCTGTAATAGCTGGATATTTTCTTAAAATCCAGGTGGGGGCTTCAGCCTCCGGCTGCCTGTTCTTACAACATGAACACTCTGGTGGTACCACCTTGGCATAGGAAGACATCAGCAGTCGTCAGAGCTGTCAGTTTGGCTTCTATTGTACCGGCCAGCCACATCAAGACTCTGCTATTCGCCCTTATGCCTTTCCATCGCTCCTCCCAAACCAAAGATTGCCCTTTCCATGCTACCTCCCAGACCCTACTAGTAGGCCATACAACATTTGCTGTATCGAGCGGGTCTGTCACCTGTTTCGGATCTGGAAGCTCGAGAGAGAGGAGAAGAGTGCTGTTGCTGGCTCGTACCGGTACGGTGGAGTGCATGCATGGTAGTATCACTATTGAGAAAAATGAATTGAGAGCCTTCTAGGTCGTCTCCAGAACATTGGATCTGAGTTTCGAGTATCACAGTGCTCTTGTTCCTTAACGACAGCCAGCTTGGGGTCGACTCGCAGGCTCCCCCCCCTTCGAACATTTTGGGCGATCTACACTTGTATACATTGCTGTTGTACCTTAAAATGACAGCCAGCTTGGTGGCTGCCTCGGGGTCGGCTCGCAGACTCGCCTCCCCCTCGAATGTTCGAGGCAAACAGCTGGTGCAGTAGTGGTAGGGGTTCGTAACTGGTACCAGGTAGGGCTCCAATTGACTGATGCTGGTCGACTCGAACACACCAGAGACAACTCTTTGCTCCTTTAGAAAAAGAGTATTATTTGGCTATTTTGCTACATGTAGGTACGGTACGGTTCGAGGACGGACATCAGCTTGGGCAGAACACGAAGTTATTTACTTGCTGGCTACTCTAAACCCTCGTTAAAAACATTTTCTTCAGTCTAGCTAGGTCTTTAGTAAAATTTACTAATTATGGCTACCAACGCACCTTTTCATCAATTGCAACACTGATCAGATATTTTACATACCAGTACCACTTGCTAGCAGCGGCAAATTGTGGAAGCTTAGTGCCAGTTGCCGTAACTCTTTTCTCCACAGCACTGTTGTGGAAACTTTCTCGCCAATACCGCACTCGCGGTTCCTTACGTAGCTCTGACGTCTTGCGGCTGGCACCACAGTGTGGAGTCTGGAGACCCAAAAGAAACCTTGCGAACACGCAAGAATCGAATCGAATCGAATCGAAACGAGTCGAGTCAATATGTGCAAACCACATCGCGGGGAAAGCTCTGTCTCTTATCGACAGCGAGAGAATAGACTAGTCTACTAGTACCGCAGTCCAGCTGAGAGAATCCCCGTGGTCAAACTCACGCAGACAGCAGACAGCAAGCAAGGGATGGTCTCCAAGAAACACAAAACGTTGATTGGGGACCATGAAGTTTTCAGGAAGGACTATTACCACCAGCGATGAGATAGAAGAAGCTGAAAGAGAAGCCAACAATGAAGACGAAAGCTTTGAGGTTTTGGACATTGTGAACGCCAGGATCCGTGGATTCACAGAGGAGGAGCTCCCAAAAATGGAATCATTTTCAGAACGAGGAGGAGCAGATGCACTGGCACAAGGAGGTCCTCTTAGCACCTCACCCAAAGAAGAAGCAAAAGAACAGGAAAGCAAGAAGATTGAGGCACGAGTGCAAGGAACCCCAGAAGACAAAATGTTCCTTGTGGGGGTTTTAACAGAACGACAGGAAGCAGAATCGCCGTTAAGACAGGCTATGAATGTGGCAGCATCCACAGATGATTTTGATCTAGAAGACCCCCCTTCTCCGCCTCCGATAATCCTGATGCGTCATGACGAAGTGGCCAGCAGAAACTCTGGCGTGCCTGGTGCCTATTATGTGGCACTCGGCCTTGAACTTCCAGTATCTGCCACCATGTACCCAATGCTTGCAGCACATCCAGTAGCTGAGATTGAGAACCACTCCAACCTTCAATATGAAGTAGTCCAAGAAGGCTCTCTTGGTAACAGCGACTTGGCTGTGGCAAACCCAGTGGATGACACCATTCCTCAAGATCTTCCCCAAGCTCAAGAGTTCGAACTTCAAGAATCAACAAGAGACCCGAATGACAAGAAATACAAGATCATCCTTCTATTGGGAGCCATCGCATTGGTGGCAGTCATGATCGTAATTGTGTACATCCTGGTTCATGGAAAGAAGGATGACAGTGTAGCTCCAATGACTGCAGTTCCAACCGGTACTCCATCAGCAGCACCATCCCTGTCTCTGGAGGGAACCATCAAGGCATTGCTAGAATTGGAGACCCCGTCCGCTTTGGAAGACCTAGAGTCACCTCAGTTCAGGGCATTTGAATGGTTGTTGGAAGATCCCAATCTTCCCTTCTACTCAGATGCTCGCGCAAGGCAAAAGTTTGCCTTGGCGTCACTTTACTATGCCACCGGTGGAGAAACTTGGTTGGATAATACCAGTTGGCTTAACCATAGCATACATGAGTGTGAATGGTACAATGCGCCAAATTTTGCCCTGAAGGATACAATGGAGTTGATATACCCAGGGTACATGTCTGGGTTTTTCCCTCCCTCCGAGCCACCACCAGCACGCTGCAATGAAGCTGGCATGTATCAAAATCTTTGGTTGGATCGAAACTATCTTGTGGGCTACCTCCCAGAAGCGCTCTACATGCTAACAACTCTAGAGACAATGTCTCTTGGATGGAATCAGCTTGATGGCGTACTGTCTGGCCGATTGGGACAGCTCACTGATTTGGCGGGGCTGGTCATTTATGATCAGCCAACTGATGGCAACATCCCCTCGGAGATTGGCCTTTTGACCACACTGAGGGGCCTTGTCTTTACCAACAGCAACCACCAAGGGCTCCTTCCTTCAGAGTTGTGGCAGCTGACCAATCTGGAGCAATTGATTCTAATGGACCATATGCACATGCAGGGAACCATTTCAACTGAGGTGGGAATGCTCTCAAAATTGAAATGGTTTGTTCTAGACAACAATGACATCTCTGGTAAGCTGAGTTCTTCTCTGTTCTTCTCCAAATTTTACAATTATTCTCTAACTTGTTTCTATTTGAAGGCACTATTCCAACAGAGCTTGGGCAAATAGAGCCTTTGGAGTGGATTCTTTTGGGGCGGACCAGGATATCTGGATCCATCCCAAGTGAGCTAGGCTTTTATCCCAACAAGCATAATCTACACTTACTTGGCAATGACTTGGTGGGGACAATCCCTAGTGAGTTGGGTTTGCTCAGTTCTCATATTCGTATTTCATTTTGGAACAACCACATCACGGGCACAGTCCCAAGTGAACTCGGTCTCCTCAAGAATCTGGAAGCTGGTTTGGATCTGGCCAGAAATCTGCTAACAGGAGTCATCCCAACAGAGCTTGGACTGTTGACAGGGCTACACGACCTTTTGCTGGAGCAGAACCAACTCTCGGGCCAGATCCCCAGTGAATTTGGTGAACTTTCAAGTCTGCGAATCATAAGCTTGGTGAACAATAGCTTGTCAGGCTCCGTCCCTGTGGAACTATCATCTCTACAACAGACACTGCACTCCTTATTGTTGGAAGGAAATGCAATGTTGACTGGAACTATCCCGGAGTCCCTTTGCCATGTAAATGGAACCTGTGTCATATTAACAGGTTTTCCCCATTCATGTTCAGGACGAATGGGGGTGTTCTTTGGGTGTACTGATCTCCTCTGTGGCTGTGATTGTTCCTGTGGTGGGGCCTGAAGATGATGGCTGTCAAGAAGAGTCGATAGTCAGGACTGGATTCCGTGGGATCAGGGGATATGAATTTGAGGACCAGTACGGGGGCCAAAGGGCTTGGCTTTGAGGGATCGTCGGAGACATTGATGTGTAGTTTTTAGGTACTGTTTATATCTGGCTCCGTAGCAACAACAGATTAGGCTCTTTACAGATACATTGGCAACGTGATGTTCCCATTCTGTGGCTGTTTGCCTTGCATTTGGAATCTAATAGCGATTCGGTTGCCCCTCTTCTGGTTGTCGATCTCCATTGCTCATGTCAAGAGTGGTCTTCCTCTACATTTTATTTGCGGACCCTTGGAATTCGGTCCTCAGGTGCATTCTTGTTCCCTAATAATCAGTCTCCTCCCCCGACCCAACGTTGGCTTTCAGTACATGTATGTAAATAGCTAACCGCCCCACTGGGTACGGTTGCACCTGCATCCAATGACTGCTTTGACTCAATCGAACCCAATGGCCAGCCAACGAGCCACTCATAGGCTGCCGATCGAACGAGTGTTGGTGGAGGGTAAAAAGAGCCGGACGAGCGATACCGGCACGAGCCCTTTGAAAGAATGAGCGAAGCAACAGACTTCCCTGGCAGCATGGCTAGCTAGCTAGCTAACTACTAGTTGCCAGAAACGGCAGCAGCACTAGTTGCACGCAATCGACCACGCTACAGGGTTGCCGATCTAGCTAGAGCTATCATACATCGATCTGGCTACGGCAGGTAGCTGGCGCCAAGACTATACCACAGTGCGGCACCGTGCGTATGGGCCGGAGGTGTTGCCGTGATATCTAAAACGGAGGGAATGACGAAAGTCAACACGTACCTTGGCCAAAAGAATCTATATTCCTGTTTTGCCAAACACCATGACAATGCGGCATGGAAGTGTCCCAAATCAAATCGACAGACAATCAATCAATCATCCAGGCCATTTGTTTCTTGGTGCTCGTGGCCGGTCTTGCTTAGATCAAACTAACGTTTTTTTGGCTTGTACAATGTATTGCATCAACTATTGGCTGGCAAAAGACGGAGGGCGATAGTATCTTGGCCGTTGGAGCGAGTTCTAGCTGGGCAGCCCGGGCTTTCTTTTTTGTCGAACGGGTCCAGCTTTTGCAATAGGTATGTATGCTCCAATCTGCACGGTAGCTGGTTCTTCTGTTTTTCTTTCTTCTTCTTTGGCGGTGTCATCCAATAGCTTTTGCATTTGGGGCGGACAGGCAGGAGGCGAGCAAACAAGTGAGTATGACGGCGGCGTTCTTTGAACGAACTTTCCTCCATGAAGGTTCCAGTGAGGACAAAAGAAGGATAGTTGAGAAAATGCTTGAAGGCTACAAGCTTGTACTAGTACCCCGAGTATCTTTTTATTGACTGTCTGTTTTGCCTGTGCCTGGACTGGACTGGAGTATCCCCCTCACACACCACCACGTATGCAGAGAGAATGTTGACATCAAGCATATCTTTGTCCTCGGTCGTCTGTTGCCTAATACTAGAAACATTGAGAACAAGGGTGCAGAGTATCTTTCGGCCACGTCTATGCTATGGAGAATGCAACCAAAAGGCTTGATGTTTCTTTCCTCGAACGAACGAACGATCATTCCGAAGCAATAAGGCCATCTCCTTCCTTCCTTCCTTCCTTGTGTGAGAGATGTCTGCGGCAGAATCTCCCCCGGCGATCTGAGAGCGGTCCCTGTCGTGTCTGGGACATTCGTGTGACAAAATCTGATCCAATCAGAAGTGCAGCGAATGGCGCAGCTGGTGTTGGTTGTGCTACGTCACCATGAGATCGGCATTGCAATTGTGACGTGTTGTCGTCGCCACCAAAAACTAACACCGGTAAGCAGAGCAGTCCAGTATCGACCATGACAGCCAGCTAGCTAGTAGCTAGATTGATTGCCTGTTGATTGCTGAGCACTTTCATGACTACAGTACAAACTCACTTCTTCTCTTCGACAAGGAAAGAAAGCTAAAGACTTCAGGCAGCAAACAAACAAAAGGATAGGCCACGCCATTTCAGCAAGCTACATAATTTTGTGGACGGTCCTCTCTAAAACTCGTTCCTTCATTTTCCTTACAAAGAACACAATACAGAACAATGTGCCTCACAACGACCGCTACAACCGAGAAGGACTCGAACAAGACGACGACCATCAGCATGAACGCCAAACCCCCCATGTCGCCTCGTACGATCCTAAAACGCACCAGTGCTCCCGCTCTACTGCAAGGCGGTGGTACGATCAAGAAATCGGTCAGTGACACGAATCTGTTTGCCATGGCCGACTTTGATGAGAATGAAGCCGTCGATGCGTTCTATGTGCCTGGTGGAGATGGCAGTGATGACGACTCGTCTACCGAAGACGATACCTTTGGCATGACGGTCGATGTCGATGAAGTCGATGTGGATGACTTTGACGACGACGATTGTACGTTTGATGAACCACCGGAGATTCCCACTCCTACTGGATTTCACAAGAAAACTGTCTCGTTTGGAAATCTCGAAGAACTTTCGTTTCCTGTCGTCCAAGGAGATCCCAACTTTGAAATGGCCTATCCCATGACGTTGGGATGGGATGCCATGGATGGATCTATTTCCACCATTGATGACTATGAAAAACGTCGCAAAGGATGTCGTCGCTTGTCGCATGAAATGTCGACATCCTCCGAGGATCGTCGCAAAATCATCAAGAATTCCAAAAAACTCGAAAAGGAAATTGCCAAGCAGCGCGCCAAAGACGGCAAACGCAATAATAATGGACGACCCGGTCTTGTGAGGCGCAACAGTATGTCCAATGGTATGATGTTTGGTCGTGACAAGCGTCGCAATCGTGTCCAGACATTCTTGACTCGCATGACGGGCAGATAGATATGGTAGATGCACAGACAAGCAAGACCAGGCCGCTGGCAGTCAGCTGCACACACAAAACCATACATCCATACCAACCATACATCAGCCAGTCAAAGCAACCAAGCATAGGATCGCAAAATGTATATATATACCCTACTACTCTACTGTACAAATGAACCCCCAAAAAATTAAACATCTAAAACACACAGCTTTTACATCAAATACATACATTCATTCATTCATTCATTCGTCATGTCTTAGTTGACATCAGGGTAGATGCGCGACTACTACCAGGTAATAATAGCCAGAGGGCACCCATGCCACGGACAGCTTGCTTGGATTGTACCGGTACTCTCCGCCACGGCAAGCGGACTGCTGCTTCAGGCGCACCATCACAGTCAGCACCACACGATCAGGCAGTCATATCTATCATCGAGTGCTTGATGGTACCGGTCTCATGCGCAAAGGCAGTTCCCCTCGCAGCAAAGAGGCCCAATCGACCCGACCCGATCGTGCAACTCAAGGCCCAGTCGATCGTCGATAGTCCTATCGTTATTGGCCTGGCTGCTAGCTACGGTACGAAGCAACATGGCTGGGCCAAAACAAGCAACAATTTCTAATAAGGAGCGAGTGCTGCTCGAGCTTTGGTGACGAGTTATCAGGCTCACGCACGAACTGCTCACCAGTCAACCAAAGGAGCGAGCATCATCCACCATTGGCTGAGCAAGTGCACGGTCACTGTGCACCCCGGCCAGCACAGTTCTGCATGTGACTGTACTAGCTAACGTGCACTGGCTATGTTAGCTAATGCTCGGCTCAGCCAGCCTTCGGGCCCGCCACATTTGCATGCGTGGCTCTCGGCTCATGTCCCTGCTGGCACCATGAGCTACCGCCGTTCTCTCTGGGATGCCAATGGTGCACTTGTACTACTTCCGCTAATCTTGCCTCTTCCTCCTCCCTCCCGACTTCCCCTCTACTTCCTTCTTTTGCTCATCGCATCCCCCTTCCCTCCTCCCTGCTCTCCCAGCTAGCTAGTCTAATCCCCACCACTGATTCCCTGCCCTGCCACACTTTATTAGCCCCCCTAACATCTAGCTAGCTATTGGACCCTGTCTCTTCATTCTGTGCAGTGTCGTTGCTTGTTGGTCAGGATCCTCTCTGAACGGGCGGTGCATGGACTTTCAATTCTCAAAAGACGACAGCAGTTAGTTGTGAGTTCCAGGCCAAAAAAGCAATAAGCAATAAAGGGAGGATGCATCGAAGAGCTACCGGTATGGGATCGGGATGAAGCCCGCCCTCCAGCAACATTCATGTATGCATCCATCCATCCACTCCATGTCTTTTGGTTTTGTTCATGGCTAGAGTACAGTAAGGTGCGACGGGGAAACGAACGAAAGCGAAAACGTATGATTGATTGGTGGTCTATGCATCCATCTTCTATGATCTCTTGCCCAACTAGCTATTATAGTAATATCAATGTATGTAGTCACTTTTCACAGCGTATCATACCATTCGAGTAGGCTCTTCACTTGCACCTTTAGAAAGAACATCCCACCCGGCCAACGCTCTAAGCTGTCTTTCTTTTTTGTGTCTCTCGCTGCTTCCACTGCTGTCGGGTGGTGGTCATGAGGAGGAGCACAGCCCCAACGGCACAAACACCGGCGGCAGTAGTACCCCTAGTAGCCAGAATTGTTTGTTCCACCAGTGCCATGGGTCCCAACACCATCATGGTCAGAACCAACAGTACCAGTTGCATTGCCATGGTTTGTCGATGAACCCATTGGGCGAATTGGAATCCGACGGCCACAAATTTGGCATAACCGGTTGTGGGATCTCGGACCGTCAGGTACTGATGGCAAACGCCTTGCCAATCGGTATGATGACATGCCATTCGAATGGGTGCCATGTAAAAGACGTGAATAAACGTATGCCAGGACATGATGGGATAACGTTGTTGCAGTTCCATGGAGTCCGTGCCCAAGATGGAGACGTAAGTGGATGTCACAATTCCATTGACGACCAGTGTCCCATCGGGTGTCAGGGGCGCGTATTTGCCAAGTTGGTAGGTGGTTCCAATGTGGGTAATTTTCGTACTGGTAGTGGTGGCATTGCTGTGGATTGTGGTTGCTGTTGTTGTGAGAAGAGAGTCTCCCACGGCCAGATTGCGAGCCGCCACGGGATGGGGTGTCCCCTTATCGACAAAGATCAAATGGTCTCTCGAAATGACCAAGGGCTTATCGGTATCCTCAGTTTCAATTTCGAGATATTCCATGGCCACATTCTCTTGGACATGTGCCATGGCATAGATGGGTTGATACTTATCTCGACTGTTTGTTTGGACCCAATCGCCCACTTTTATATCCTTCATTTTGACAGGCGTGCCTTGGTGTTGCACACGCACTGTCATATCCCCCGAAAAACACTCTCCTCCTCCTCCCGTGGTAGTATCCGTAGCAGAGGGTGCCGTGGTGTCGCAACGAATGTCCATGGCATTTTCGGCATTGGACGTACTAGTATCATCGGCCACGACCTGTATGTACGCACGGGCATCCGAGGCGGCCGTGGCTTCGCATGTTTCTGAATTGCTGCCAATGGTTGCAGCATTCACATTGGCCGTACAGTCGTAGTCGGTACCTGCTGTCCCAAAGGCATCGGGAAGGGCGCCATAGCGAATGGCCAGAATCAAATTGACCGTTTGAATGCTGGAAATGGTACAAGTTGTCTTGCTGCCCGATGCCGTGTCAATGTTCATCTGATAAAAGTTGAAACTAGGTTCTGTCTTGACCTAAAATATATAGATAGATATAGTAATAAGAGAAAAAAGAACACTTTGATGAGGGAGGTTCTGGATTCGATTCACCCATCTTGGCCGTTTCTTATAGCTTTTCTTGTTTCTTTCTTACTCTCACGAATTCATCCGTTCCACTCGTAATCTGAGTTACACCGAGAGAACCCAGAACAGACCCGACAGCGCATGCAAGCACAAGGCAGTGTGGTAAGAGGATCTTCATTGTCAACTCTGATTATACCTTTCTCAATAATTATCAAGTAAGTCTGCTGCCTTTCTCCAAAGATTGCTGTGAGAATGCAGAAACTAATAACTAAATAGTGAGAAAAGCGGAACCGAACAGACCTTCACTTTTTTGTCAGGATCGTGGATCCTGGACCGGACCACGGCTTTGCTAAAGGATGCTTGGGTAAACCTAAGGCTAAGGATAAATGTTAGTAGGAAGTACTCTTTTGCAATACCGCATCTACCAGCTTGTCAGAGCTGGTTGGCCGGACTGCGTGATTGGCTTCCTCCTGGTGTCAACGCGTGACGTCATGATAATGGTTTGCAGAAGCATTTGTAAGGCAATGAAGATGTTTGAGCATACCGGTATCGTATGCCCAAACTCCATGAAGCTCAGGCGACGTCATTTTTTGTTTGCATTCCGAAACGCAACACCTCACTCATTCATCTCTTTCATTGGGCTCCATGCACCATCCGCCATGGCACAACAGCATAAACAACCATCATGATACCCATTCCCGAGGAGCATCACACAACACTCATCACACTCCGCAATACATCCTTGGCATGCCTACTCGGTGGACTCTTGTCGTATCCGTTTGATCAGTGGCACTATCAATGGCAACACAAGTCCGTGGCTGCCTATGCCGCCGACCATGATCGTCTCGAGTACCAAAAATGGAAACAAAATACTCGCAAACAGCGATTCATGGTGCGGCCATTGATGCGATTGGTACTGCACGAAGTGTCCTTGGAAGGCGTCAATCAGGGCCATGCACTATATGATGGCAACAACGACCAAACTACTAGTGTAATGATGATCCCACAAGAAGTATCGGCGGGGATTGTCTCGGGTGTCACCATGGCGCTCTTGTTGTGTCCATTCGAGACGCATCGGGCCATGGCACGCGCCGAGCAAGAAAAAGCTACATCGAAGTGGACGCAATTTCGACAAGCCACATTTGATACCGGTGGCATGATGACCAGTACCACGCAACGACTCCAACGTGCGTACCAGGGGGTGGGAATGCTGGCACTCCGGGAAGTCGCCTTTAATGTCACGTTTTTTCCATTGGCGGCTTCCATTCGGACACAATTATTGCTATTACGGCAGGACCATCCGTATCCTAAAAGTAGCGCCGTCGTGGCGTCCAACGTCCTGGCAGGATCCGTCTGCAGTTTACTCGTGCTACCTCTGGATATCGCCCGGACGTATCTCTGGCATTCGGCCGAACGATGGAATCTGTGGAGTGGCACACGCATGGTCGCTCCTCCGCTGGTGTTGCTGACCAGAGGATGGACCGTACAGGCATTGGTGCTGGGACCGGCGTTTGGATTGGTGGCATCCATCTATGATATGACGTGAAGTGACGTGACGTGACGTGACGTGACATGACGTGACGTGACGTGACGTGACGTGACAGTTACAGTAGTTTGCCAGCTGGCTATACACCGAACAGAACTACGGGACACTTCAACAAACCACAGTTTCTCGCAAAGTATAGTCTAGTTTAGTTGCCCTTTGTTGTTGGGCAGTTTCGACTCTCAAGCCTGGCCCTCGCCTACTAGCAAGCCAGGTAGATACTGTAGGCAGCCTTCCTCTTCAGGCCCCACCACAGGAGCAATCACAGCCGCACAGGAGATCAGTACACCCAAAGAACACCCCCATTGGTCCGTCACATGAATGGGCAAAACCTGTTGGTATGACACAGGTTCCATTTACGTGGCAAAGGGACTCTGGGAAAGTTCCAGTCAACATTGGATTTCCATCCAACAATAATGAGTGCAGTGTCTGTTGTAGAGATGATAGTTCCACAGGGACTGAGGCTGACAAGCTATTGTTCGCCAAGCTTATGATTCGCAGACTTGAAAGTTCACCAAATTCACTGGGGATCTGGCCGGAGAGTTGGTTGTGGTCCAGCAAAATATCGTGTAGGTCTGTCAGCATCCCAAGCTCTGTTGGGATGACTCCTGTTAGCAGATTTTTGGCAAGATCCAATGAGAGATCCAGATTCTTGAGGAGACCAAGTTCAGTTGGGACTGTGCCCGTGATGTGGTTTTCCCAAAATGAAAGCCGAAAAAGTGAACTGAGCAAGCCAATCTCACTAGGAATTGTCCCCACCAAGTCATTGCGATCGAAATGTAAATGCAGCTTGTTGGGATGAAAGCCTAGCTCACTTGGGATGGATCCAGATAGCCTGGCCCGCCCCAAAAAAATCCACTCCAATGGCTCTATCTGTCCAAGCTCTGTGGGAATAGTGCCTTCAAGTAGACACAAGTTAGAGAATAATTGTAAAATTTGGAGAATATAAGAGAAGCACTCAGCTTACCAGAGATGTCACTGTTGTCTATGGCCAACCATTTCAATTTTGAGAGCATTCCCACCTCTGTCGAAATGGTTCCATGCATCTGTATATGGTCCATTAGAATCAAGTGCTCGATATTGGTCAGCTGCCACAACTCTGATGGAAGAGGGCCTTGATGATTGCCGTTGGTAAGCAGCAGGCCTCTGAGCTTGGCTAACAGACCAATCTCTGAAGGAATGCCACCTGGTGGCTGATCAAAAATGGCCAGCCCCTCCAAATCAGCAAGCTGCCCAATACGGCTGCCAAGACTGCCTTCAAGCTGGTTATACCCAAGAGACAGTGTTTGTAGGCTTGTCAGTATGTAGAGCTCTCCTGGAAGGTAGCCCACAAGATTGTTGTTATCCAACCAAAGATTTTGATACATGCCATCTTCATTGCAGTGTGTTGGTGGTGGCTCTGTGGATGGGGAAAACCAAGACATGTATCCTTGATAAATAGAATCCATCAACGTCTTCTGAGCAAAGTCAGGTGCATTGTACCAATCACACTCATGTATGCTATGGTTGAGCCAGTTGGTATTATCCATCCAAGTGTCTCCACTGGTAGCATAGTAAAGTGATGCCAAAGCAAACTTTTGCTTTGATCGACCATCCGAGTAGAAGGGAAGATTGGGATCTTCCAGCAACCATTCAAATGCCATAAACTGAGGTGACTCTGGGTCTTCCAACGCCAGCAGGGTCTCCTCTTCTAGCAACACCTTGATGGTTCCCTCCAGAGACATGGTTGGAGCTGCCGATGGAGTACTGGTTGGAACTGCAGTCATTGGAGCCACCTGGTCATCCTTCCATCTCAAAACCACGATGACCACGATTACAATCACGACTGCCACCAATGTGATGGCTCCCAATAAAGGGGTGATCTTGAATTTCTTGTCCTGTTGCTCTCTTGTGGATTTTTGGCTCTCAAACTCTTGAGCTTGGGGAAGATCTTGAGGAAATGATTCATCCACCGGGTTTGCCGCAGCCAAGACACTGTTCCCAAGAGTGCGCTCCGGCAGTACTTCTTCGGATGGAAGATCGGAGTGGGTCTCAATCTCAGCTCCTGAATGTCCTGAAAGCATGCGGTACGTGGTGGCAGTTGTTGGCTGTTCAAAGCCACATGCCACAGAATAGGCACCAGGCGTACTAGCGGTTCTTCTAGCCACTTCTTCGTCACGAGTTAGGCTTGTCCGAGGCAGAGCATGGGGATTCTCTAAATCAAAGTCATCTGTGGATGCTGCAACATTCATAGCCTGCCTTAACGGCGATTCTGCTTCCTGTCGTTCTGTTAAAACCCCCACAAGGAACATTTTGTCTTCTGGGTTCCTTGCACTCCTGCCTCAATCTTCTTGCTTTCCTGTTCTTTTGCTTCTTCTTTGGGTGAGGTGGTGCTAGCCACAGGAGGACCTCCTTGTGCCAGTGCATCTGCTCCTCCTCGTTCTGAAAATGATTCCATTTTCCGGAGCTCCTCCTCGGTAAACCCACGGATCCTGGCCTGGACAATGTCCAAAACATCAAAGCATTTGGATTTGTTGTTGGCTTCTCTAACAGATTCAATCTCATCACTGGTGGTAGTCCTTCCTGAAGACTTCATGGTCAACAATCGATTAATTAATTTGTTGTGTGTCTCCTCGTATATACTCCAGAGTCGGAGCTGCTTCTCTGGTAGCACACTCGTTGGTTGTGCTAACCCTAAATCAGATCTTCGCCATCCATGAGCCACTAGCTAGCTAGTGGCTGAGCGTAGGAATTTGGTCTCCCAGACCACGCTCCTTTTGGTTTCCCCCTCAGTTGCCCTCTGAAATCGATTGGCTCGCGTTTACTGTGTAAATTAGTGTACCCGCACTTCAGTTGCAGAATCAACGGTCATGTGTATCCTTAAGTAACAGGTTCTCTTTCGAAAGATTTAGATCAATTCGTGGAATAAAAGAACCGTTGAAGTTGCTAAGGTTAAGGATAAACTGATCGCACGGAGCGAAAGTCCATCATTGAAGGCGCAGCACTGACTCCTCCCCCTCATTGAATTCGTATGGTAAACAGAAGGTAAATCCAGGCTTGGCCGACAACAATGGTGAGTGCTTTATCCAATCGACCGATTGATCGATTCGATTCGAGGTGAGCCTATTATCAAGAGCGTTTGTTGAAGGTGCAGATTCGAAAGCCATCCCTCGTTTAATTTCTATGGACCGCGGGAAGGTAGTCAGATCTCGGCCGTCAACAGGTGAGTTGTTTTAATTATTCGAATCGAATCGTCGCACCTCTGTTATCCAAGCCTCACTCAAGCCGGTCGTCTCCGGTGCAGAAGCGAAAGCCATCCCTCATTGAATCCTATGGACGATGGGATGGCAGTCATTTCTCGGCCCATGACGGCCAAGTTGGTGCAATTTGAGAAGAAGCAAGGGCAAGTCGCTGGTTTTCTTCAGTTCAGCACAGAAAACAAAACTCATATCTATTTGTTAATTTCTCTGCTGCACTGCCGACGGCCGGCGAACTACCATTGTCGACGGTCGATCGCTCCGGATAAGAAGAGGAAGAGGCTGCCGTTACGGAGGAGGAGGCTATGTTAACTCCAGCCCTACCAACAGCCTGAACAGAGGAGCCTATCATCGTCGAGTCATTGAAAGGCAACAGCCACCGGAAGAGGCAACAACACACAAGAGAGTGGATCCTGCTACCGGATTCATCCTTTCTTGTTATTTCCTACTGTTTTGGTAGTGATTCCTGTGTCGGTACCCATTTTCCTGTATGCGCAAGTCAAGTACTGTTGCCACTAGCTATACGGCAGCTGGCTACAATGGCTGGATTGACAATATTCGGTTGTGCGTGTATTCGTCATAAGGATCCAATGCGAGGTAACCGAGTGCCGCAAGCAAAGTCGAACCTGAGTGTGTTCGGTACTGTTGCCACTGTCACCGATCGATGAACTCTACGATAGCTGGCTACGATGGCTAGATTGACAATGTTCGGTTGTGCATGTATTCGTCATAAGGATCCAATGCAAAGTACCGGTAACGGAGTGTAGCCAGTAAAGCGGAACCTGAGTGTGTTTGGTACTGTTGCCACTGTCACGGATCGATGTAACTCTACGGTAACTGGCTACAACGGCTGGATTGACAATGTTCGGTTGTGCATGTAATCGTCATTAGGATCCAATGCAAAGTACCGGCAACAGAGTGTAGCCAGCAAAGCGGAACCTGAGTGTGTTCGTCGCCGATGTAACTGTACGGTAGCCGGCTACAATGTGCAAATGGCTGTATTAAGGCCGGTCTCTACCGGAGGGACTAAAGTAGCGACTAAAGGAATCCTTTAGGTGGTTGTTTAGTTCAAGATTTAGTCATTATCCTTTAGTAATGGTGGTGTCTACCAGCAGATGACTAAATCTCGGACTAAACAATTTAGTCAGTTCTTTAGTCATTTGGACCTGTCTACCGGTACCCAGCACCCAGCACTAAACAAATGACTAAACGGAACACTACTCACTACTGGACTTAAAGGACTCAAAAAAGATTTAACAAAAGTGATCACTTGGTGGGCTACAAATATTCTATCAGCATGGTGGATTTAAAGGACTCAAACAAAGACTTAGCAGAAGTGATTACTTTTTTGAGATAACAAGACTCAAAACACACCATTGCCATACACCTCTCCTCTGTCATTGGATCGTTGGATCGTTTGCACCTCTACTATCATTCAATCGTCTCAATTGACCAAGCCGACAGTCTTCCGTTGAGAATAGAAAGCCATCCCGCACTCCATAGTCTGTAATGAGGGATGGCTTTCTATTCTCAACGTCAACCGAAGACTGTCGGCTTGATAAAGTGCGATAGAGGTGCGGCCGATACCGGTACTCCTCTTCGATCGTTCGATCGTTCGATCATTTGCACCTCTACTATCGGCCGATACTCCTCTTCGATCTCTACTATCGGTTGCACCTCTACTATCGGCCGATACCCTACTCCTCTTCGATCGTTCGATCACACCTCTACTCTATCAGCTCTGTCGCGATGCTCTGATAGTGAGGCTGTGCAATGAGGCTGATTGAAGATTGATTCATTCTTAAAGAGTTCTTAAACAAGCTTTAGTCCTTACGCTCGCTCACGGACTAACCAGCCTCCCTTTAGTCGGTGAACCAACATTTCGACTAAAGGCTTTAGTCCGTATGACGTTTAGTCGCTTGGGTAGACACCACCCCAAGAGACTAAACTATGGACTAAACTACAAAATATGGCTTAGTCGCTACTTTAGTCGCTCCAGTAGAGACCGGCCTAATAATATTCGGTTTTGTGCATGTATTCGTCATAAGGATCCAATGCGAGGTAACCGAGTGCAGCGAGCAAAGCGGAACCTGAGTGTGTTCGGTACTGTTGCCACTGTCACTGATCGATGAACTCTACGGTAACTGGCTACGATGGCTGGATTGACAATGTTCGGTTGTGCATGTATTCGTCAAAAGGATCCAATGCAAGGTACCGGTAACGGAGTGTAGCCAGTATAGCGGAACCTGAGTGTGTTCGGTACTGTTGCCACTGTCACAGATCGATGTAACTCTCTGCCTACAGTAGGTACCATACCGGTAGCTGGCTATACAATGGCTGGATTGCATGTATTCGTCATATTATGGATCCAAGTAGCGAGCAAACTGAGGAAACAGGAGACCAACGCTGAAAAAAAGCCGAATCACAATATCCCAGGACTACTGCATGCTCGTAGCATGGGTGGTAGCAAAACATGGCGATTGGCAACTCCAAATGGGATACCGTCAACGACGACGATAACTCTGTTGAAGAAGCACAAGCTCAAGAGAACGAAGAAAGCAGGAATGACACAGCACCGACGGAAGATGCTGCGAAGGAGTCAACAGAATGATCTAACCTACACCCTAAACCTAAAACCAATGCTGAGCATGAGCCGCTCGCGGTTGGATGCCTTGTTGTCCTCCACGGGCTCCAAAAATTGGACTTGAATGGCAAAACAGGCACCATAGAGGAACGCAATGCAACCACAGGCGAAGGTCGACAGGCAGTGTTCGTCCATCATGTCAGGAAGACTGTGGCTATCAAAGTTTCCAACTTGAAGAAGCAGCATGTGGTGGCATCAAAAGAGCAGAAGCGAGTCGAAGCCATTGATTTGCTGGTGAAAATTTACAAGAAGAAACACGGAAAGCGTTTCTTCATTCATCCTGTCATTCAATTTGTTGCTTCGCTGGAAGGTGGAATCAAAGTAATCGCCAAAGAGAAGGTAGAGGCGGGCACACCGTTGCTCAGGTTACCGGAACAAGAGCAAATCTCTATTGCCAATCTGTCAACTCTGTCGAGAGAATTTGAGTCCACCTTTTCCAAGATAGTAGGCGCTGCTTACCGTCTCAAATCTGAAGCTGTGATTGTAGGCGATATCGTCCTGCACCAGTGTTACTCCGAAGCTGAAGTCAAGCTGTTCCTCATTGTGATGCGTGGTCTTCACCTTTCGGCCAACGCTTTCAAAGAATCAAACGCAAAGGAAACAGTACCCTCCCAAGTTGTAAAGACGTGGCCATCTTACAAAGAGTTGAAACAGAGCTGCGCAGTTTGGGATCTGCGACCCCAGGTTGCTGCGTTATTGCGTGGAACTGCCACATGGGGACAACTGGAACTCAAGCAGAAGTTTTGACAAGTGTGTCTTTGAGCAAATCATCAAACCGGTTGTCATGAAAACCAAAGAGGTGTCTGCCCTCTTTCTGCCGAGTGAAGTCATGGAGGAGGATGAAGAAACCAAGACTAGCAAGCTTTGGGAGTGTTATCAACACGCTGCATACCTGGTTCGATCACGTGCGCATGAGGGTCCACAACCGCGTGAACCTGTACTCAATCCACTCTTTGATTTATTCAATGGGCAGGTTTATGGGGTCAAAGAAGACCCTCGCAATGTTAGAGTGATACCGGCCGTGGTCCAAGAGAGGTCTTTGATGTGCGAAAAGGCCATGGCGGCCGGAGATGAAATGATAATTATCTACGGCATTCACACTGCAACAAGTTTCATTTTGCGTTATGGTTTTTGTCCAAAAGATTTCGTGACGAGCAATGGCGGAGACTTGGTGGATGAAGTGTTTCTATGGATACCCAAGAGCTTGGGAAGCCCCGACGAGTTACGATCTCGGGCAACCCGAAAACTGGTGCCGTCGACGGCACCAGGACAGCTGTTCGAGGATTGCGTGACCCAATTGACAGGCGACATGCTGGACCAGTTTTCGGTGGGCGTCCAGGTAAACTATGATGTAATTCTTGGCAACGCACTACGTCCAGACAATCCCGTTTCAGATCACAGCAACATTCAAAGGCTGAGACAATTTCTAGTGCTGAATCATTTGCTCGATGACGATTGTGTTCGTGAAGCAATGAAGACATGCCGACTCAGAGGATGGAACGACTTTTATCTTTCTCACCTGCTGCAATTGATCATTGACCATGTCATTACATCCGCGACGTCCCTGTCTACAAGCAACAACCAGCAAGATCTGCAGAAGGCCAATGACCCAAAGACACCACATGATGTTAAGGTGGCGTACCTGGCACGAGTTGCTCAACGAGATGCTTTGGCACGTTGGCGACACGCCTTTGCTTGGCACTATGGGTCTCCTTCAGAGCATTCGAGTGCTTTTTACCACAACTTGTATGCACACCTTGAACAAGGTGGTTACGAAAGAAAAACTGTTTTTTCACCCAACCACCCCATCCCCCAAGCACCAAGATGCTTGTTGGAGAGTAAGGGTTGTCACTACTGCGGGAGAACTTTGCATTTACGCTCTTGCGCTGGTTGCAAGGAAACCCAGTACTGTTGTAGGGAGCACCAAAAACTTGATCGCAAACGGCACAAATACTAGACTATTGCACACCCTAAAACTTTTCACTAGACTAGCGAAACGCTGACCAGCATTGTTTGGAGGGGAAGAAGCGAACCCGCAGCTTCACACAACTCTTTGGGCTACACTATAACTTCGGAGAAATATCTTGCAAGGGCGACAGCGGCTTACTCAAAGTCCTAGACCAAGAGCCCCCGAAATTGCCTTCTACGTCATGTTCGGTACAGCAATGATTATCGAAGTTGCTCGCAAAGTAGTCTAGTTTAGTTGCGCTTTTGTGTAGCAGTGACATCTATTTATCTGGTTCTATTTGCTTGGACATACTGCCTTTGTCTGCTCGATATCTACTGCGAACCCTCAACCCTGGTGTCATTGCTACGGTACCGGTACTTGTGGCTGGCCCCACCTTTCCCCACTGGCGATCGAGTTGATGGTTAATGATTTTCACAAGATTTAATGTGTAATGGAGGAATGCAATGTACGGTAGGAACAAATGTGTCTGGTGTGATTGAATATGAGGATAGTTGCGTCGCAAAGCCCTTTGCTATTGTGGTCCCTTGCCTTTACTTAGGGCGTGAAACCATCCCATTGGTCGTCGCTTTCCTCGCCTCCTGTTGTAGAGTTTCCACGGCTCAGCAGCTTGGCCAGGGAGCTTTTTACTTCCTTGAAACCAAAGCTAACATCCTCAAACAACTCCGTCAACTCTAGCTGTACTTCATCATGTTCCTTCGCCGCCAGTTCTTGTCCAGGAGACTTTTCCATCACGGGCTCTTCTTCAATCTCGTTTTCAATTGGTCCCTGGATAATCTCCGCGGTCTTGACCTCCATTTTCTTCTTCTTGCTTGCAAAGAAAAACGCTGGTGGCTCCTTGCTAGGTGCTTTTTCTGTCGCCTTGATTTCATCCTCCGAGATCTCGTCTTCCACAGCAGCCATCTCCCTGATCTCTTGGAGCAACAATTCGTCACTGTCGTCTACGATGACTTCATCGACCATCACATTGTCACCGTCCTCATCATCAAGATTATTGTCGTCAATCTTGATACTACTAATAGTATCGAGGAAGGTAGAATTGCTTTGGATATCCTGAATGGCTTGTTCATAGAGCTCGACCTCTCGTGCGGCCGCTTCCGATGCTTCTTGAGTTGCCTCCATGACCTCCTTGGTGGCTGCCATTTCGGCTTGCTCTTGTTGTGCCGCAAGTGTGGTCACAAGGTCAGCGGTTTCTTCATCCAAAAGATTGACCAAAAAGGTGTGAACCTCAGCGTCAATGTCAATCGTGGAAAGACGCTTCTCCACAATGTCGTCCTCTTGAATAACAACATTGACTGGAACAACTTCTCCTCCTTGCTCCTTGGCCAATCGAATATATTCTTCCCTGGCTTCAAACTCAGCCTTCTCCATGGCTGCGAGTTGTGCCACCAAAGCTGCCGAGTCATCCACAATTTCTTCGTCGTCCACATTGACTGGCACAACTTCCCCCTCTTGCTCCTTGGCCAATCGAATATATTCTTCCCTGGCTTCAAACTCGGCCTTCTCCATGGCTGCAAGTTGTGCCACCAAAGCTGCCGAGTCATCCACAATTTCTTCGTCGTCCACATTGACTGGCACAACTTCCCCCTCTTGCTCCTTGGCCAATCGAATATATTCTTCCCTAGCTTCAAACTCGGCCTTCTCCATGGCTGCAAGTTGTGCCACCAAAGCAGCTGAATCGTCTTCCTCTTCTACCTTGTTCTTGTCGTCGCTGCTATCATCCACAGTTTCGTCGTCCTCCTCCCACATGACCTTGACTGGCACCACTTCTCCTCCTTGCTCCTTGGCCTGTCGAATGCGTTCTTCTTTGGCCTCGAATTCGAAACGCTCCAATGCCGCAAGCTGCGCCACCAAAGCAGCCGAATCGTCCTCCTCCTCTTCTACCTTGTTGTCATCATCCTTGTCCTCGTCCCACATGACCTTGATGGGCACCACTTCTCCACCTCGTTCTTTGGCCAATCGAATATGTTCTTCCTTGGCATTCATCTCTGCCCGTTCCAATGCTGCCAGTTGTTCCACCAAGGCAGCCGAGTCGTCTTCTTCCACTGGCTGTTGTTGCTGCTGGTCCAATTTGGCCGTCATGGTGACAAACTCGGACAAATCCTTGGCGTATTCGATGCGCGCTTGTTTTTCGTGGTGTTCCAATGCGTCTTTTGCGGCCAATTGTGCCACGAGCAATCGCGTGGCTTCATCCTGTTGTTGTTGTTGCATGGTCGGAATGGCTTGTTTTGCCGCTGGCGTCTCTTTCTGTTGCTGATCCAGTTTGGCTTGCATCGTAACAAAGTTGGAATCTTCCTTGGCTTTTTCAATACGAGATTGCTGAATGGCATAGTCCTTGGCTTCCATGGATGCCAGTTGGGTGACGAGTGCTTCTGTTTCGTCGTCGGTGGTTGCTGCTGCGACGACTTGTGGAACCTCTTTTTCTTCCAGAATGGTTTCGGACGCTTCCACGACAGATTCCAATAGATCTTGCTTGTATTCCAGCTCGTCATTGTCTTCTTCTTCCAGTTTGGTGTCTTCTTCCAGTTTCTTCTTGTTATGGATGACATTACCATAGCGAGGAATCAAAATGGTGGGAACGGTTGGTTCCTTCTTCTCAGGAACAACAGATTGCTGCTGCATGGATATCTTGTCTTGCATCATCATGTGCTGCGACGCCAATTTAGCCTTGTCCACAAGTGCATCTCGTGCCGCCAATTCGGCCGCTTCCATGGCCGCCAATTGTGCCACGAGATGGGCCGCTTCTTCATCGGGTTGCAGCAAAGGCAATTCAGTCTTGCGAGGTACAGCAGGATGCTGTTGCTGCATATCCCACTTGGCGGCCATGGTGACATGATTGGCATCTTCGAGCGCGTGTTGAATGCGGGCTTGTTTCGTGGCATGTTGTGTGGCTTCCAGAGACGCCAATTGTGCCACGAGGGCATCAGCGGCAGGATCGTGTGGCATGGTGGGCAACGAACTGGACTCGGGCGTGGTGGACTCGAGTTCTTCGGCGGTTGGTACAATGGGTGATGCCTGTTGAAGATCCAATTTGGCTTGCTGAGCCCAAAACGCCAATTCTTCCATAGCAGTTCCCAGACGGGCTTGGGTTTGGGCAAATTTGGTGAGTTCTTGTGCGGCCACGCGGCTGGTAGTGGCATCGACCACCATTTGCTTAGGAGTTGTTTGTTTCTTGGGTGGCATGACATGCTGTTGTTGTTGATCCCACTTGGCTGCCATGGTGACGTGATTGGCATTCTCTTTGGCGGCTTGAATGCGTGATTCGCGTTGTTGGAACTCTTGCGCCTCGTTGGTGGCCAATTGCCGAATGAGTGCTTGGACTTGTGGGTCTTCTTGCTGTTGTTCTTCTACTACCGGTAGTACTTGTGGTGTCTTCTTTTGTGTGACGACGGCCTTGACGGATCGACTGAGGACTTGGAGTGTCTTGAGAGCTTGTGGATTCGTCTGTACTTGCTGGGCGTCCATGGTATCCAAGGCTGTCACCACGGCGTGCGTTACGGCCACGACAGGTTGCTTCTCTTGGTGTTGTTTTGCATCGACCACCGATTCCAAGCGCTGCAGCGATTCACGCAGTTCGTGAAGGACACTCAAAGCCTCCTGATCATTGCGCGACATGACTTCATCCACGTTCTTCCACGCCGATACCACCTTGGGGCCCAACACCGGATCCTCTTCTTGGGAAGCAGCAGAAGAAGCCTCCAATCCAACAGGACGTTGTGTTCTCATTGTCGTGGTTTTCCTACCAAACGGAGTGCTCCAACCATCCACTCCCAACACCAGGCACACCGCCAACAGGCACGGTATCGTCATTGCTCTTGTCCACAACATACCAATAATAGTCTTCTTCTATTCGCTCCTTCTTTCTCTCGCCTTTTGGCTTCAGTTGAATTTTATGAAGGAGGAACGAATCAGACATCAACTCCCCATCAACCAACACCACCAGGAACCACTCGATCCACAGACAGCAGAGAACACACACCCATACAATAAATATCTTTCCTGCAACACCACCGGCCAAGGCCTTCTGCTGGTCCATAGCAGCTGCTTTTGCGACGTCGCAGTTCAAATTCCAATGGCCCTCTGCCGGCTTTTCCCTCTGCTACAATCTTCGCACTAAAAATATCAACAGCTGGCCTACTTCAACTCTTGCACCAACCGACATTCCTTCCAATCAAATCCAAGCATTTGCTTCAATCGCGAACAAAAAGAAAAATATGCATAGCCTGAACCCTAGATGTCTGTAACATTTTGGGGTGGAGTCGAGTCGAGTCACTCGACGACGCAACCTCATGAACTCAAAAGGAGATCAAGATGAGCTTTTAAATTTCAGGGTTGGGACGACCTATCGAGGCCCTCTTGAGCTAGCTAGCTAGCTAGCTAGTCATTGTCCTTTGATTCTCTCAGACCTCCTCCCTTGTCACCATCGCTCACCTCCACCGGTATTCAAAGGAGGCAGATTCGAAAGGGGGTGTTTATGGTGCCCTGGATCTCTTCCGCTCGCTAGCTAGCTAGTCTTCCTCCCTTGCTCCTACGTGCCCCCCACCTTGCCTCCCCTCTCTCTTTGGTTTGCTGCTGCTTTGCTCACTCACTCGATTGCTCGTCTCGCGTTTGTGCATCGTGCTCTCTCCCTGCGCCCCCTCCTCACCATAGTTCCCTCTTTTAAAAGCCAGCCATAACCACTCCTCCAAATTAAAGGGGGTGTTTTGATATTGGATTCCGTAGTTAGAGTGAGTCGAGTGTATCCGCCAAAGCCATGCATGCAGCGAGGGCCATTAGGCGCTCGCAAGCACTTCTTGCTAGTACCACTCTAGCCACAAACGAATCCATACTAGATCTAGTAGTAGCTACGTACCGGAAAAGGAGTGGCATGGTTCATGCTATCCGCACCACCAGAATGCATTCAAAGGAGATTCGATAGGGGATTTGCTTGCAAGCTACGTTATAAATCTAGACTCTAGCTAGAAGCCACAAAACGACATCGTAACCCACTTGATCTAAACCACATCGTAACCCACTTGATCTAGCTACAGCTAGAGCTCCATTCCCCGGATACACTCTCCCCCAGAGTGTACTCGCCGTGTCCATAACCTAACCTCTTATCCGGATCTACCTAGCTAGTCCTCAATTGAATTCATCGCTCCTGATCCCACAGAACCGAGTCCTGAATTACGACTCTTCTTAAGCCTGGCCCTCCCTGGCTTGAATTCCGAAGATAATATATGCAGCCTTCATCTTCAAGCCCCACCACAGGAGCAATCACAGCCACACAGGAGATCAGTACATTCAAAGAACACCCCCATCCGTCCTTTACATGAATGGGCAAAACCTGTTGGTATGACACAGGTTCCATTTACGTGGCAAAGGGACTCTGGAATAGTTCCAGTCAACATTGGATTTCCATCCAACAAGAATGAGTGCAGTGTCTGCTGTAGAGATGATAGTTCCACTGGTACTGAGCCTGACAAGCTATTGTTTGCCAAACTTGTGATACGCAGACTTAAGAGTTCACCAAATTCACTGGGGATCTGCCCAGAGAGTTGGTTCTGCTCCAGCAACAGGTCATGTAGGCCTGTCAACAGCCCAAGCTCTGTTGGGATGATTCCTGTTAGCAAATTTTTCGCGAGATCCAAAGCATGTTCCAGATGCTTGAGGAGACCAAGTTCACTTGGGACTGTGCCCGTGATGTGGTTGTCAAAAACTGCAAGACGAAAAAGAGAACTGAGCAAACCCAACTCACTAGGAATTGTCCCCACCAAGTCATTGAAGTCTAAGTGTATATGCTGCTTGCTGCGATGACTTCCCAGTTCACTTGGGATAGATCCAGATAGCCTGGCCTGCCCCAAAAGAATCCACTCCAATGAATCTACTTTCCCAAGCTCTGTTGGAATAGTGCCTTCAAATAGACAAAAGATAGAGAATTGTGAATAAATTATCATTAGTCATCACGTGCTGTGAAATTTGGAGAATGACAGGGGGTAGCTCAGCTTACCAGATATGTCACTGATTTGTATAACAAACCATTTCAATTTTGAGAGCATTCCCACCTCTGTGGAAATGGTTCCCTGCATGTGCTCATGGTCCATTATAACCCAGTGCTCCAGATTGGTCAGCTGCCACAACTCAGAAGGAAGAGGGCCTTCATGGTTGCTGTTGGTAAGCAGCAGACCTCTCAGCTTGGATAGGAGGCCAATCTCTGAAGGAATGCCACCAGGTGGTTGATCATAAATGGCCAGCCCCTCCAAATCAGCAAGCTGTCCAATACGGCTGCCAAGACTGCCTTCAAGCTGGTTATACCCAAGGGACAGTGTTTGTAGGCTTGTCAGCATGTAGAGCTCTTCTGGAAGGTTCCCAACAAGATTGTTTTTGTCCAACCAAAGATGCTGATACAGGCCATCTTCATTGCAGCGCGGTGGTGGTGGCTCTGTGGATGGGGGAAACCCAGACATGTACCCTTTATATATAGAATCCATCAACGTCTTCTGAGCAAACTCAGGTGCATTGTACCACTCACACTCGTGTATGCTGTGGCTCAGCCAGCTGGTAATATCCATCCAAGTGTCTCCACTAGTAGCATAGTAAAGTGATGCCAAAGCTAACTTTTGCTTTAATCGACCATCCGAGTAGAAGGGAAGATTGGGATCTTCCAGCAACCATTCAAATGCCATAAACTGAGGTGACTCTGGGTCTTCCAACGCCAGCAGGGTTTCCTCTTCTAGCAACACCTTGATGGTTCCCTCCAGAGACATGGTTGGAGCTGCTGATGGAGTACTGGTTGGAACTGCAGTCATTGGAGCCACCTGGTCATCCTTCCATCTAGGAACCACGATTGCCACGATTACGATCACGACTCCCACCAACGCAATGGCTCCCAATGAAAGGGCGATCTTGCATTTCTTGTCCTTTTGGTCTCTTGTTAATTCTTGGATCTCAAACTCTTTAGCTCGGGGAAGATCTTGAGGAACGGTTTCGTCCACCGGGTTTGCCACAGCCAAGCCACTATTATTACCAAGGGAGTGTTCTTGCGCTACTACTTCGGACATAAAGTTGGAGTGGGTCTCATTCTCAGCTACTGGATGTCCTGCAAGTGTGCCATACATGGCAGCAGTTGTTGGCAGTTCAAAGCCACGTGCCACAGAATAGGCACCAGGCGTACTAGCGGTTCTTCTAGCCACTTCTTCGTCACGAGTTAGGCTTGTCCGAGGCAGATCATGAGGATTCTTTAAATCAAAATCATCTGTGGATGCTGCCACATTCATAGCCTGCCTTAACGGCGATTCTGCTTCCTGTCGTTCTGTTAAAACCCCCACAAGGAACATTTTGTCTTCTGGGGTGCCTTGCACTCGTGCCTCAACCTTCTTGCTTTCCTGCTCTTTTGCTTCTTCTTTCAATGTGGTGCTAGCCACAGGAGGACCTCCTTGTGCCAGTGCATCTGCTCCTCCTAGTGCTGAAAATGATTCCATTTTCCGGAGCTCCTCCTCGGTAGACCCACGGATCCTGGCATTGACAATGTCCAAAACATCAAAGCTTTCCTCTTCGTTGTTGGTTTCTCTGATAGATTCGGTGGCTATCTCATCACTGGTGGTAGTCCTTCCTGAAGACTTCATGGTCAACAATCGATTAATTAATTTGTTGTGTGTCTCCTCGTATATACTCCAGAGTCGGAGCTGCTTCTCTGGTAGCACACTCGTTGGTTGTGTGTGGTTGCAATACAAGCCTGGCTACTCGAGGGCAATAGGTATTCAGAGTAATGATGGTTGTTCTGAATTCGTCAGCTGATTGGTCCCTTGGTCCCAGACCCCGGACTGCGACCTCTTGTACGTAGTGTACATGACATTACAGTGTCGATCGAGAAGCCTTAAGCCTGCAAAAGACTGGCAACCTCCCTTCTTCATGACATCACCCGAGTACCTATCTATTTAGTATTTATTTTCCCCCGAGTACCTGGTACCAGGTACCAGTAATGTACAACCTAGCTGCACCAATCCACCTGTAGACCACATGACATTGTACTGTAATCAAAGGTTTTTTAAATTTTATGAAAGGGTCAGAACAAAAAAGAGAAATAGAACTTGAAAGTGTGAGCAACTTCAGCAGGAAATTCTAGCTACAAACATAATAGTACCAATGCGTGGCTTTGGCCTTTCCGGTCATAATTGTTGGTTTGTCTACCACCTGTGGGCATGGATCCGTCGGGTGGCCCAAATGGTGCGAGCAGTGGAGACAGAGATTTGCCGTCCTTTCCCAAGGTTGCTTCCGAGGAAGATTCTCCCATATGGTACGGTTTGCCCTTTGGGTTCTTTCCTAGCGGGAGATCCCTGCCATGAATGCATTCAAAGGATCGAGGGAGAAAGGGTGTCTACTAAAGTATAGGGAAGATATCGAGTAGCTACGGTACAGAGATCTAGTTAGCTAGTAGATGTAGAATGATTGATAGATCGCATACATATTCTCTTCCTTTTAAAGTTTCAGGAGTCTTTCATTCGAATTCTCCGCACTGGTGCTCACCTGAACAAGCTCGTTGACAAGCAACTGTTTATATAGTATAGTTTGCTTGCTTCTTGATCTGATTGTAGTCGTTATATTAAACCATCATGAACGGTTCGTCTTCTTGAACCTCAAAGGGAGCTGCCACCGACACACCCTGGAGCTTGGATGGAGTTCCCATGACAATGGCTCCGATTTGCCCCGGACACGCTTCAAACACAATGCACACCGCAATCGTTGCAGGAACCGACTTTTGAATGGGCATGACCGGTGTATGACCGACAATGTGCAAGCCCTACCGTATGCGGCTCCCAAGTGACAAAAGGTCGACCAATTGGTCAAAATAGCCGCCGTCGACATTGCAGTGCCAACTCACGGGCCACAATGGGCTGCTCGTGGGTGACGGTGCGTTTCATTCCTTGCACAGATTTTCGCACCAACGCCGGTGTCGCCACATCCTTGGGAACACGATAAAAGATCACATCTTGATAGTTGCCCATGCGATTCCGTTCGGGGAGCTGTGGGAGACGTTCCCGTAAGTTGACGACCAACGTGGCATACCCCAAATTCGTTTCTTTGAAGAACCAACTCGCGAGAATGTCATTGGTGGACACAAAGGGAACATCATCTTTCTTTGCATCTTGCTTGATGGTTTGAATGACCTTGGGGTCGACCAAAAAGAAACGAGCCGTGGCTCGTTCGGCCCGCGGCCACCATGGGGCAATGAGATTGCTGGTAATCAATCCACGCATAAAACAGACGAGGTATCCCCAGTTGGAAATGAGATTGGCTTCTTGTTCGCCTCCCAACAGCTTGACTTTTTCTTCTTGCAAAGCGCCAAAGATGCGTTCGATGGGTACTGCCTCGATGTTTCCCGTAATGAGCATTTGGAAGAGGGTGTAGTAACTGGCTCCATCGCCCAAGGCATGTGTCATGGACACAATCAACAGGTTGGGTTTCACAATGACCAATTTCCAGAACTGCTGCTGTTTCAAGTCTAGTCCCGGCTTGAGCAAGTACGGTTCCACCAGAGTCATTAACTTGGTGTAGGATTTGGTTTCCTGGTATCCGTACGCACCCAGCGCGGGGTCCTCGACCGAGTGAATCAACTCGGCACAACTACTAGTGTCCTCTGGCGCAGTAGTATCATTGTTGTATCCCAACTGGATGACACCGTCCTTTGCGTCTTGGACAAAACGACCCGTCAACCATGGATTGAGCGACACCATTTTCTGCACACGGTCTCGCAACAGAGTTTCGTCAATCGAGTCCACCCACGTTATCGTCGAAATCGGTTCAAGCACCATCTTCATTTGCGTAATCTCGCTGTCGGTCAGCTCGACATAGTGATCAAAGGATGGATGAGGAGGAGAGGAAGCAGTAAAGGGCTACATGGTATACTTCCACCGTACTAATATACTCGTTTGTTTTAGTTTGAGAGTCAAGTATGATCTTTTATGTCATTGCCTTTTGTGGTTTGTGCTGCCTGTGATAAGATACCACTCGATCATGCAGTGGATCTTTCATTCATCCATGCACGAACAGCTCAGAGACTGCCCACTCCTATATATAGTCTAGGTATGCATACCGGTATGTATTAGTGCCGGTAGGTGCACCTCTACGTGTACCGTTAAATGTACTAGCAACGGCACGCGACCTCTGAAAGACAACTTTGAGGAATAGAATAGTAGCAAAGCTGAAGAGTGAGACTTTTTGCGGAAGCTACTGGTAACAGAGCAATGAGGTTCTTTTCAAGAGTGATGTCAGAGGAGCTGTCAGAGGTAATCGAGTTCTGGTACTGTACAGGGGGGTGGAGAATGGAGAAATCCAGTGCCATGTGACCAAAACAGTGGTGAGACAAAACTGTACGGTACCCCACAATATTACAGTGGTTGATCTTCTCCACCCTTCGCACGACATCAAGAGTAAGGAAATTACAAACTGAAATTACTCACATAACTGTACTGGGTACTAGTACAGTCGTACCGGTACCATGGTACCAGGAAACTGGCAGGTGCAGCCTTCTTTGCTTTTCGATCGACGCGATTGGACATTGGCTCTTTCTATGATTCCTCGATTCTTCCACGTAAAAGCAACTTGCTATTGCCCTTCCACGTCAAGCTACTCGCCTTTCGTGCATAAAGTACATGTAGTTCACCATAACGCACACATACTAGTACATCATGAGAACCCAACAGCCAGCTACTCAGTAACCGGTAATAGCAATTGTAATAGAGAGCCAAAGAAGCAGCTCCGAAACCCGCGTCGCTGTTGTGAGGAGGAGACACAACAAAAAGAAACCGCAACCCACTGATTGTGAAAAGCGCAAGCCATTGATAGTAGGCCATGAAGTCTCCAATAGCAAGGGCTACCGCCAGTGATGAGATAGCCACCGAATCTATCAGAGAAACCAACAACGAAGAGGAAAGCTTTGATGTTTTGGACATTGTCAATGCCAGGATCCGTGGATTCACAGAGGAGGAGCTCCAGAAAATGGAATCATTTTCAGAACGAGGGGGAGAAGAAACGCTAGCACAAGGAGGTCCTCCTGTGGCTAGCACCACATTGAAAGAAGAAGCCAAAAAACGGGAAAACAAGAAGGACAAGGTCCAAGTTCCCGGCACTCCAGAAGACAATGTATTCCTCTTGAAGGTTTTAACAGAACGACAGGAAGCAGAATCACCGTTAAGGCAGAGTATGAACGCGGCAGCATCCAGAGAAGATTTCGATTTAGAGGATCTCCATGATCTGCCTCGGACAAGCCTAACTCGTGACGAAGAAGTGGCAAGAAGAACCTCTAATATACCTGGTGCCTATTCTGTGGCACGTGGCTTTGAACTGCCAACAACTGCTGCCATGTATGGCACACTTGCAGGACATCCAGTAGCTGAGAATGAGACCCACTCCAACTTTATGTCCGAAGTAGTAGCGCAAGAACACTCCCTTGGTAATAATAGTGGCTTGGCTGTGGCAAACCCGGTGGATGAAACATTTCCTCAAGATCTTCCCCAAGCTCAAGAGTTTGAGAGCCAAGAATCAACAAGAGACCCAAATGACAAGATATACAAGACCCCCTTTCCATTGGGAGTCATTGCATTGGTGGCAGTCATGATCGTAATTGTGGTCGTCATGGTTCCTAGATGGAAGGATGACCAGGTGGCTCCAATGACTGCAGTTCCCACCAGTACTCCATCGGCAGCTCCAACCATGTCTCTGGAGGGAACCATCAAGGTGTTGCTAGAAGAGGAGACCCTGTCGGCTTTGGCAGATCCAGAGTCACCTCAGTTCAGGGCATTTGAATGGTTGTTCGAAGATCCCAATCTTCCTTCTTACTCGGATGCTCGCTTAAGGCAAAAGTTTGCATTGGCGTCACTTTACTATGCCACCAGTGGAGAAACTTGGTTGGATAATACCAACTGGCTTGACCATAGCATACATGATTGTGAGTGGTACAATGCACCTGACTTTGCTCAGAAGGCAATGATGGATTCTATATATCAAGGGTACATGTCTGAGTTTTCCCCATCCACAGAGCCACCACCACCACGCTGCAATGAAGATGGGATGTATCAGCATCTTTGGTTGGATAAAAACGACCTTGTTGGGATCCTTCCGGAAGAGCTCTACATGCTGACAAGCCTACAAACACTGTCTCTTGGGTATAACCAGCTTGAAGGCAGTCTTGGCAGCCATATTGGACAGCTTGCTGATTTGGAGGGGATGGCCATTTTTGATCAGCCACCAGGTGGCATTCCCTCGGAGATTGGTCTCTTAACCAAGCTGAGAGGTCTGCTGCTTACCAACAGCAACCACCAAGGCCCTCTTCCTGCAGAGTTGTGGCAGCTGAGGAATTTGGAGCAATTGGTTCTAACGGACCATGCGCAAATGAGGGGAACCATTTCAACAGAGGTGGGAATGCTCTCAAAACTGAATTGGTTTGTTATCGACAACAGTGACATCTCTGGTAAGCTGAATTCTTGTTCTCTGTTATTCTCCAATATTACAGCACATCATCCCTCACTCATCACAATTTGCTAACTTGTGTATACATGAAGGCACTCTTCCCACAGAGCTTGGGCAAATAGAGCCATTGGAGTGGATTGTTTTGGGTCGGGCCAGGCTATCTGGATACATCCCAAGTGAACTGGGAAGTCATCCCAACAAGCAGCATTTACATTTAGATCGCAATGACTTGGTGGGGACAATGCCTAGTGAGTTGGGTTTGCTCAGTTCTCTTTTTCGTCTTTCATTTTGGGACAACCACATCACGGGCACTGTCCCAAGTGAACTTGGTCTCCTCAAGAATCTGGAACATGCTTTAGACCTTGGGAGAAACCTGCTAACAGGAGTCATCCCAACAGAGCTTGGGATGTTGGCAGACCTACACGATCTTTTGCTGGACCACAATCATCTCTCCGGGCAGATCCCCAGTGAATTTGGTGAACTCGCAAGTCTGCGTATCACAAAATTGGCAAACAATAGCTTGTCAGGCTCAGTCCCAGTGGAATTATCATCTCTACAGCAGACACTGCACTCGTTGTTGTTGGATGGGAATCCAATGTTGACTGGAAGTTTCCCAGAGTCCCTTTGCCACGTAAATGGAACCTGTGTTGTACCAGTTGGTTATGCGCATTCATGTGACGGACCAATGGGGGTGTTCTTTGGGTGTACTGATCTCCTGTGTGGCTGTGATTGCTCCTGTGGGGCCTGAACATGAACGCTGCATAAGCAATGTATCAAGCCGGCTAGCTAGTTGTTGTTAGGTGCTGCCTCATTGGATCTTATTCTGTAGAATCTGGCTCTCTAGCGATACATTAGGCTCTTGTACAAGATATTCCCGATGTGTGGCTCTTGGCCGGCCTTGGGCAAGCACATTGGGATCGTAGCAGCTGCTGTGGCGAGCAGGATTTGAATGCTCCTATAGTTGATAATAACTGACACTACAAACATCTAATACAAAGAAAGATCAAGGTTGTCCATAGTCTTCTGTTGCTCGCTCGTGGTGCGTACCGTACCTTAGCTGGGCCAGCCAGCAACTACACTGGCACAAGTCGTCTCGTGAGATACAGCCAGCCAAGCTTTTGGCTATGGGTAGGTGGGTATCTCCGGTTCGGTAGGTGTAGAAGGATGGCAACACAAGATTCTTCGTTTTTGCAGAAGCACTACAAGAACGCAAAAGGCTCCAGAATGAAACTTAATATTACACTCTTCCACAGCCCTCCCAACGAGCAACAACACCTAGAGACAATCAAAGCCCGCAAGGAGTGTCCGTGACACGTCCTGTTGCCTACGCCGCGGCACCAGGCACAGGACTCCGAATAGCCACCACCCTTTGCCAGTTCTCTTGTGGGAGCTTCATCACCAGACGAATCCTAGGCTGACCCTGGTAGCGAAGAAGATTCCGACGAGGAGCTTCGATTGCCCCTGCCTAGTAGTAGGTTCAAGGATGACCTAGATGCAGCGATCCCTGAAATTTCAGCACAACTTCTCCTCCTGCGGCCAACTTGAAGTAGTAGATCCACCGTCACATCTATGATACGGTACCCATTGCGGAGAATGGTGGCAAGACAAGTGAAGAAATACCCAAGCAATCACTGACATGCATCCTGACGTTGGCAGTTGCTACCGTTCTTGTGGCGGTGGCTATCATCGTCTTGGCCATTCATCGTCGCGGCTAGTGGTGCTGCTGCAAGGGTTCAGTGAGCCATGGAACCCCGCTCCAAAGCACAGGGGTATCATCATGTTTGAAAGCGTACAAGGAGATTGATTAGAAAGGATTATGTAGATGGATTATCAAAAAGTTGGATTTTATGTGCAGTTCATGTAATTGAGCAAAATTTCGCGCGGAGTTTCGGTCTATGTCGTGACCGTGAATAAACATTTTGGTTGGATGCTTGTGTGGCTTGGTAGTTCATAATAGCGTTATCCTCGCAAGTAGTACTGGTAGCGGTGCGGGGTGATGTTGTGATGTCTGATATCATGAAATTCAACGATCATGCCGCAAACTCGGTCGACGCTGTGGAATCGGAGGGAGGCTTTGTCTTTGTTGTTGCTTTTCCTTCTTGCTCCCGTGACTGTTCCATCTCGACACGCGTCTGTCATGGGACGGGGGTCGAGAGTAAGAAGAGGACCCAGAAGCATTGTCACTGATAATCATGAGCTGATCAGATGATTGGCACCTCTCGCGTTTGAGGCTGCTGAGAAACGCATCCATTGGAGTCGCCGGCAAGTTCGTGATTCTACCTTGAATCTCCTGCACTGGTTTAGAAACAAGCGGTTGCGAGTTTCGATATGAAAAGGAGCAGCTTGTGTAAGGCACGTTCATGGTACGGTAATGGTGGAGGCTATGAAGCAGAAGTTATGCAACGATTCGATTCGGTATACATGTATCCGAGGAGGTGGAGAAGATATTATGGAGTTGAAGGAGAAGATGGGAAGGAGGAGGGGCCAAAGATGGGTCAAAAGAAATGAGATGCTCGGCTGCACGGAAGGAAGGGAGAGAAGAAGGAAGAGTGGTTCGGTCAGAACGGAGAAAAGGAGGAATTCGGTGTTTTCTTAGGCTGTTTGCCATTGTACTTATGGGGGCGTGCAGAACGCCGACGTGGCCTTCATTGAAGGTGAAACCTCAGTCAATAATTAGATTTATGTACCGATAGTACTGGTACCCTACTGGTTACTGCTGGTACATGTACTCGAATACATTAATTTTATTTAACCAAAGTGGGCAGTGGGCAGTGGGGGAGCTGCTTACCAGCTTACTACTATTATCTACTATTAGCTGGCTGCTCTTTTCTTCAAGAGGTGAGTTACTCATGCGACTCAGTCAGTTAATACATTTTGATGCCGTTCAGGCATGCATTATTTAACAGGTGCTTGCAGACATTGCTCCAACCCCAACTATAAATATGTACTTGAGTCCAAAGGACCCATAAAATCCCACTTTTTTACTTTTTGACCATTATGAACTTTTGGTATTCTTTGGTGCCAATTACCACTCTTGCCAGCAATGCCAAAAAAGCGAAAAAGACCCTTGTTGTAACCTCCAGAGGTACCCATTAAATTTTGTAGGCGGAAACTTACTTGAAGAAAGTGAGAGAGAAAGGATAGGTTGAGAAGGCGAGATTGTGCCACAACTTACTTCAAGCAGCCCTTCAAGCTCTAGCATTCCAGAGCCGGGCTTGGACGTGACACCTTTTAAGCGTTGCTTCCCCTCCAAATAAATGTGCCAATCCAGGCCGATGGCATCGGAATATCGGAATGCTTACCCCAAGCAGAAGGGATGAGGCAGAACATCCTTTCTTTGCTTGCAGCGTTGTCCACGATGCTCTTCAGCTAGAGAATGTGGCTCTGAGGAGTTAACTCAGCGAAGTGCAGCGGCACTTGAACCCAACAAACTTGAATCGAGCTATTCTTCGGCAGAACTTGGGTTCCAAGGGCTGTAGAACCCATTGAAGCAAAGGAGAAACAACCTCACGAAGCACGAGCTTGTTTGGTTATCAAAGAACGGAGAGACTTTGTCAAAAGTCATTACGTGAATTATCAAACGTTCTAAAAAGCTGCTATAGATGTTATTGCTTGTCACCCAATTTTAGAGGAGCAACTCTTGGCTGAAGTTCTGGCTGCTATGGGTGTGCGTTATTGTTTGTCATCCTGATTAGAAAAGCAGCTCTTGGCTGCGCTCGCTCTTCCTTTGTCTCGGACAGAGCTCGTTTAGACAAACTCCTTCAAACAAAGGCAGTTTATTTCTCGAAGCAGTGGACAGTTGCAGCTTCCAAATGAAATATAAAAAATCAGAGAATAGCCTTGTGAGGGATGTGAGCCCCGCCTGTTGGCTGGTGCAGGTATCTTGCATTTCATTGCCCCCAAGGGATGGACCCAACTTTTTGATTGACCGGCTTGTGGTGGCTCACGGACCATGTCGCAAACTCTTTTGTCGTCGAGGAATGGGAGGAAGGCCACTTTCATGACTTTGATGCGTTCCTGAAGAGCCATCGCTGCTCCATCGATCTTCACATAATGGCTTTGGTGCGGGAGTCTTAGGAGGGGTAACATGGGCGTTATCGCTGACAATCAAAAAAGCACCAGAGTCTTGATTCCATTCCTGTTTCATGTCTCGAAAGAAGATTGATAATGGAGATATCTCCTGATTAGTGCTGTTTCGATCCATTGGATTGGTGTTGTTGGCGTTGGAGTTTGGAGTTGGTTGTATGTTGTGCGAAACTGAATAAATGAGGGCGAAAGGAGAGTGGAGTTGTTTTCTGAAAAAAGTGAGATGCAACGATGCAACCTCAGTTCTTCGATGTTCTCACAGATGGTGCAAGGGAATAGCAAAACTAGAGTAGCTCACAAGGGAAGTCACAAGTCACAAGGACAGCTCTAGTACAGCGTAGTAGGATGTAGTCAGCAGTGTACGAGAACTCGTTTGGAGTTCCACCCATTATTAATTATTAACATGACATCATAGTATGAGATTTGATATGAGGCCTTTTGCCTTTGCACTTTGCATGATAATATTATTATGCCCCTTCCCTCTGAATGTTTCACTGTGAAGGTTAAGGTCATCCAAGTCTTCAAGTACACTTTCGGCAATAACAGCTAACACGCAAAGGAAACCCCCCCATGTCAGTGTGACTTTACTGAGTAATTGGATCAGCTATGGATCTGAAAGGAGCCGAACCACGATCTTCCGAAAACAAAAAGGAAAGAGCCGCATGCAGGACGATGTTCGGATTGGAGTTGAAATTGATGGAGTCGAGTCGGCTCTACTCATGAGCTCTCTTGTCACTAAGTCTTGTCATGGTGCTGGTGAAGGTGTGGATCAATCGAGATCTCCATCCATCGGTTGGAACAGCTCCAAAGTGAAACACTGCCAAGTTTTTGATAAATCCAACCGCAGTCTTGGATACCCATTATCGTTCTGTTCTTCTGGACCCGCACCAACGATTCTGTGTTCAGACACGACGAGCATGGAACCAAGAGCACTTTCCTTTCCTTGGAGAGACAGGTGTCTGCTCCTGATTTGAGCATAATGTTGGATCCTCCATCCATGAGTGGCATCACCAATACAGTGAAGTGCATGCCATCGACGCCATGGGTAAGAATGGAAGCGCGAAGGCCGGGCTTGTTGCCATCCGGCAAATGAATTGGATCATCCTTGGACCTTGTCCTCTGCATACAAGAACGCGTCCGTCAAGAAAGTCTGGGGACGCAGTATAGGTCCGACATCTTGATCTTGACCGTTTCCTACCAAAGTATGTCTTTTATTGCGAACAATGGGGATCTCCATTGTCAGATTCCTTTTCGAGCGATCCAAACCAACTCTGAAAAGGAGGGAATGCAGCAGAAAACACCACAAGGGGACAATAGCAACAACAAAAATCTTCTGACAGGAGTGTCAGTCTATCTGGGCAAGTACATGTAGGACATGCCCAATGACAATAGAAGTATGTGGCATACACAAGTTGAGTGTGTCTATCCAATGGCGAGGAGCCTGCCACTTCTTATCCTGTGTCTGATCGACATATTCTACTGCATGCTGACACCTCCCATTTCGACACTCCATGCTAAACAGCCCAGTCTTCTCCGCCAAAGCATCTAATTGGTGGCAGGCAAGGGCCTTCATTCAAGAGCACACATTTGGCTTTCTAGCGCAATGCCCCGGCCATCTTGTTCTAACTGTAGCATGAGTAATTATTTGCACTCGTATAACTGTATTGGCTATTGCAGTTTGTTCTTTGTTCTCCGTGCTGCCTAGAGTAGACTTGCCACCACCATGAACCCAATGATGTATTAGCTATTGCAGTGTGTTCTTTGTTCTCCGTGCTGCATTGACTATGGTGCCCTTGATCTCTTCCACTAGTCTTCCTCCCTTAATCCTCCCTGCCCCCCACCTTGCCTCCCCTCCCTCTTTGGTTTTGCTGCTGCTCTGCGCACTGGATCGATTGCTGGGCTCCCGTTTGTGCATGGTGCTCTCTCCCTCCACCCCCTCCTCACCATAGTTCCCTCTAAGCCATAGTAAGTAACCGCTCTTGCTCTCGTGTGTATCGAACGCAGAGTTAAGGTACAGATCCATACCGGCATGGTCCATACGGTAGCTCCTCCCACCTCCCGCTCAGACCCCCTGAACCCATGCCCGTCTGTGGGTGGCGGCTGGATGTCTGCGATCCTCATCCATTTCACTGTTACATGTTTTCTTGGTGGGCTGTTGTTGTTCGGCTGCATTCTGAGGCCAGATCCACCAGTTGGAAAAAAGGTTGCCAACCAGTTGCTGCTCGCGACGTCCACGCATTCCGAGACCCACAAAACGAGGCAACCTCATTATGCTCGTTTAACTGTCCCACAAACACTAAACCAGGCGGATGACACGGTTCGGTACCCCGCCACAAATATCCTCCACCAACCCCGCGTTTGGTCTTTCGTGGGTCCAGCTGGCACCACAGCAATAAACGCAGAATGCCCTGCCCATCGAATGCCTTCCTACCGGTATCTCTAGGAGCTAGGAGCAATGATGGTCAGGGTAGGTAGCTAGCGGTTCGTCACGGGCCCTTCGCTTTTTTGCTGGTTTGTAAACGTTCTGGAATTCGTGAAGCATGCGATACGGCTGGAACGATGCCGAATTGAATTGATGCTGCCGTAGCAAAAGCCAGGGGGAGAGGGCGCATCACATGCACTGGTACCTACCGATGGGTACCGTACCGACCAGTGAGTGGTACAGGGGATGGGCCCCACCAAAGACGCACGGCCACAACGAAAGTCAAGTATATCTAGACTTGATTGGACTTCTCTCCAGTTCTAGGAAAACAAAAATGCTCGTAGACTTTGTAGGTCTTCCAATGTTGCACTCAAATAGTACTCCATTGCTGCGTCAATGTCCATGTTCTTGTGTCCTCCCCTCAGCCATGCAGTATCACCGGCTGATTTCGTGACCTTTTTGGTTCAAGCCAGACAGGGACCTACTTGGCTTGGGGCAGCCGGCATTTCCAGTTTCAAGCCACGCACCAGACGGAGACCTACTTGGGTCAGATGGCACGGCTAAGGCCATGGCTTAGAGCGCATTTTGATAAAAGCTACCAGGTACACACTGAATGGAGTCGACTCAGAGGAGACCTATCAGGAGACACCCAGACGACTAGCTAGCAACGGACTGAGACTGTTGGTAACCGAAGGCTGAAGGCTGGTGACTGTTTTCAAAAAGGTCTATTTCTTCTATTCTTTAGTTTTATGTTACATTGTCCCTTTACCCACTTTGCAAAAAGACAATCAGTGATTGCTGTTGCTGAGAAGGTCTTTGATACTGGGCTGTCGCTTGGGCATGGATGGCAGACCTCTGCGGAGCTGTGTGGGCGGCTTGTCCCCGCTTGTTGAGTGGTCTGAGGAGCTTTCCCATCGTTCTTCACCAAAGGAAATATCAAGCTCGTCTTTGCTGTAAGTTTTTTCGTCGTCAGACTTGATGGCAGAGGGAGGCTCCATCATGGCGCATGCATTGTCGGAAACGATCACCAAATCTTGTTGGCTCAGGTCCAGCTTGAGTTGTCGAAAGAAAGCGTCCATGGGCGAAGACATGGTTGCTGCAGATTCTTCTTGAAACAGTTTGATTGTTGGTTGGCTCATGGAGGAAGTGGATTGGCACATCGTTGCTTTTGTATATTTTATGAGCTTGTACGGTTTGCTCTTCAGATTTTTGCGGATGCCGTGGAAGTATTGTGAGAAGACCAAGAGCACCCGTTCGCTATTCACTACTAAGTTCAGAGCTGAGTGCGGTAACTGGTCGCCTGTACGTAGTTCCACTGTAGTTCGCACCAAGTCAATTTGAGCCTATTTCATTTGAAGTTCAGGTCGTTCAGGTGCTTTTCACAGTTGACCTTAAACATAATCGGTGTTTCCTGTGTCCCCTGGAAACTGCTTCTCTAAGACTTGTTTGCCACCAAGTTGAGAACTCCAGGTACTCCACCCACCATTCCACGTTTGGGTGACGATACGCAAAGCCACTACATAGTATCGGTTCGCCACAGAAACACATCTCATTCTTCCATGTCCAATCGGTCTGCAAAGGCAAACATGCTACTTATGGCTTTTGGTCTTTTGCCATTCTGCGATGAATTCTCCAAGGTTGACCTGACGACTCGTTAAGTCATTTGAGTCGACAAAAACCCGAATTCATCCCCGACATTCCACGTCCGTAACAGACTCATACAGTACCTGCAACGTCCGGAAACGGCCTCTTAGTTTCACGAGTTGTGAAACTAGTTTCAATTTCACGTTTATAGTTTCACATTACTGTGAAACTACAGTTTTAGTTTCACAGGTGTGAAACTAGTTTCACGAAATTTTGGAAATTTGCCCTACAGATCTACACAGTTTCACTACTAGTTTCACAGGTGTGAAACTAGTTTCACGTTTTTCCGTGAAACTAGTTTCAATTTCACACTTGTGAAACTAGTTTCACGACTCGTGAAACTGTCAAAATCAAATCAAGTCATGTTTCCGGACGTTGCAGGAAGCAGAAAGTTGCGGAGAATTCAGCTAAATGACTCGGACTTGTAGAAGTCTCGAAGTCTCAGCTACAGTTCGCGTAGCCAGTTGCTGCAATGGGCCGGAGTCGAGTCAGTCTTTTCGTAGTCTTTGTAAATGCAACGTGATGTGCATTGCGAACTGGCGGTGTTCCATTGCTCATTACGCTGTAAGGCCTTCGCCGGATGCGTACCGGTAGGAAGATTGGCCGTAGTCTGGCCTTTCAGCAGCTAGATTATTCACGTACACAGCCTTCCAGCCAAATTGAAGCACATTCTGCATCCGGGTGGAAAGAGTAAGGAATCTCACCCATCTCTTCAAAGGAGTGTTATGGCGCAGAAGGTCCTCCGCTTCCAAAGCCTCCTGGCTGTGCATTTGCTCCCAGGATCCAGGCAAGTTGGAACTAACAGTACTAGTTTGTAGGTTTTGACCATTGGAACATTGGAACTGGAGCTGGCTAAAGCTTACGGGTTACGGCAAACAAAAAGAAGCATTGGAGATTGCTGACCTGCCTGCCATTGCTTGCGGAGAAGAGTCTTCCTACAGTTAGCGTAGTTGCTATTGAAGAAAAACCAGCCAGATACATCAATCCCAGCACAATAGTTGACTTACTATCGTTGGCATCCTGGTCTTTCGAGGGTCGATGTGCTTCCTCGGTCATCCTGGATTCAATCTTTTGATTTTCATCCCTAGTTTATGGCTTGCGTTTACTCCAAAGTACATTGAAGCTCTCCCTGGCTAGAGAAACTGGCATCCAAACCAGCCCCCCGTGCAGCTGCTGCATCTGCAAACACATCAATACCAGCAGCCACACCAACCACTCCAAGAAACTCCAAATACGTGTAAATGGATTGCTCTGCTTTCCTTCCAGATTTTCCTTCTCGTACAGCGAAGGGTGTGTTGGTCATTCTGCATTCAATATTTCAGCACTACTCCCAGTGCATTAGAGCCAGGCTGGGGCTTCTTAACGCAATAGCTCAGAGGGCGGGTCGCTCGTCGCTCCCTGTCTTCTCCCTTTTAATTCGAACCAAAAGCGCAACCAGAATGGCTACAGTGCTACAGTATAATGACAGAAGTCATGGCACGGTGCCGGGCCCTTCTTTTCAGCCTGAAGTCGATAATCGATTTCTCCGTTTCAATGCGAACCGATGCCCTCTCATTCAAGTACCCCCAGTCTGTCGAAAGCAAGTCTCAGCCAAAGTTTCAGTGTCGGGCTCTTCGCCTTCGATTGGTCCGATAGGTACCGAGCCCTTGGTTTTAGCTAGCTAGATGCTGGCCAAATGTTTTTAAGTCCAGTCAGGGCATCTTCCAAATCCCTTGGAGGAAAAATTGGCCCTGGATAGGGCTCTGATGGAAACCTCCGTACAAAACCTCTCTGCTGGCTGATATCGACCTCAAGGCTTCTCACAGTCAATGACATCGCGACAGCGTAAAAAGGGCATCCTGCCCTCCCCACCCTCACCATGCGTTCCTGCGTCGTGCCCCCCTTGACCTCTGTCTCCATCCTCATCTTAGCTCTCTCTAATCCATAGTAAACCATGGTAATGGTACGGTATCTGCCTCACCCTCGTGTTATCAATTGTGTTGGTTTGGAGTACTGTGTCTAGCTAGTGTTAGAGGGGACAATGGCTAGCAATGACAGTGGTAGCAATACATTGACACTGAGGCTTCTCCTAGTTCGTCATGGAGAAACAGTGTCCAATAAAGAAAGATTGGTGGCCGGACAAGCTGAATCAGTGCGTGATAGATAGAAGCAAAAGAGGTTTTTCAGTATGGTTCTAGTTGCTCATCTTATATCTTTCTTTCTTTTGTGTTCTGTTTTGGTAGGCCCTGACAAAACAAGGAGAACGACAAGCAGTGGCATTGGGCAAGAGTGGACGACTCTTATTGGGTCAATATTGGAGGATTTATGCGTCGGATCTACAAAGGGCCCAAGATACCACCAGATTGATTTTACAAGGATACAACCCCATACCAAAAGATAACGAATCCTCCTGTCCTGACGTCCGTTTGGATGCCCGGTTGCGAGAATTATCCAAAGGAGCTCGCCAAGGATACCACAAATCCTTCAACCAGGAACAAGCCTTAGAAGCCAGAAGGCTTGAGGCCAAAAACCGCGGCGAAGCATTCCTGCCCGAACTTGTTCCTGCATTGGAATCAGAACGAAGTGTTTACGCTCGGTTCCTAAAATGGCTCTTGGAGGTGGCTGGAGAGGCGGTCCTAGAACGAAAACCCTCCTCGAACCACCATGTGTTGCCAACCTTGGTGGTCTCTCATTCGGCTTTTTTACGGGCCATTCTGACACATATGTTCACCAAGCAAGAATTGATACAAAAGGGGGCCAACTATGATGCCAAGAATTCCACAAGATTGTTGATACCCAACACTTCCGTCACCACTCTCGATATACTCATTCATTGGAAGAGTAGCTTTTGGAAACAACCGACATCACAAGTGGAACAGCAACAACAATCAGCAACACAAGACAGAGGAAAGTCCACTGGATCCATTTGGCATTCCAAATTGCAAGAATTGACGTGGACAGGTCACTATGAACTCGTGTGACTATTGCCTCGCTCATAGATCCGACCACAGGCAAAGAGCATCCCAAACCTCGAGTCCATCTTACATAGCTCGTTTTGGCCAAACCCCCGCAACGGGAGGAGCAATCCAAAAGCTTGCAGTCTTTGAGGATACCGAAGGCTGCCTCTGCCTAATAGCGAAATGCCATCTGCCATCCTGCAATCTGTCATCTGCTGGTTGTTTTGTAAGAGTCAAACGAGTGCGTCCATTCTTATGAAAAAATGCTTCACCTCAGCGTAGCGTGCAACCAACCCACGCATTTGGTTCCTCGATCCATGCTGAAGCGTTTGGTAGCTTCTACCGCCCTGGCCAGGCCTCAGTCTCGCCAAGGAAGCTGCATATCCCCATCGCTTTGGTGAGCGATGCAAGCTATGGTGCAACGCAGGGATCGACACAGCCACCCCGCCCTTCACACACGATCTTCAGCTACCTCTTCGTCGTCGCTCTCCATGCTCAGCGGGCGCGGAAGGTGCAAAGGTCCTACCGGTACTCGTGGGTCCCTCTCGCTGCTGAGAAGCCATTGATGTATTTGAGGAATCTCCATTGCTGGCCAGGTTGACAGAGGAACATGGAAAGGAGGACCAACGAAGACTTTGATTCTTCGAGAGCACCGAACTCTTCTTCGTTGCAGCTCGCACACTTGCTTGGCTACAGTGTACAAGGTACCGAGCAGTTGCTTGAGGAAACTCCAATACTGGCCAGCATGTAGCTCGATTGGGCATGAGGATCAACGAAGGCTTCGATTCTGCGCGGATACCGAAGGGTGCCTACTAATGACATGTATGTTGTTGCATCCGCCGCAGCAACCAGCGGCCGCCAGTTCGTTAGCAGATGCCTTACTTGGCGCTTGGCTGCTTAGCTTCCATCGGCACATGGAACGAAGGAAGCACACTCTTGACTTGTTTAGTCCAGTGTCTTCGAAGCCAACTTTGTTTGCTTTCCAGTACATGCAAGGCTGACAAGTGCAAGAGTCGGCGACAATCACACCAGCACTCCTGAAGGATACACTGCAGCACAACCTAACACTTTTAGCAGGGAGCCCTGCCAGTCAGTTTCTACGTAGACGTTGCAGACGACGAAAAGGGTCGAAAGAGATAGACCACAGCTTAATAAACTGCAACATGGCGCACATCTACGTCTTCTGCGGAGCCTGAAACTCTAGCAATATAATATATAATATACCGGTACCCAGGAGAAGTCGTCTAGCTAGCTAGTGACTACATTACTACTTGCATATCCACCCATGGCTAATATCCACCAGCTTTGGCCATATCGAGGTCACCCGATGCCATGACGTCGGAGACGCACATGGGTTTTTCTTGCGCGTTCCAATGGGCACAAGCTTGCTCCGCCGCAGCCCTCGAAATTTGACCCGGAACTGGTTGGTCCAGACGTCCCTTGCTGAGTTCCTGCCATTGATCCAGGAAACGTTGGTCGTCTCCCTCCAGTGGCGCCACTGGCTTTTGATACCAATCGTCCTGATTTTGTCGAATATACGCGGGGATTTCTTGTCGCTCCTCTGGCGACAAACAACTATTTTCCTCGAAACAGAAAAACTCGGAGGGTGGTTGCTCCTCGGACCCCTTCCGAATCGTGTATTGATAGGCTTGGTAGTACATGTTCCCTTGCTCGTCGGTCAGAATTTCCTTGTCACGACCCGTATCCTTCAACAACTGTTGTCGATTGTATTGCAAAAAGAGTCGTTCCCAGCCCTTGGAAAAGTCGGCCTTTTGGAATTCGTCGCTGGAAATGTAAAATCGAATGGCCGCCGCAATATCTTGTTGGGTGAGTGTTTCGGCTCGTTCTGCCAGTTTGTTTATAAACACAACAGGAAGTCCGTCAAACATCTGTCGATTGACGGGCCCCCGATCGTCCACAATGGGAATGACTCCCAACAAGAGCATTTCGTAGGTTCTATAACAATCCCACCCTTGTCCTGGAGGACTGAGTCCAAACCGGTAGCGGGACATGTCGGAATAAATCGTGCGAACATTCAAATTGGCCGTGTTTTGGTTGCACGATACACCTTGCTTATTGTTGCTGTTTCCACACAGATTCTCCCACAAGGTTTTGCGCCGCGGCGATGTCATGCCAAAATGCACAAAGACTTCCTGATCAAAGTCTTGAAAGGGATGTGCTGCCAAATCCCAGCGCTCTTTATTGTTTTGGTTGAGAAAGGGATTGGTAAAATTGACCAGTTGCAGATAGGGCAAAATGTGTTGTTCTTGTTGGGGATGATTGAATCCGGAAAGTCCCAAATGCATGGGATGAAACTTATGGAAGGCTTCCATAAATGCGGGATTGGCCCGATGCGGTTCCACATTAGGATTGTTCCCGTACCATTTCAAGAGGAGCGGATCTTGCATAAATTGTGGTTTGATTTGGGGGGTATCGCCATCGCTGCCGGCTGTGACGAGAACGTAGGGCACGTTTATGTGCGGTCGAACGTGTTTCCAAAACCAAATGATGGATGCCACGTGATTATCGAGTTGAATGATGGTCCCCGGCACCAAACAGGGAATTATTTCGGGTCGCAAATAGGAAGCGTGAAAGTGTAGATAGGGAGCCCGTCGCATTCCGGTACTAGCGTGGACAATCATGGCATCGGCGAGATCGAATCCATCGCGACAGTGAATGAGTTGTTGGGCGTCTTGTTGGAGAGAAATGGCCACGGTTTGGACACAGCACGTGTCGCGACAGACTTTGCGGTGGCCGCCTGCACTAACTCCCAAGGGAGTATTAAAGGGCAACCATTTTTGTGCCTTGCTGACCACAGTGGCCCGATTGTAGGCGGAATTTCCAAATTGAAACTTGTTGTTGGCTTGCTGGTTGTGTTCCAAAAGATGAATGCGTTTGCTGATTTGGTCTTGTAGTTCGTGGAATTGGGGTCGACCGGGACTTGGCAATGACACTAACGGTTGCTTCTTCTGTAAGGTTCGGGTAGTGTCCGAGTGTAGTTGTGTGGTGGTAGTGGTGGTTGTAGTGGTAGTGACTGCCTTGGCGTGGGCCGTGTCAATGGCAATGTCGATGTCAATGGCAGGCTGTTGTGGCTGCTGTGGCTGTTGTGGTTGTGGAGACGTTAACAAATTGGCTTGGTCCAGTAATCGTGTCGTAAAAGACCCAATGGAAATTCCCGCCACCAACCAAAGCAATCTCGTAGTTGCTAGCAGTTGCTTCCTGGGGCTGCTCTTAGCACTACTCTTGATACTGCTAGTAGTAGCAGCATTCTTTCGTGACACTGCCCTTGATGACGCTGCTGAGAGACGCTTGGGCATGGCCAGTCAGCTTTTTGATTCCTTCCTTCCCTTTTGGTATAGGTGTTTGTGGTCCGCTTGAAGAATAAGAAAATGATGCCGTTGAAGCCTCCCTCCATCCCAACGCAAAATATGGAGAGAATAATGATCGCGGGAGTGACAGTCATTTTCAGTGCGGTGTACGTTCATGGAAGTACTAAAGCCGTCGTACCAGCCGGACACTTTTACAGCATCAAAACAGTCATTCTCACAAAAAGTTTCCGGAACCGGATAGAAAGCGGTTCCGGTTTATCGAACGCTGAGGTAATTCCTACCTCTGGTTCCAGTTCCGGTTATTGGAACCGGATACAATACATGTAATATGGAATGGAATACGAGCTGGAAGCACAAGGGAAGGTGGAAGATTGGGTTGCAAGCAATGAATGCATGCCATCAGTTGGCTCCTTTGTTTCTGCTTGATTGGCTGAGCATTTCCCTCTCTGAAGCCACAACAATGTGTCTGCGTGGCTCGCTCTCCTGTTCCTGCTATCAAGATCTCTAGGTAACCGGATGATCCAGGCGCTCTTGATCTCTTCCACTATAGTCTTAGTCCTTTGATCCTCCCCGCCCTCCTCCCATACCACCCACTCCTTCTTTGGGTTTACCGTTGATCTGCTTCGGCTTGCGCTCTTGCATCCTGCCCTCCTCCTCTGGAACCCATCCTCGCCATAGTCCCCCCGCTAACCCACAGTAGACTAACTTCTAAGTACTCTCTCACCCGTACCTGGAATTCTACATGATCAACACGATCAACACGCAAATAGCTATAGTATAGCTAGGTTCCCAGCGCGCAAGCTGCGATTCGATCCGATTCCGCAAGCTGCCTACCGTATTAGCATCAGTTCTAACCACCACTCGAAACAACTTGCAAAAGCCAAGAGCAACGACCCTGTCCTGCATGCGGAGCGATGCAGCTCCGAGTCGTAGCTAGAGGGGATGGGCTTCTGTACGACGTACATACGCGTGGTGCATACCACGCACCGGTAGTATACAGTCCTGGACAAGCCAATTGCGTTGGTACCGTACTAGCGAGCTAGCTATATGATAGTCGTTGAGCCCGGCTCAATGTACGACACGCTATCGTCGTATACTCCGTCAGGAGCCTGGCTGACGCTTCTAGTTGATTGAATTCAACCCTGAACGTTTCAATACTGATTTTGTTTCCGTAGTGGAGCTTCCCCACTACATGGAGTGCTGGCATTGGTGAAACAATAGAGAGGAGAAACCAGCAGCACTTCCGGTCAGCCAGTGATACGGTACGTCCAAACAGTTGCACCCCGTGGCAATACGCATACCTCATAATCCCAAGTTCTGTTGTCGCCTCCACAACATCCCAAACACCCCACAACACCCCTTAACATCCTCCCTTCTTCATGACAGCGGTATGTGTTTTCGACCAGCCAAGAACACTTTCGCTTCGCTCGTTTCGAAACGAATGTATGCGGTTCGAGTGCCGCGGCACAAACGTCAGTTCCCTATTAGAAGGAGGAGGAACTCGTGCAAGCACGAACGCCACCAAGTCCGAGATCGTCCCTCGTCAAACACAACCGTTCGGGGCCATCGTGGGTATCTCCTCATTGTTACTGTACGCCATTGGTGCATGAATTCCAATTTCGCACCTCTGAGACATCGGTTGGAGTTTCTGCATGCCTGTTTCAAAGATCTTGATGGATTTCACAACGGCGTCCCATCACGGTATTCTCCACCGCCACCGCCAATACAATGCTCCTCCGACGGGGCAGCTTCCTGACGTTCCACATTGCCTTCTGGGAAAGAACGAAAATAAGGATCGATGGGTTATAACTTTCTGACAAGAAACTCGGTGACATACGCACGTCTATGACGTGGCGCTTTAACGCTAGTTTTAAGTCTAATCTCACACAATATTCCGATCGTAGTTCACTCTGAATTCAGAAGCAAGTTCGGTTGGAATTTGCACATCAAGCAAAAGAAACTTCCTGCGTACATTCTACGCAGCCGTATACTAGGCGTTTGGCCATTGTCAAACAATTTCGAAAATTCACTCGATTTCTATTAACAACGTAACTCAAGGGTGTAACTCAAACGAAGTTACTCCTTTTTCTTTCATTATCATTACTTGCGACTCTTACTAACACAAAGCCGCAAGTACTGTTGTTTGTTATTTACCTTTAGGTTTATTATCTCACCATGACGACGCTGGTCAGTCGGCAAGAATCCGGTCATTCCTTGGTCTCTGAGTATAATGCTGCGAGGTCGCTACTACCGAGTTGTTCCGTTCTTGGCACATGCTGGTAACAACGTCAAGCGTAAGCATGACATGATTGTACTGGCAGACGAACAAAACCGGAACACGTCCTTCGGGTCATCAAGGAGTTCGATCAAGTGACCGGCAACTCAGCCTTGAATTTGGACACGGGTAATTGAGGGCTAACTTCTTTGTCAAGTGTCTTCAAGGCTCTGCTCGAGACAAGTGGAACGTGATTTGAGCAGCGCGTCCTGGTGCAGCTGTTGCTGATTCGATGCCTGTATTAATTCGTTCATTGCGAAGTTCGTTGAAGACACGATCTCGCTGATCAGACTCGATACCTGCAGACTGCGACCAAGCCCTTCAAGCTCGATTGCAAGACCTTGTGGTCTCGGTTGGAGTACATCAACACCTTGATGGCGAAGTTTCCTGGCGCAAACAATGCGAACCCTTTTGATGCTCCTGCTCTCAAGATGATGTTTTACAACATGATGCTTCCCCAGTGGAAAGACAAGTTTGCCGATTCCGCTCTGACATTACGGTAATTGGCTCAGTGCAAATGGTTCGCTTCTTGCCCGTCAAGAAAAGAATTACAACGCCGCCAACAAGGTCTCGTGCCGTGGTGGTCGCGGGTTTTCACGTGGTCGTTCAGGCCGCGGACATGGAGGAGTGGACGCTCTTCTGGCTATCGTCGTACCTATGGACAAGACGATGGACTCGAGCTGGTTACTACCGCCTTCCCAGCGTTTCCGTCGTGGAGGATGGAGTCGTGCTCCTACCTGGACGTACAACCGTAGTCCTCCTCGAGAATACCAACGTGGACAACCAGACGGACAGCAACGCAACAACACTACTCCGGTGCGCACTTTGCCGGACGTTTCGGACTGGTGGCTATGCCTCATCACTCGTGGTCGTGGACGTGGACGTGGTTACAGTCCTCGCCGTGATAATTTTGTGGCTGACGGTGATGTTCGCGAAGATGATGTGTACCACGTCGAAGAACAATCCACAGAGGTTCCTGCGGCTGCTGCAATGCCGCCTCCTGAAGAACAAGAAGAAATGTATTATCAGGAAGAGCCCCATTACTTTGATTCCATGACAGGGGGTTACGATGACTATGACGAGTCCTATGGATACGGTGGCGATTACTGACCTACGAAACGGGTCTTTGAGAATTATGCAGCGGCGGCTGAAGGAATCAATGTTGACAAGGACTTGGTGCCGATGGCTCTTTGCGTCCTACATAGTATACAGAATAAACGTCTGATAGACCGTTATTAGTCCTGATGGACTCTGGTTCTAGTGGAACCTGGATTAGTGACAAGGCGTTGCCTAAGGGAACAGTCCCTCGTATTGGTGACGTTGTGTCTACCACCACACTGGCTGGCAACGTCAACTCGAACCGTGTTGTTACCTTAGACCGGTTGTGTTATCCAGAGTTCTACAAGTCCCGCTTCATTGATGTCGCTCATGCTCGCGTCTTTTCTGCGAGCAATGTTCGGTATGACATGATCATTGGACGCGACATCCTCCTTGAGATGGATTGAAGATTGATTTCAAGGGACACAAAATGACATGGGAAGAGGTCAGCATTGACATGAGACCCTTTCCTACGTTTTCTGTTGACAAGAAGACTCCTCCTGCTACTCGATGTTCCTTGACTCTCAAGCAGATCTCGAAGATGACGATACCCTGCCTACAGCAGCTTCTACCGATTGTTTTGAAGACGACTTGGATGACGATTTGGACGACATGCTCCCCGAATCCGAAAAAGAGTCTTCATGTTCGCAACTCGTGAAGAAGAAGAAAGGGCAGCAGACTTGGGTTACAAGAACACCAAGAACATCCTCGAATCTAAGTATGAAGGGGCCGATATTACCGCCGTGTTCGGTCCTGTACTCATCTCTCTCAAGAACAACAGAATGACCTTCGTGGTGTCCTTGAGAAGTATGATACCTTGTTCAGTCTGAACTTGGCAAATACACTGGCGGACAGATTAGTTTGGAGATTGATCCTACAGTTCCGGCTCATCGAAGCCGACACTACACTGTTCCTCATCACCAACAAACTATCTTCAAGAAAGAATTGGATCGGTTGGTTTCCTTGGCGTTCTTGAAGAAGGCAGTCGTTCCGAGTGGATTGCTGGGACTTTCATCATTCCGAAGAAGGACGGTAGAGTCAGGTGGATCTCTGACTTCCGTGGTCTCAACAAGGCAATAAACGCAAGGTTTACCCAATTCCTCGATTGCGGATATCTTAGCTCGACGCAAGAACTATGCATTCCTTACCAAATTGGATATCTCGATGCAGTATTACACGTTTGAACTTGACGATTTCAGTTCCGAATTGTGTACCATTGCTACCCCGTTTGGGTTGTACAAGTACAGACGACTACCTATGGGCGTTTCTCAATCTCCGGATATTGCTCAAGAAATCATGGAAAAGTTACTCAAAGCTCTTGACGACATCGAAGTTTACATCGATGACATTGGGATCTTCAGCTCCGATTGCGTTCTCATCTCGACAAGCTCGATCAAGTCCTCAAGATTCTACAAGAAGCCGGATTCACAATCAATCCGTTGAAATGTGAATGGGCCGTGCAAGAAACCGATTTTCTGGGACATTGGTTGACTCCTGTCGGTGTTAAGCCTATGGCAAAGAAAGTGCGCGCATCCTGGACATGAAGGCTCCACGGATATCAAACAACTGCGTTCGTTTCTTGGTTTGGTGACTATTACCGGATTGTGGCCTCGTCGTTCTCACACCTTGGCACCTTTGACAAACTGATTGGTACCAAGAAGTTTGAGTGGACCGACGAACAAGAACAAGCTTTCAAAGCCATGAAAGCTGTGCGGCAGCAGACACTCTGCTGGCATATCCGGATCACAACGTTCCTTTCGAAATCGATACGGACGCTAGTGATTACCAGCTCGGTGGAGCTATCAAACAAAAGGGACGGATTGTGGCTTACTACTCCCGCAAACTCAACTCCGCCCAAAGAAACTATACTACAATTGAAAAGGAACTGCTCTCCATTGTTGAAATTTCAAAGAGTTTCGTCTATGTTACTCGGAGCTCTATCAATGTGTTTACTGATCATAAGAACCTTACTCACAAACTTTCCGCTTTTCAAACTCAGCGTGTTATCGATGGCGATTGCTATTGGAAGAGTTTGGTCCAAACTTTCATTACAAGCCGGGCCCCCAGAACGTACTTGGCGACGCCCTCAGCCGGGTGCCCACTTCTCCGAAGATCGTGACACTGCCGATCCGATCCCCTCTCCACATCTACCGATGGCTGCTATTCCATTGTGGAGGAGAATCAGAGGTTGGCTGAATGTTTGATGCATCATCCAGACGATGGTATGGAAGAATCTTTCCTGGAGCATCCTACATTCGACGGCGAAGGAAGGAATCCCTTCAATTTCTCGTTCTCGCCGAGTACCAAGCGAACAGTGCAGTTTTGCAACAGACCGTGGTTGAAAACCGGAACGGTTTTTCAAAAAGATGTTTGGAAACAGTGAGCTGATATGCTTTCGTCAGAATGACGAGGACAAGATTGTCCTAACAAAAGAGTTGCTTCCCAAGTTGGTCAGCTTCTATCACAAATCCATGGCACATGTCGAAGGCATGGATCGTTTAGAACAAACGATCAAGACACACTTCTACCATAGAGGTATTCGCGACGAAGTCCGAAAACAAATTGAGCAGTGCGAAGCATGTGCAAAGAACAAACGAGCACGACGTGCTTATGAAGAATCTGCTCCACGTGATGCTACGGCGATGCCCTGGCAAGAAGTCCATTGTGACACAATCGGTCCGTGGACGATTGAGTTACGACAACGGACATTGACTTTCAATGCTATGACTATGGTGGATCCTTGCACAAACTTGTTAGAGATTGTGCCTATTATGCGACGAACGTCGGAAGAAGGTGCTCGAGTGGTCGAAGATACATGGTTTGCTCGGTATCCCCGACCTAAGAAAGTGGTCACGGACAATGGTCCTGAGTTCAAACTGGAGTTCATTGCGATGGTTAAAAAGAATGGTGCTGTGCATCGCTACTCGACCCCTCGTAATCCACAAGGTAACTGATGATTGAACGACTCATAGGCAATTGGTCAAGTATTGCGTACTATTGTGGTTTCGCGCGATCCCAAGAGTGTTGCTGATGGGATCAAGGTTATCTTCCGAAACCTTGGCGACAGCGATGCATGCTCATCGTTGTTCGTGCAGAGTACGAACGCGTATCTCACTCCTGGTGCTCTTGCCTTCAAACGAGATATGTTTCTTGACATTCCTATTTATGCAGACATCTTGGCCGTGCAACGACACCGTCAATCCTTGGTTGACAAACGTTTGCTACGGGCCAATGCTAAACGCATTTCCTATGACTACGCGGTCGATGACCTGGTCTACAAGCGTGCGTATCTCGGTCTCAGTGATAAGTTGAGCCTACGGCTTCTGGTCCCTATCGTGTTTCCCGCGTTCATACCAACGGCAACATAACGATTCAACTCAGTGCTCATCAGTTTGAGCGCCTGAACATTCGGCGCGTGTTTCCAAAGCATCCAGTACCTCCGGTTGCCACCGGTACGGGTTATTGAGGTTCCCCTGATTCATTTTCTAAATGTTACTGATGCTCGGCGCCTATTGTTGCCTCACAGTGGAGGAGAGTGACATACGCACGTCTATGACGTGGCGCTTTAACGCTAGTTTTAAGTCTAATCTCACACAATATTCCGATCGTGGCGCTTTAACGCTAGTTTTAAGTCTAATCTCACACAATATTCCGATCGTAGTTCATCGGGAAATCAATGCACGGCATGTCGGAAGCAGGTCTATCGGAAGAGACTTACAGGGTGTGATTGTAGAAGGACAAGGCCAAGCACATGCGTCTAGGTCAGCTATGTCTGATTTATTTCAATTGTGTAACTACAAGGTGCAACTAATCTAGCTAGCTGTGTCGCCAGTAAAGGCTTCTGCACCTATAATAGATGTCGTCTACTTTTGACTAGGCCAGCAACAGTTGCTTGTCCTTGATGAAGGGGGGTTTAGAGTAGGGTAATTATCTACGGAATCCTTGATGCACTGCCTCAGCTCAGCTTCTTCTTCCTTCAGTTTGAATCATCGCAAGAGCAGCCACAGCCACACAGCAAATCAGTACAATCAAACAACAAACCTTGTGGTCCAGTACAGGAATCAAGCTTGGATCGAAACTTTGTGCAGGTACCATTCAGGCTGCAAATGGCATCAGGGAGAGTACCTCCCAACAATGGGTTCCCATGCAGTGCAAATGTGTGGAGAGTTTCTTGCAAAGCTGACAGTTCTTGAGGGATCGAATCGGACAAGCCGTTACTGGCCAAATTCAAAACATCCAGAGCACTGAGCCCGCCAAGTTCACTCGGGATCTTTCCCGAGAGCTGGTTTCCTTGGATTTCCAAAAAATGCAACTGGGTCAAGCGGCCCAGCTCTGTCGGGATAGTCCCAGTGAGGAACTCATTGTCCTGGAGGTTTAGGGTTACCACCAGATTTGTTAGGAGACCAATTTCACTCGGAATTTGGGATGATAGTTGGTTGCTCCGGCCCGACAGCAAAATAAGCGCAGTGAGCAGGCCCAATTCGCTGGGCAAGGTTCCAACCATGTTATTGTTACGGAATGACATCAATAACATGTTGGAAAGCATTCCAATCTCACTTGGTATGGTTCCTGAAAATTGATTGTGATTGAGAATGCACCGTTCAAGTGTCTCAATCTGTCCAAGTTCAGTGGGAATCGTCCCTAGAAAACCGAGGATTTTTAGAAAGAGTCCACACCATGCAGTGAAGGAACATCACACATAGCCGCTGAATCGACCTACCTGTGAGATTGCCATCATCCAGCATCATCCATCTTAGCTTTGAAAAGGTACCAAGCTCTGTAGGCAATTTGCCCTGTAGATTCTGACCTCCCAGGAATATGGTGTCCATCTTGGTTAGACTCCAGAGCTCTGAAGGAATGAGCCCATTCAGCTGATTGTGCCAGAAGATTAGGCTGTTCATGTTTGAGAGCAAGCCAACTTCGCTTGGTATCGTGCCTGTCATCAGTGAGTTAGCATAGGAAAGACCTTCCAATTTGGTCAGCTGGCCAAGCAAGCTTGAAATGGTGCCAACTAGATTGCTTGTATCAATTGACAGTGTTTGTAATGAAGTCAGCATGTAAAGTTCTTCTGGCAAAGAACCACCAAGATTGTTTTGGTCCAGCCAAAGATGGAGATACTGCCCATCAGTGTCACAGTTTGTTAATGGTGGAGGTTCCAAAAAACCAGTCAAGTAGCCTGGGAATGTCCTAGAAATTACATGCTTCCTGGCAAAAGCAGGTTGGGTGAACCAATCACATTCATGGACAGTATGGTTGAGCCAGTTGGTGTTTTTCAGCCAGTTGTCTCCACCGGTGGCAAAGTAGAGGACAACCAGTGCAAACTTTTGCTTGATCCTATCATAAGAGAGAAATGGCGAACTTTGAATGTCATCCAAGAGCCAATCATAGGCTCTTGACTGGGGAGAATCTTGATTCTCAAGGATGGTACTAACTGTGGTTGTTGGCAACAGGGATAACCAATATTCGGAATACGAAGTGGGTGCCGGAGATGGGTTGCGACTGGGTCCCTCGGTTGGTGCCACAGTCGTCTCGGAATTCTCCTCGGGATTCTTCTTTCCAGGTGTGAAAATGGCCACCACAATGAGATTGATGGCCAACAAGACGATGACGCCCAAGAGGACCTTGGTTTTAAATTGCTTCATTCTCTTTTCTCTGTCTTGGTCTTGGGATTCCGCATTGTAATCCTGCGCCATTGGCAAATCATCGGGTTGGGTTTCTTCATCTACAGGATTGGCCACGGCCAAACCACTGTTCCCCCCCGGAGCAATTTCGTTGCTGAGTGTTGAATTCACTGCTGGTTCCGTACCGTTTTCTTCTTGTGTTTGTGTTTCTGTAGCAGTATCTGTCATACCAGTATTAAAAATGGCAAACGCGCCTGGGAAACTGAGACTGGCTGGGCGTCCTTGTTCTCTTCTTAGACCCATTGGCTGTGGTGTGGCTTGTTCCTCGACCTCTCCTCCCTCCACTTGCATTTGATTGGGTAAGACTACTGGTACTTCCTTATTGGTACTTTCTGTTGGAGGTAGCAAATGTGGTTCATCATTGGCAGCTTCTGTAGGTGGCGGTGACAACTTGGAAATGACCACGCGAATCGGACCACCGTTGGTGGTACCAGAAATATCATCTGCACTGGTTGGTCGCACCAGCGAACTGGAGAATCCAGCTGAATTCGCACCAGGTGTATGGGTACAAGCCGCAGATGTATCGGCGTCAGTACGAGGCTGATTTTGTGCTGCATCCTGTGGGTCATTTGTATGGTGTAGTTGTTCTTGTTCGGCCGACGGTGGATGAACCCGGTGGGACGGATCTGCTTGAATCCGTTGTCGCTCGCATACAACCTTCATCAGGAAGGCTGCTTCTTCATCATTGTCTTCCTTGGTTACCATTTGAATCGAATCTCTCCTTCGGATGTGTCTACTTTCGAGGTGGGTACGCTGTAGCAGGTCGTTTCGGCCTTCATATGTCAAACAATTTCTCTTGAAATTGAATGACAGCATGTATCAATTGAACGTATTGCGATCGAGTGAGTCCAAGAGCTCAAAGGCAAAGTACCGGCAATCTAGTACGGTACTGGCACCAGGTCGATCGCGTCCTTCTGCGGGACCAAAGCCGGCTTCAGTAGATGTGGTAAACCCATAGTTTTATTTCAAATATTATGTTTCCCTTTTTACCTGAACTACCATACCTGTTTGACAATTTCTGCGGAATGGTTGGTAAATAAATGTCTTAATGTCTTGTTTCCCCAGGATTCGGGACATCTTGTTGTATGGGAACCCCAATAATTCACCGTCTTCACCACTTTTTAGGCAGGTTTCTGCTGTCTTACAGGTGTATTGACTGACGACTGCGCAACTCGATGGAATAGTCGAGTGACGCAGTACTAATACTCTGATACTCGGTCGATGTATGCCATAGTCTACACATTACACATGCAGCTCAAGAGATGCAGGAACCAGCACTAAGGAATCCTTAGTGCTTCCAATTTCCAACAGCTCTTCCGAAAGAAAGTAAAATTGAATGCTTTTTAAAACCTGTCATTCCTCTCATTGCTTGCTTCCAACCCGCATCCCTGATGTCTCTACTACGGTAGCTTGCGGTGTCCGAAAACATCTAGCTTGTGGCTTTTTCTTGTTGGCTGGCCCAGCACGTTCAAAGCCACTCATCAGAGTGGCAACTGCTCGATTATCTATCTATAGACTACAGCTGTACCGGTATAAACTATAAACTAGAGCTTTATGACTTCATGGCAAGATAGAATCAGATGATGAAAGACGCCTCAGCAAGACGCTGCTTGCCCCTTGAAGCTTCAACGCTAAAACTATTGGTACCGGTACTAATAAGTCTGATCATTGCGGTTGGAGTTGAAGGTGATGTCTTGCTTCACCACCAATAATGTTCCAGTGATCCACCTTTTGTACAGATAGATGTCCACATATTAATAATAGTCTAGCTAGAGCTCTAGCTAGCTAGTCGTCTAGCTAGGCTGCTTTCTTGCTTTCTTGGCCTCATCTTTCCGTGAATCTCTCATAAAATTAATAATGCTTGGTCAATGGTCATAATATATTATATATACGATGGCAACCAACCTTCTCCAAGCAAGAGCTCTCCTCCAAGACTCCTCCAAGGACACTCAACGACTTATTGTCACAATTCGTGTCCGGTGCCGAAGCAACCTTCTGGGGTTCATTGGTTTCTGGGTTCTGGATTCTTTTTCAGTGACCGTACTCTCTACTACTATGCATAGCTAGACTAGTAGCTAGTCTAGTCTAGCCAGAGTACGAGAGCTGAATGAAAGCTCCAAGAGTTACTAATGTACAAAAGTTGTTGAGCTGTTGTTGTCGTTGAATAAGGAAACAATGGGCAAGGAAGAAGTCAATACTAAGATGGATAAAACAGAGTTGGAGACAACTTCTAGTACTGTAGTCTCAACAAGTGAGAAGGACAAAGCAGAGGAGATGGATGCCGGTGTGTCCACCATCAAAGATGACATTCGGCGGTGCGAAAACACGGGAATTGCCGAGGTGCTCAAGCAACAACAACAGCAAGAGCTCGCAGAAGAAGATCATCCATTGGAATCATCGTTCGTTGCTAGCATCGAACCATTGCCAAGTGTCTCTCAACAAGGACAACAAGGCGTTGGACCAGGAGCCTTCTTTACCAATGCCCACAATGGACACCTGACGCCCGCTGGGAAAACTCCGTTGAATGTGCTGGGAGCGGAACTGAGAATGGCCAACAAACCAGGCCTAACCATCCACAATAATACAAGAACAACAAGAAGCAGCATAAACAGCAGCAGTGCTCAGGATCCACCAGAATCCACCACTACAGATACTCAGGCACAAAATAATTCCTACTTGATGGTTGCCAATCCAATCAACGAGCAAGATGAAGCTACCGCGAGATTGGGTCTCCCAAAGGCGGAAGAATACGATCCAGAAGCCAACAGCAGAACAAACACCACACGCAACCAAAATGATGACTTGTCATCGTCCAAGAAAGCACTCTATGTGGGGGCTTTTCTAGTGGTAGTGGTAGCAGCCATTGCCTTGGTTATCCTGCTGGTGTTGGCGCTCCCCAAAGAAGAGACTGCTTCTTCTTCTTCCAATACACATCATACGGAGCACGACAACAATCACACAACAACCACTATTACAATAACACCCACAGTGGCTCCAACAACCAGCACAACGGAGGAAATGACACTCCCCGAGTACGTGCTCCATCTCCTTCCCCACCACACACAGCAACAGATTCAACAAGACAACACGTCTGCCCAAGCACTGGCATTCGATTGGGTATTGCAAGATCTGCACAATGACAACGATTATTCCGACGAACGCATTCAACAACGATTTGCTCTTGCTACACTGTACCATGCCACCGCGGGACCGTCCTGGTCGTCCAATGCCCATTGGCTGGATCACAGCGTGCACGAATGTCACTGGCATACCATGGCATCCTTTGCCCTCAAGGATACCTTACAATATGTTTATCCAGGATTCTTGCAAGAATTCTTTCCTCCTTCGGCAGCTCCACCCACCACGTGCAATGACCAAGGATTGTTTCAACACTTGTGGTTGGATCAGAATAATCTGGTCGGATCCTTGCCGGAAGAATTGTACTTGTTGACACATCTCCAAACACTCTCCATGGGAGTGAATCGATTGCAGGGAACCATCTCGACGCGGATCGGTCAATTGACCGCATTGGAAGGATTGGCTCTGTACTTTTTCCAAGCCAAACCGGGGAGCAGTAGCACTGTACCCACCGAAATTGGGCTGCTCAGCAATTTGCGTGGCATTGGCTTGAACGACAATCATCATTCGGGCACGTTGCCCACCCAACTTTGGAAACTGACCCAACTGAGTACCATTATTACCAGTCGGAATCCGCAACTTCACTTTCAAATCCCGACCGAGATTGGATTGTTCTCCCAGTTGCGATGGCTCAATGTCGATGACTGCAACATTGGTGGTACGTACGTACAGGTAGTGGTCGATCAGAATGAAATGATATGGCATTTCTATAGTGCCCGTGTGGTTCCGTTAGTGCTACAGTACTGACAACATCGTGACTCACACTATTCTTCGCTGCTGCTACTACTACAGGAACCCTTCCAACAGAGCTAGGACTGGTCAAATCCCTGGAATGGAATGCCATGGGAGGGAATCAAATCTCTGGATTCATCCCAAGTGAGTTGGGACTTCTCACCAATCTGCGTCAAGCATCCTATTATGGCAATCAGTTCCACGGGACGATCCCCACCGAAATTGGACAAATGACATCTCTCAACCTCCTCTCGTTTCGAGCCAACGCCTTGCTCACAGGCACAGTGCCATCCGAGCTAGGGCAACTTACATCGCTCACATTCTCGCTCAATCTGCAGGACAACCCACATCTTTCGGGGACGCTCCCCACAACGCTCGGGCGATTGACCAATCTACAAAAGCTTTCCGTGGTCAACAACAATCATTCTGGACCACTGTTCACCGAGCTCGGATACCTCACAGCACTCCAACGGCTCAATGTTGCCAACAACTCATTCACGGGGACCATCCCGGAGGAATTATCCGCATTGCAGTCATCCCTGTACGCGGTAGGGTTGCAAGGCAACACGCGACTGTCTGGCACGGTTCCACCCGCCTTGTGCCGTCTCAATGGCACTTGTGCAGTGACGGCTTTGATCGATTGCGGGACAACCTCGGGTCTCGTGTTTGACTGCACGTCCCTGCTTTGTGGATGCGGGTGCACGTCGTGTGGTGAGGATGGCATGGCGAACAATGAAACTTCTACCACAATCTTACTACCACAAGGCTAACTGTGTACTAGCCTAAAGTTTTTTGGAGTCTTTGAGCTGGATGGTCTGTAGCGGCCGCAGTTTGGGTACGGTCAGGACATTGCTAGCTAGGCTCACTGATGATGTGCAGCGCTTCCATTCACTCCTGTGAACTACGTGGCTTCGTGCTTAGTCTAGCTAGTTCTTATTCTATTCCAGACCAAGGTATTGCGTAGGACGACCTTTGATACACTCGGATCTACGTACCAGCTAGATCGCGATGATGTCATCGGGTTTTGAAGTTGTACGGTAGTTTCTTATGATCAAGGTCGAAAGATTCCCCATGTTCGAGACTTTGGAATTAGTAGAGAAGAAGATGTATTGAACTCCGACCAGCTAGTTAATTCAAGAGAAACTGTTACTTATGACTTTCGCAATTGGAGCGCAAGACGATGCAACGTTGGAATTAGAGAAGATCAGTAGTTATAGCAAAGCAATGCACACTCCCACCACTTGAAGGGAAAGAGTTACTTATTCATGGAACATGCAGCGATTGCGTTCCAGCAAACAAGAAGAACCCAACTGCCCATAGACGCCATACCACCTGAAGCTCTCGAACTTTTCGGCACCGTTCCGTGGATCCAGCTGAAACATAGCTATTTCTTGCCCTGTAATGCAAGCCTTTGATCGAAATCAAGCATAATCCTGAAGCAAAGTCAAGATTAGTTGTTTGCTACCAGTATGAAAACCAAGACGAACCGCAGCCCTAGCCAAGGCCATGTCCTGAATGGATCACCAACCTTGAAAGGGGAGACTCAAATGGTAGCCAAGGAAGACAACTGCGAAGAAGCAGCCTTCCTGATGAAGGTCGTTCGTGAGCGACAAAGCATTCGAGCGGATCAGTCCCATCCGGTTCATCCTCCGCCATCTACACCTGGTGCCTATACGGCTAGACCCGGTGAGCAACCACAAAGAGTAAATGCTTTCTCGAGTGCCAATGATCTTGCCAAAATTCCCCCGGTAACACTTTCTCGTAGATGTACCACCAATGGTGTTTCAGATGACCTGGTCATTTCCAAGTTGGTGTCACTACGTGCAGAAGCTGCCAATAATGAATCAGCATTGTTAGTACCTCCATCAGAAAGTACCAAGGAAGTAATATTACCCAAACGAATGCAACATGGAGGGGACGAGGAAGAGGAACCAGTCATTCTGCAGCCCGTGGCTTTAAGAAGGGGGGCAGATCGCTCCCCAGCCCGTATCAGCCAGCCGGGCGCCATTGCCGTTTTCATTACTGGTATGATGGATACTGTGGAAGAAGCACAAACACAAACACAAGATGAAAATGTTACGGAACCAGCAGTGAATTCGACACTCCGCAACGTACTTGCTCCCATGGAAATCAACGACGACCATGACAGTGGTTTGGCCGTGGCCAATCCTGTAGACGAAGAAACCCATCCCGATAATTTGCCAGAGGCACAGGATTACAATGCTGAATCCCAAGACCGAAACAGAGAAAAGAGAATGAAAGAATTCAAAACCAAGGTCCTCTTGGGAGTCATTGGTTTGTTGACCATCGTTCTTGTTATGGTGGCCATTGTGACACCTGGAAAGAAGAATATAAAGGAAGAGTGGGAACCCACAGGGGGACCCAATCGCAACCCATCTCCCGCACCCACTTCGTATTCCGAGTATTGGTTATCCCTGTTACCAACAACCACAGTTAGTACCATCCTTGAGAGTCAAGATTCTCCCCAGTCAAGAGCATACGATTGGCTCTTGGAGGACACAGACAGTTTACTATTTCTTTCTCATGATAGGATCAAGCAAAAGTTTGCATTGGCTGTCCTATACTTTGCCACCGGTGGAGAAAACTGGCTGACAAGCACCAACTGGCTCAATCATAGTGTCCACGAATGCGATTGGTTCACCCAGCCTGCTTTTGCCAGGAAGCATGTCGTATCTGGGACTATCCCAAGCTTCTTGGCTGGTTTTTTGGAACCTCCACCATTAACAAAATGTGACAATGATGGGCGGTATCTCCATCTTTGGTTGGACCAAAACAATCCTGATGGTTCTTTGCCAGAAGAACTTTACATGCTGACTTCATTACAAACACTGTCAATTGACGGAAGAAATCTAGTAGGCACCATTTCAAGCTTGATTGGGCAGCTGACCAATTTGAATGGTCTTTCCTATGCTAACTCACTGATGACAGGCACGATACCAACGGAAGTTGGCTTGCTCTCAAACATGAGCATCCTCTCCTTGACCAGCAATCTGCTTGATGGGCCCATTCCTTCAGAGCTCTGGAGTCTAACCAAGATGGACACCTTATCAATGAGGGGTCAGAATCTGCAGGGCAAGTTGCCTACACAGCTTGGTACCTTTTCAAAGCTTAGATGGATGATATTTGATGGTAACAGTCTCACAGGTAGGTTGATTCAGTGTTTTGTTCCTTCGCTACTGCATAATCTTTATTAACATCCTTTGGTTCTCTAGGGACGATTCCCACTGAAGTTGGACAGATTGAGACGCTTGCATGGCTTATTCTCAATCGAAACCAATTTTCAGGAACCATACCTAGTGAGATTGGAATGCTTGCCAACATTTCAATGATGTCATTCCGTAACAATAACATGGTTGGAACCTTGCCCAGCGAATTGGGCCTGCTCACTGCGCTTACTTTGCTGTCGGGCCGGAGCAACCAACTATTATCCCAAATTCCAAGTGAAATCGGTCTCCTAACAAATCTGGTGGTAACCCTAAACCTCCAGGACAATGAGTTCCTCACTGGGACTATCCCGACAGAGCTGGGCCGCTTGACTCAGTTGCATTTTTTGGAAATCCAAGGAAACCAGCTCTCAGGAAAGATCCCCAGTGAATTTGGTGAACTCAGTGCTCTTGGTGCTTTGAATTTGGCCAGCAACAGCTTGTCTGGTTCAGTCCCTCAAGAATTGTCAGCTTTGCAAGAAACTCTCCACACATTTGCACTGCATGGGAACCCATTGTTGGGTGGTACCATCCCTGATGCCATTTGCAGCCTGAATGGTACCTGCACAAAGTTTCGATCCAAGCTGGATTCCTGTATTGGACCTCAAGGTTTGTTGTTTGATTGTATTGATTTACTGTGTGGCTGTGGCTGCTCTTGCGATGATTCAAACTGAAGGGAGAAGCAGCTGAGCTGAGGCATTGCATCAAAGTCACACAACATATAATATTGCTGGCCCTGTCAAAAGCAGAGCTGCTTTTCATGTACCGGTTATCCAGCCATTCCTTATGGATTCAATTATCCATAGCTCCTCTACACATACTACATGCCCAAATACATTTGCTGGAGACACAGCTAGCTAGATTAGTTGCACTTTGTAGTTGCACGTTTGAAATGGATCAGGCGTCGAATTTCCTGTGATCTTATAACACCTTGAGGGCCCAAATGAGTTGCTCTCTTTCCGCAAACTTAGGCCAGCAGCGAAACAAAAAAGCAGACTAAGCTACCATGATGCGTCCCCCGGGCCCCTGCTGCAGTACCTGGCATGTCACTCCAACGAGCCACCACCCGCGCCGTAACGGAGAGTTGTTCAACGCTCAACGCGTCATTCGATGGCACCAAAACGACACTCCGGAGACTACTGGTACACCGGAGGAGAGGAGTGAGATAATAGAAGGAGATAATGGGCCGACGATTCGAGTCGCCGCCGATTCTTCGAGTCGCCACTGATTTGATTCGATGCTGATCGACGCTATCCCGAGCATTTCCAGCTTTCCAGCATGACAGGAGGCGACCTACTACTCTTATGGTGTTGTCGACGAAGCAATGGTGTCAATGGGCCGGCCGAAACAGCGGCAGAATGCCCATTGTGGACTCCTTTGTTGTTGCGATTTTGGTGCGAAATGCAAAAAATTAAGCGCGATAATAACACGGAGTCCCCATTGAGGCAAATAGTGCTACTTTGCAACAACCAACCAACAACCAACACCAAAGAAGAAGCACAGCAAGTCGTTGATTTCACCTCGGGATTGTTCTTGTGTCATCACGACGCCCTACAATGGGCTCCTTGGCAAAAACAAATTATCACAAAACCAAGGACAGCACCGCAACAATTGAGACAACAAGGCCAACAAAGCTACCACCAACAGTAGTATTGCAATAGTGACGGGTTGTGTGCCGAACATCTTCCCATCATTGTGGACGGAGGCGTCTTCTTTGGGCTCTACTTATCTTATAATCAAGGTACGAGATACATGTACATAACTGTACGTAGAGTCCTAAAAGTCTTAATGCATGTACTTGGTATTTTGTATGGTAATAAGGCACGAGCACCCTGTTTATTTTATAGCTAGAAATTACTTAAATGGCGTCTTGGTCAGTCATTGCTGCATCAAATGAGTTAAATACATGTCGCCGAATATATTAGCCGTCTTCTTCAGACATTGGAAGCTGGAACACTGGTTTTTAAAACCAACTTTCCAAAGAGGACAAAAGACTACAGAAGACAAGAAGACAAAATGTCCTGCTTTCGTGGTCTTACACGAGGTACGAACTCTACGATGGGTTACTCAGTATCGGTTATCGGATTTTCTCCACGAACGCAGCGACAGAAGAACCCGGCAGACCAGCTGCACCGTGAGACTTTCGTCACTGTTCCAGCGACTGTAGTCATAGAGTCATAGCTGGGCCAGGCGGCCAGGCGGCAGAAAAGGGGGTTTTTAATGGTGAATTCATCCACGGAAGCCTTCGATCGAGGCCAAGCATAATAAGGCTAGCCAGAGAGCAAAGTACTCCTATAGCCAGCAAGCGAAGAAAAGATAATCGCTACCAGTATACATATGGAGGCCAAGAAACACAGCCCTAGCCAAGGCCATGTCCTGAATGGATCACCAACCTTGAAAGGGGAGACTCAAATGGTAGCCAAGGAAGACAACTGCGAAGAAGCAGCCTTCCTGATGAAGGTCGTTCGTGAGCGACAAAGCATTCGAGCGGATCAGTCCCATCCGGTTCATCCTCCGCCATCTACACCTGGTGCCTATACGGCTAGACCCGGTGAGCAACCACAAAGAGTAAATGCTTTCTCGAGTGCCAATGATCTTGCCAAAATTCCCCCGGTAACACTTTCTCGTAGATGTACCACCAATGGTGTTTCAGATGACCTGGTCATTTCCAAGTTGGTGTCACTACGTGCAGAAGCTGCCAATAATGAATCAGCATTGTTAGTACCTCCATCAGAAAGTACCAAGGAAGTAATATTACCCAAACGAATGCAACATGGAGGGGACGAGGAAGAGGAACCAGTCATTCTGCAGCCCGTGGCTTTAAGAAGGGGGGCAGATCGCTCCCCAGCCCGTATCAGCCAGCCGGGCGCCATTGCCGTTTTCATTACTGGTATGATGGATACTGTGGAAGAAGCACAAACACAAACACAAGATGAAAATGTTACGGAACCAGCAGTGAATTCGACACTCCGCAACGTACTTGCTCCCATGGAAATCAACGACGACCATGACAGTGGTTTGGCCGTGGCCAATCCTGTAGACGAAGAAACCCAACCCGATAAGTTGCCGCTGGCAAAGGATTACAATGCTGAATCGCAAGACCGAAACAGAGAAAAGAGAATGAAAGAATTCAAAACCAAGGTCCTATTGGGAGTCATTGTCTTGTTGGCCATCGTCCTCATCGTGGTGGCCATTGTCACACCTGGAAAGAAGAAGCTGGAGGAAGATTCCGAGACCACAGTGACACCAACCGAGGGACCCAGCCATAACCCATCTCTGGCACCCACTTCATATTCCGAGTATTGGTTATCCCTGTTGCCAACAACCACAGTTATGACGATCCTTGAGAATCAAGACTCTCCCCAGTCAAGAGCCTATGATTGGCTCTTGGAGGACATTGAAAGTTCACCATTTCTTTCTCATGATAGGATCAAGCAAAAATTTGCACTGGCCGTCCTCTACTTTGCCACTGGTGGAGACAGCTGGCTGAAAAGCAACAGCTGGCTCAACCATACTGTCCATGAATGTGATTGGTTCACCCAGCCTGCTTTTGCCAGGAAGCATGTAATTTCTAAGACATTCCCAGGCTTCTTGGCTGGTTTTTTGGAACCTCCACCATCAACAAACTGTGACAATGATGGTTTGTATCTCCATCTTTGGCTTGACCAAAACAATCCTGATGGTTCTTTGCCAGAAGAACTTTACATGCTGACTTCATTACAAACACTGTCAATTGATGGAAGAAATCTAGTAGGCACCATTTCAAGCTTGATTGGGCAGCTGACCAATTTGAATGGTCTTTCCTATGCTAACTCACTGATGACAGGAACGATACCAACGGAAGTTGGCTTGCTCTCAAACATGAGCATCCTCTTCTTCGCCAGCAATCGGCTTGATGGGCCCATTCCTTCAGAGCTCTGGAGTCTATCCAAGCTTGACACCATATCACTGGGAGGTCAGAATCTACAGGGCATATTGCCTACAGAGCTTGGTACCCTTTCACAGCTAAGATGGATGATTGTGGATGATGGCAACCTCACAGGTATGTGATTAGTGACTGTGTTTTGTTCCTTGGCTACTGCAGAATCTCACTTAAAGTGCTTGGATTTCTAGGGACAATTCCCACTGAAGTTGGACAGATTGAGACGCTTGAATGGCTTATTCTAAATCGAAACAAATTTTCAGGAACCATACCTAGTGAGATTGGAATGCTTGCCAACATTTCAATGATGTCATTCCGTAACAATAACATGGTTGGAACCTTGCCCAGCCAATTGGGCTTGCTGACTGCGCTTACTTTGCTGTCAGGCAGGAGCAACCAACTATCATCCCAAATTCCAAGTGAAATCGGTCTCCTAACAAATCTGGTGGTAACCCTAAACCTCCAGGACAATGAGTTCCTCACTGGGACTATCCCGACAGAGCTGGGCCGCTTGACCCAGTTGCATTTTTTGGAAATCCAAGGAAACCAGCTCTCGGGAAAGATCCCCAGTGAATTTGGCGGACTCAGCGCTCTGGATGCTTTGAATTTGGCCAGCAACAACTTGTCTGGATCAGTCCCTCAAGAATTGTCAGCTTTGCAAGGAACTCTCGACACATTTGCTCTGCATGGGAACCCATTGTTGGGAGGTACTCTCCCTGATGCCATTTGCAGCTTGAATGGTACCTGCACAAAGTTTCGATCCAAGCTTGATTCCTGTTCTGGACCACAAGGTTTGTTGTTTGAATGTACTGATTTGCTGTGCGGTTGTGGGTGCTCTTGCGAGGATCCAAACTGAAGAAAGAAGCTGACCTGAGGCAATGCATCAAAGGACAAGCAACTAGCTAGTGCCCAGTCAAAAGCAAAGCTGCTTTTCAAGTACCAGTTATCTGGACATTCCTTATGGATGCAATCATCCATAGCTCCACTACACATAATACATGTTCGAATACATTTCTGGAGACACAGCTAGCTAGATTAGTTGCACTTTGTAGTTGCACGTTTGAAATGGATCAGGCATCGAATTTCCTTTGATCTTACAACACCTTGGGGAGCAAATGAGTTGCTCTCTTTCCGCAAACTTAGGCCAGCAGCAAAACAAAAAAGCAGACTAAGCTGCCATGATGCGCCCCCAATGCCCCTGCTGCAGTACCTGACATGGGACTGACTCCAACGAGCCACCACCCACGCCGTTCCTTGGTTGGTGCCCCTTCTTCGAACGATTTGAATGCAGTGTCATGGTGGCAACGATTCTCGCTTGGGGAGCAATCACCGCATGAAGCCTTGCGTGAAATGCCAGCAATAATGATTCGAGCCAGTTCAGGAGTATTGGATGGGATTGCATGTCTTTTTGGCTTGATTCTACAGTCGCGAAAAACAGGAATCGACGGCCGAGTGTGGCCAGTGTTTCGTGCAAGCAAGTAGTCCCACTTCCCGAAGACGTGTGCACCAAGCATCTCTGCTACGGTGCAAGATAAGTCGGTACGTGTATCGCTCGCATGTGGACCATCCCTTGTTCACGTCAAGGGTCCAAACGCACCTCGTGCTCAACCATGCATGCTCCGAAAGATCTTTTGACGAAAGTAGAGTCGAGTCGAGTCAATCCAAAACGCACCTCGAGCCCATCGAGGTACAATGTACCGGTACTTGCCCACGTTTCTTGTGCCACCTATACATAATCGGACGACCACTTTCGATTAAAATATCTAACGGTACAACAAAACCTAACCAGGAATTGTTTGTTTATAGTGACATTATTATTATTTCGTATCTACGATCCCATGAGCTCTGCGAGCTCTTTATCGGCCTCACTCAACATGGCATCTAGATCTGCAAAGGCATCATCCACGATATCGTCCGAATCGCCTGCTCCCGACACTCGCGGCGCCGACGACGACAGTGGCACAGCATTGTCCTCGTCATCATCATCGTCGTCCGTCGCAAAATGGGCCAAGTCCTCCTTGGCTTCTTTCATGATGCTTTCCATGTTGGCTTCAAAATCCTTATCGTCATCCTTCTTCTTCGTATGTTTGTTCTTGCCGTCGTCGTCGTTCTTGTCTTTTCCGTCGTCGTCTTCTTCTTCTTCACTGGCATAATTCAATTGCGCACTGGAAGCTTCCAATACTTCTCCTTCGAGCGAAGCTTTGTTGCTCGTTCTTGTATCTGGTGTTTTCTTGGTATATGTCCCATCCAAAATCCCGACCGTCACGGGCAATGCCAAAAATTTGCGCATGTGCGTCACGACTTCTTCGTGTCGTACATCCCCCGCCGCTTCGAATCGTTCGGCCGCTTGTCGATACAAATCCATAATTTCATTGACCCGTTCGACGGTAGGATCATGTCGTAGCGCCAATTCTTTGGTTTGAATTTCTTGTACCAAATGAAGGGCTTCTCCAATGGCCCGATGGGCCGCCGCATTGGTATGTTTTCCCTTGACGCCGTGTCGTTTCAGAACGGCTTGAATTTGATGTACGGCATCGGCACTGTCGGGACACATGTAAATGAGTGGATCGTTGGGTGCGGTTTTGAAAAACAACGATATCGATTCTTGTCGTCGAAATTTGAGTTTGGCGAGTAAATCAATGGGAATGGCAAAGGTGACTTTTCCCACACTGAGATTGAGTTTGCTGGATGTCATTTCGACAATGTGATTGTCGGTAATCATAATGAATGATTCTTGTAGAACATTCTTGGCAGATTGTGTCAAACTTCGAAACATGGATGCCGGGCCACTGCCGCCCGAAGAGACCTGAAAGAGAATGAGAAGAATGTAAGTGTGGGAGAACGAACGATTAAAGAAAACCACCAAAAGCTACCCAAATCTCTTCGATTCATAAAAGTACATACCTGCTCCCCACTTTCGAGTGCAGCATGTTGAATGGCGGCTTCGACGAATTCGGGACGTCGAACAGCTTTGCAGGAGTAAATGCCCTGGGATTCGACCCACGGTGGTTCGAGTAGATTGATTTCGGCTCCAATTCGGACTTCTTCGACTTTGATTGTATGATGGCTGCTGGAACTGAGTTTTTTACTGGCCTTTTTCTTGGACGATCGGGAATGATGACTGCTACTACTGTTGATAGTGGCATTTTTGTTGTGATTGCTGTTGTTGTTGTTGTTTTTGGACGTGACCAAGCCACTGAGGCGTCGTCCAATGGCTGCTCTGGCACTGGACATCATGGAATCTTTTTCTTCTTTTTGTGATGATTCTTTTGGTGCCGGATGGAATGGTTCTTGTTGCAATATGGATTCTTTGATTTTAAGGCCAATATTCAAAACGGCATCGGTCAACTGCAAACTGGGAGCCCAGACACAATCAATCGTCACCAAATCCCCATTTTGAATTGTGGAACCCTCGGGAAAACACGAGGCTCCGTCTGTCACGGTAATGCGAGGGGGTATATTGGGGTAGCATGACGAATCGGTATCTTCCCCATCACCAGGCTGTGCTTTCCAGGAAGCATCCAGAGTAATCGTCACCACGGCCGTCTTGATTTCCACTTGAAAGGGTACTATACACGTGCCAGTCTCCTTGTCCAATTGATGATCCTGGACCTTCATAAAGGCAGGCAAGACTTTTTTATCTCGATCATCCGATGGACTGGAAGTCGTCAACGCCAACACTTCCTTTTCCACACGTTCCCACCATAATACGGAAGCGTCATTATCACTCATAATGATAGATGGGTATATACCCCTTGTCGCTCAGCTTAATGACTGTTCAGACACACCTGAATTGAACTAGATAGACTAGCTAACCTGATCAGGACCGAAAGGGCTTGGAGGATGCTTGGAGGTGCAACTTTGGTGCAGCTTTGTATGATGGGCTGTGAGGATGGGTCTTGTGGTCGCTTTTTTGCTGCTCTGTTCTGGCCGAAAATCCCATCCTTAGCGATGTTTCCATCTTAGCCTACTGTTGAAAAGGTGTGAACTTGAACGCACAATTTCTCTAATTTAATCAATATCCTTCCAGCTCTACTGTCTAGTAGACTGGCTATCTGTTTCGTTTTCTCTTTCTCTCTCGTTCAGATTGTGAGCTCTACAACTGAGCTCCGATATGCATACATATACCAGGATCTTTCGATCCTCTGTTTCTCGCAGTTTCATCTGCAGATAGATCTCGTCGATCTATCTTCCTGAAGTGCATGGTTGGCCCTGGAGGGCTTTCCCACTTTACTAAACCTATGGACCTTCATCCGTCCATTCATTTGTTCCATCCCGTCGCTCCTTGCATTCATCTCTTCGACCTAACTTCCTAACCTTTGTAGTTGCATCATCTAGACGACCATTGTCCTCGTTCCTCGTACTCCTGGCCATCTGATGATGATCGGATAACCATCTGATTTGAGTCACACATCCCCAATCACGAACCGTGATTGTGGATCCCGAGTCGTCTGTCCGTCATACGAAAATACCTTTCTAACACCCTTCCTGTTTTCGCGATGATGGCAGCGACCTTCTTACCAACTCAAACCAATTGCTCCTTGTCTCCTGTTAGTTTCGGTGCATGTCTGTCGAGGGTCTCGACGTTGACATTCTTGGTTCCAATGTCGCTCACGTTGTCTTCCGAGCGAACGAAATCAATCTTCACTAGGCCGTCCTGCTGCATTTGGTTCACGTAGTGCCACCTCGTATCCATATGCCTTGTTCGACTTGCACTTGTCTTGTTCTCTGACATAAAGATAGCACCTACGTTATCGATCTTCACTTGCACAGGTAGTTCCACGTTGATCTGTAGGAACTTCAGAATCTGCGCGATGAACGGGACTTCTCGCACTGCTTCGCCACACGCGTAGAACTCAGCTTCGGAACTCGACAATGCTACGACCTTCTGTAGCTTGGACCTCCAGTGAATGAGTACACCTTCGAGAAAGATCATCATGGACGTGACTGATCTTCTGTTGTTCTTTCTCCGGCCCAATCCGAATCCGAGAATACTTCAATTTCCACGGTGCCTTCGTTTTTCTCTGGTTCATCAAAAGCCCACGGTTCCTTGAGTCCAACACGTAATTTAACACACGTAGCATTTCCTTGTACGCTGCCGGCGTTGCGCATCCAAGACCTTAGCTAGCTCTCGTCCGCGTTCTATATTTCTGGCCTTGAATGCTTGATAAGGTACATGGAGCATGCCTACTCCTTTTCGATATCTGCTCTGTTGTTCTTCCAGCGATCCTTTCACTCTATTCGTCTGTCTTTACTATCCCGAGTCCAGGTGTTCCCGCAGTTTTGTACTTGGTAGCTTCTTTACCCCTCTCCGAATGTGGTTTTTTGAGATCTTC